GGGGGGCGGGGCTGGGGGCGCGGGGCGGCGGCGCGTGAAGGTGACAGCGGCGGCGGGAGGATGGCGGCGATGCTGGCGGGGCGGCGCGCGGGCGCCGCGCGGCTGCTGCGGGTGAGGGGGCGCCGGGAGCGGGAGCGGCGCCGGGAGCGGGAGCGGCGCCGGGAGCGGGGCCTGGCGGCGGAGCGGCCGCAGCGGCCACGTGAGCGGCCGCTGGAGGTGTCGGGACGCGGCCTGTCCCGCGGCCGCCGCCGGCGCTTGCCCTGGCAGGGCTGCGCGGTGGGGAACGGGACAGGCCGAACGTTTGTGTCGCAAACGCAGAGGGAGGCGGCTCCGGAAAGCGGCGGTGGAGAACGGGAGCGGCGGCACGCGGCGCTCGGGGCCGTCACGGGCGCCGCGCGGCGCTGTCAGACCTGGCTGTTCTTGTCGCGTTAACTGAGCGGGCCGGGCCGGGCCGGCGCGGAGCCGGGAGCCGCCCGCGTGCCCGTCAGTTGTGGGAAAAGCGGCGCGAGTCCCGAGGCTGTGAAGGCCCCGGCTGGAAGCCCTGCGTTCGCCCCGTTAGCGTCGTGCCCAGCAACGCGGTGCAGTTAGGACCGAGCTTTTCTCATCCGCCGCCCGTTTCAGTTTGTTGGGTGTGCTTTACCGCTCCTCACTGCAGCGCTTTGCGGCCGTTATCCGCCTTTTTGATCCTGCAGTGCCAAGGGATGCTGCAGACAGGCAGCTGGGAGAGCGGCGAAGAACCCGAGTGCAGAGAGCGCCTGTTCCCGATCACAGCCCGCAGCCCGGCCTGTGCCAGCCCGGCCGGGTGCACACCGCGCCCCGCGGGCGCGTGCCTGGCCTGTGGAACGGGAGCGGGCTTGTGCTTTAAAGGAGCATCTGTTTCCTTTCCCAAAACTGCTCCATCACCCATGTCAGAGCGAGATTTTTTGCACGAAAACGTATTTGAAAGATACACCTACGATTTTTATATCTTAAAATTTGCCCCGTTCCCTAGGTTATTGAAAAATGAATGACTTTCATGAAAAATGGGGCCTTCTTCTGCAATGTCATGGTGTTAAAATCCTTAATGTGAAATTCTAAAGGCTCTTTTATTTTTAGGCTCTGACGTATCCAAGCCGTGACTATGCATCGCAACAAACCTTAAATGTAAGTGCAAAGCACAAGCTGCAACAAATTGCTGTTCTGAACCTGCTTCTTAAAACTGCCAAAGTTTGAGGGTTTGTTTTCTTTGAAGTTATCACAACAAAGATGTGTTCAGATTTCAAGGTTTTACAGTACGTATATTTGGTCATTTCGGATTTTTTGTTGTTTGTTTAAATGTTTTTTGGTTTTGTTTGGTTTTGTTTCTTTGCCTTGCAATCCGTAGGGCAGAGGTATTTGCTGAGCAGGTCAGGGCTTTGCGGTGTGAACCTCTTTGGTGTCAGGCCCTCGTGCAGCTCTCACAGGGACCGAGTTAGCAGGTAGCCGGTGGATGCAGCCTTGGGGAGAGCTACAGCTGAGGAGAACTGAGCACATCTCTGTTGAGGAGCTCCTAGATGGAGAGCTGAATGGTCTTCTATGTCTTAAACTGCTGCCCCAGTGTTGTCAGAAGACCACAGAATCACAGGAGGGTTGAGGTTGGAAGGGACCTGTAGGAATCACCCAGTCCATCCCCCTGTTCCAGCAGCGACACCCAGAGCACGGGGCACAGGGTGGCAGCCAGACGGGTTGGGAAGATCTCCAGAGAAGGAGACTCCACAGCCTCCATGGGCAGCCTCTTCCAGGGCTCTGTTGTCCTCACAGGCAAGAAGTTCTTCCTCACCTGGAGATGGAACTGCCTGGGTTTTAATTTCTGCCCATCAGCCCTTGTCCTGTCACTGGCCATCACTGAGAAAAATTTGGGCCCATCCTCCCTACATTCTCCCCTCAAGTATTTGTACATGTTGATCAGATCTCCTCTTCTCCTGGGCTGGGCTTCTCCTTCAGCTGGGCTAGACAGGCCCAGCTCACGTAGTCTTTCCTCATAACATAGATGCTCCACTTTCTTTATCATCTCTGTTGCTCTGAGATCTTAAATCTGATAGAGAATTCACAAAACTCTACAAGGTTCTTAGAATCATAGAATCACAGAACGCTTAAGGTTGGAAGGGACCTTTAGAGATCATCCAGTCCAACCCCTGTGCACACGGAGGGACACCCAGAACACGGGGTAGAGGGCTGCATCCAAGCAGGTTTGGAAGATCTCCAGAGAAGGGGACTCTACAACCTCCCTGGGCAGCCTGTGCCAGGGCTCTGGCACCCTCACTAACAATAAATTTTTCCTTAAGTTCCTGTGGAACTTTTGGTGCCTCAGCTTGTGGCCATTTCCTCCAGTCCCATCGCTGGCCACCACTGAAAAGAGGCAGCCCCCCTCCTCCTCACTGCCTCCCTTGAGGTATTTATACACGCTGATCAGGTCCCCCCTCAGCCTCCTCTTCTCCAGGCTGAACAGACCCAGCTTCCTCAGCCTTTGCTCATAGGGCAGATGTTCCAGGCCCCTGATCATCCTGGTAGCCCTGCGCTGGACTCTCTCCAGCAGCTCCACATCCCTCTTGTCCTGGGGAGCCCAGAACTGGACACAGTCTCCAGATGTGGCCTCACCAGGGCTGTACTTTTCCAAGGCACAAGATGTTGCCTTACTAAGCGTAGCTGAAAGGTGCAGTGGCTGTAATCAGGGGAAAGAGGCAAGTTTTGTTCCATAGCTCGCTTTCCTGGTGACCTGTACTGCAATTTTAAGTTCCCTGGCATTTGTTAGGGTATCTTTGGAAACCAGTGTAGTAGGTTCAAGAACTTGACCAAATGGGCTTTTCTTGGATGGGATATACAAGACAATTAAGACAATTTTTGTGCTCTGAAACTTGGGTAAAAAGGCAAAGATGTGACATAGATAAGAGAGTAAAAGAGGATATATTTTTATTTTAAATAATGATAATTGCGGGCATGTGTGAGAAATACTGAGGCTTTTACTTCACACCTCTAGGAAGTGGTGATAGCAAGTGCTGTGAGGACACCAATTGGATCTTTCCAAGGATCTCTTTCATCACTGCCAGCCACTAAACTTGGTTCCATTGCAATTAAAGGCGCAATCGACAGAGCAGGTACCTGTAAATACGATTTTCAGAAGAGAAAACTGCGGGTGGCTCAGAACACTATCAATTTGTGCTTGTTTTTGAACTGCTTCATAAAAAGGTTTCCAGCCACCACCATGATGCTGTTAACAAATGGTACTTAAAAAAAAAAGCTGTTGAGCTTTGATTCAGTAAGAATTAAGTGCTGTTTCTGAGAGGATATGTCTTAAGGATGTCTGTGCTGGGCCAAATCCTGGTGGACGTGCTCGTTGCCTTTCTGAGGGGGTGCTTCTCTGACAGCTTTAGCCTCTTGTGGATGTTCCCAGCTGCTGGAACCAGCAGGGCTTCCTTGTTATGTGCACAGCCACGTTTGTCCTGACTCTGCTTGGGCAATTAAATCAGCAAAAGAGTCTTCTGGCAGTGGAGGGGGGAGGGATTGGTCTTCAAATTGACTTTATCTGATTGACATTTTGTGAGAACTTGAATGCTGCTGTTGCAAGAGAGGCCTCAGGAAAGCAGGACTTGGGCATTTGGTCGCTGCTCGCTGGTATTTTGGCTAAGCCACATAGAATTCCTGTTCCCTTAGCCACAAATGTGGCAAGTGGGAAGCTTCACAGATTTTCCCATCCATTGGAATTGAGCTGCTTGGGTGGCTGCTGAGATTTGGGAACATTGGCTTTAGTTTGCCGGCTGCAGCCTGTCCTGCAGGAAAACTGGGAATCCTGCTCCGTGGGGTCCCCGTGTTCCCCGGCTGAGTGCTGGGCTCTGTTGGGCAGTGCCAGAGGCCCGTTCGGCGCCCGGGTGGGAAGGGGCAGGTCTCCGGTGGCGGCGCCGCGGGCGCTGACGCAGCCGCTCTCCTTGTCCCGCAGGTGTCCCGGCGCAGGAGGTCAAGGAGGTCTACATGGGCAACGTGCTGCAGGCGGGACAGGGCCAGGCGCCCGCCCGGCAGGCGCTCCTGGGTGCAGGTATTTGCTCTCTCCTTCTGCCCTAAAGAGCCCCTGGCTTCGTGCTGCTGCTGCTGCAGGGTCGCCCCAGAGCTGTGGGTTGAAGCCCGGGGCTTGTTCTGAACCCAAGCTGCCCAGCCTTGCATCAGGGTCCCCTGAGTGGGGTTTTCCCCACTGTGGGCTGTTGGTTGTAGACCTGTAGCTGGGCCTAACTGTGCAGCCTGAGGGACTAGCTCTCATGTGCCTGATAGACCCTGCTGCCTGCAGCCTCTGCAGGACCTCGGAAAAAGGAGGACACTGGAGAGCAGGCTGCTGCTTCCAGGGCATTTCGGGCTAGTGACAGACAGTGCTCTTCAAGCCTTTCGTGTAACAGGTATTTTTTTTTTCCTAGTGTCCAATTAAACCTTTTTAGATAGGGGGTTGGCAAGTTTTCTTAAGCTGTAGGTATGTGGGTGCGTCACTACACTTCCATCTTCCTATGGAACCCGAAGCTGTTACTGGAAGGGCTCACTCTAATGTTAACTACAGCATGAATGATACTGGGGTGCTGGAATTTTCTGCCTTCCTGCAGGGATAGAATCTAGCATTCCGTATCTCAGCATGACTCTGGAAAGGCCTATGGGCTAGGAAAGAGAGGGATACTGCCCTGGGCTTTGCTGAAAGAGAAGTTGCTGCTTTTCCCCCATCTTATTGCTGGCACAGAGCCCTGATGCTGGACACCCAGGCTGGGGGAGGCAGTGGTGCAAGGGAGCCGAGCCAAGCTGCACACACCAGAGCCCAAAATGAGTGTCACAGGCACCTCAGAAACCCTGGCACCAGACCGTTTTGGTCCTGGTTGGTAATGGCTAAAATAAAAATTAAATAAAAATAGATAAAATAAGGGTTTGAACCCTTGTGCTGGTGTACTGTTATAGTAGCCAATGTGAACGGCTTGTTCATATATTTTCAGTGTTGTGTGCCCCTTAGAAGCAGGGAGGGTTAGGAGGGAGAGGGAAGTGGTCCTGGCAGGCCAAATAATGCACCTTGGCCACCCTTGGCTCGGATAAAAGCTGGTCCTGGGGAAAAATCTTACTGAAATTGCAATGCAGTGTTGGGCTGCCCTTGAACTAACACACTTGTTTGTGCAAACTGTTTGCCTTAGGTCTGCCAATCTCTACTCCTGCTACTACTGTCAACAAGGTCTGTGCTTCTGGAATGAAATCCATCATGATGGCAGCACAAAGTCTAATGTGTGGCACGCAGGTAGGAGAAGGTCTGGGCTCTTGAACTAGACAAACTGCTCGCGTGATGGGGGAGAAAACACACAGTATCACAGGTCCTGTCCTGCTGATTACTGGCTTTGACTTGGGATCATGAAGCTGATTAATGAGCTTTTTGTTTTGCTGGTGCAACCTGCACTTTGAAACATAAAAAGGTAAGTATTAAAGTTATGAAACTGAGCAAATAACAAGTTTTTTTTTAAGTACTTCTCTCTTTACCTCTCCTCAACCACCCCCAAGTAAGGAAACTTTCAAGATTTCTGGTTTTAAAACCCGAAGATATTTACATAGTCTTAGATCTTGTTGAAACTTGCAGCTTTGTCTTGCTTTTCAGGTACTCTTAACACTTCAGTGTAGCTAAAGATATTTTGAAATTATATTACTCTAATATATATATTTAATTAAAGATGTTTCAGGCCTTTTTATTATTTTAGAAGAAGCTGAGACTTTTTAATGTTGCTGAATTTTGTGGTATTATTGAAAAGTACGAGGGAGAGGAATTGCTTGGCTTTGCCAACTGTAGGCTGAGTTTCTTTATAGAAAGGGGAGATATAGGGATAGAGAGCAGGGAGAGAAATAGTGTTAATGGATAGGTGGGAGAACAGGAATGGGAATAGTCTTCAGGAAGCCATCAAGTACAGCGCAGCCATGAATGTAAGAGAAGTACAAATGTGAAGAAAGACATTTCAGTTTAGTTTTTAATTGCATTCTTAGAGCACGTTGGCAAAATCTTTTGGCAAAATCACTCTGAAGTGAAGACTTTGTCACTTTAATAGATACCAGCAGCTGCTCAGAGCTCGAGTTCCCACATTCCTGGCTGCGGGCTGAGGTGGCTGCGCTGTGAAAGGCAGTGATGCTGCCCAATGCCCTGCGTGGGGACACGGGCAGGCAGTGCCATAGAAGCAGTTGCATTAATTCTGCCTCCAGATTTTCCCAAAGCCTTTTGGAGCAGGACTATCCCTGCTCCTCACAGCTCTCACTGCCTTCCTGTCACTGCCTTTCCACTTACCCCCAGCCCCTTCCCTTCATTATTTGTGCTCCTGTTCTTGGATTTAGTTTATACTCGGTTCTGACCCAAACTATCATTTCTCTGAATCCTAATTTGAAAGCTGCTTTCTTTAATGGTTATTTTGATGAAAAATATATTTTGGATTCATATAGGCAGCATTACTGAATTCTTAAAGAAACTTGCAGGCTGTGTTGGTATTTTTCCCTCCTTTATCCATGTCCAGTACACCATTAATCACAACTGTTTCCTCTTCCTACTCGTGTGTGTGTATATACACACATACCCACGCTGTTTTGAATATATATTTATGATCCTTTTATCCCTAGTTTTGCTGTTTTTCACTTTCGGACTCAGCTTCACACCTTATTTATAAGTTGTAATTATCTATATATTAATTATATTATTAATTTATAAATACTGTAACAACCTAATTTGAGTTCAGTGATTACTGAAAGTCTCCTTTTTGCTGACCTTTTGCCAGACTGGATAACAGAACCTCACTGTGAGTCAGCTACTCTTACATGGTGAGATTAACATTACATAAAACTGCAAGTACCTCTGGCTCTTCAATTGACTGCTGCTTGTCCCTTAGGGAGATTCGGCCACTAATGGAGAACAAAAATGAGAAAAATAAACTGTTCAAGGTAAAACGTAGGATCTGATCTTGGAAACTTTGGAAATAGAGGTACAGGAGGTTGATTTGGCTCTTGCAGCTTTCTAAAATTATCTATGGGACTGAAGTCCAGTTGTTCCGTCAGCCGGGATTAACTGTCTTCAGCTGTTGCGCCTGCTGTTTGCTTTCTAACTGCATACAGAACTTTTTTTTCCCTCTTTTTCTATAAGGCTTCTTGGAAATGTGCCTATAAAGTGTCCTCTCTTAAGCTTCTGTTAATACATCTTTCCAAAAAAAGTCACAGAGGCCACGCTGCATTGTTAATTATTTCTAATAATTTCTTTTCTGTTCTTTTTGAACAGGATGTAATGATTGCTGGTGGAATGGAGAGCATGTCTAACGTACCCTATACGATGAGCAGAGGAACAACACCTTATGGAGGACTAAAGCTGGAGGATCTGATAGTAAAAGATGGGCTTACAGATGTTTATAACCATATCCATATGGTAAATGTCCTTTCAGCCCAATATGAAAGTATCAGTCACAGACTTGATGCAGCTCTGGGGAGTTTACATATAATTATTTCTCTTAACTTTCTCTAACAAACACACCTGGAAATAATGTTCATGGGAGATGGACAACATCTTTCCTTTCTAGGCTTGCTGTTGTAACTGAAAAGAGAGACCAGACAGAAGGCCTAAACATGGTAGCAAATCGTGTGTTAATCTTTATCCGCCTCTCACTGATATCTAAGGAGCACAGAGCAGGATTAAAAAGGAAGTGAAATCCCAAATATTGCTATTTTTGTCACTGGTAGGTTGCTCTAGTTCACTCTTTTGTGGTCATAGATTGAAAACCACTTGTGTCTTTCTGCTGAAAATGAATATAGATTATGAGGATTTTTTTTTTTCTAGAAATATACATAGTGGGTTTGCTAGTTCCTATGTGTGGAAAAATGTAAAAATTTGTTATAAACACAAGGTTTGACTGGATTGGGACAGTGTTTTATGGGGAAAACCTTTTGTCCTGTAGCCTGCTTGGAAAATCTTGCTAGTGTGAGAATAGAGAGGAGGGGCTATCCCAAGGCTGTCACGAGACACTCTTCTCCATATTCTGACACTCTTCTCCATATCCTGGCAGCAGAGTAAGTTGCTGCTGTGAAGACTCTAAATACGTCAACTGCACAGAATTTAACTTGCCTGTTTGAACACCTGGAGGACCGTAGCATGAAAGGCTCTTGTGGTGTCTCGCTGCGTTTTCATTAGAGGTTTTTTAATCTCTATTTTTTAAGCCTTGTGCTAGATATGCTAATAATGGAATGAAAATATTAGTGTGATGTGACACACGTTCTGTGACAGAGCAGCTTTCCTTGGGCTCGGAGTTTTTATCTGAGTTTCTCTGGCAGTCCCTGAGCCCTTCGAGACTTAGTTCTGCCTGCATTCTTTCGTAGCTTTTAAAAGCTTCCTAAGGAATATCCGTGAGGAACAGGGATGTCCCGGCTGAGCTGGGGAGTTTCGTTGCCAAAGCTGCTGTGCCGCTCTCCCCGCAGGGTAACTGTGCCGAGAACACCGCCAAGCAGCTGAGCATCTCGCGGGAGGAGCAGGATGCCTACGCCATCGGCTCCTACACCAGGAGCAAGAGCGCCTGGGACTCGGGAATCCTGCGCAACGAAATCGTTCCCGTCACCATTGCACAAAAAGGTACCGTGGGAAAGCACGGACAAGTCCGTTATGTTTCCTACCGAAAGCAGGAGAATTGTCTGCTTACTGTGAACTGAGCTGTTCAAAGGCCCAGAATTGAGGAGTAATTAATAATATTTTAGAGAAGAAAATTCTTGCAGTCTTCTCGGTGAAACCACTCAGTGACCTGGGATGTTTTGTATTTTTTTTTTCATTAATGGTAAATACTGGTTTTGTTTGTTTGTTTTCTTCTCTTAATAGCGAGGTATTGAGTCTAGCTAGTATGACTTTAGCTACCATGACATCTGTTTTCATTTCACTATTAACTACCATACAGATATGTTTTTTGTCCCTTTCATTCACTCACCATGAAGTATTAATCGATTTGCTGTGAATAAATGGGATTAAGGAATAATTGTCCTCAGTTTTTATAAGTGTATTTCTTGACGTGCACGAGTAAATTTACATTTTAAAAACGTAAACTGTTTACATTGATCAGCACTTAATCAAAAGAATTCTTAAGGAAAGACTTTACTATAAAATATGAAACATATTTTCTGTTTCAGGAAAGCCAGACACAGAAGTGAAAGAAGACGAAGAATACAAACGTGTTGATTTTAGTAAAGTTCCAAAGCTCAAGACTGTTTTCCAAAAAGAAAATGGTAAATATTGTCATTTGCTATTCCCCTCCCCTTCTTTTGTTTCCCTTCAACACCAAGTGCAAAGATACTTGGTTATAGTGAAGGGCTTAGCTGTCCAGTAAGAGTCTCTAACGTTTAGATACCTACTAAGATAAAGAAATATCCTAGCAAGAAACTTGGCTCGACAGCAGCTTGAATTGGCTTGAATTAAAAGGTGGTTCGAGAACTGTATAAACGAGAGAGAACCTGTGGTGAACAGTCACCCTGGGAAGCCTCCGAACAGCCTGGCTGCAGCTGGGCTCCTGCCCGGTGCAGCTTCCTCTTGCAGTGAGAGCTGCTGTTGCCTGACCAGTCACCCTGGCTACATCACTTCAGTTGCCACTTGTTCCCAGCTCTTCTCAGCTGAAGTTGCTCTGTGTCACACTTACCCTGTGCCCCGTGCTCTGGGTGTCCCTGCTTGAGCAGGAAGGTTGGGCTAGATGATCTCTAGAGGTCCCTTCCAACCTCAGCCATTCAGTGATTCTGAAGGCAGAGAGCAGCCCTGGCATGGAAGCCCCTGTCTGACCTGCAGCTTGGATACAGCTTGCTCACAACAGCCCTTTGCTCCTTTTAAAAACCCCCAACCCCTCAAATATCACTTCTAGTTAGCTCAGTGCAACAAGTACTGCCGCATTGCCGAGGCCGAAGGCTCAGGAGCTGGGAGGAGGGGCAGAATGGCTCGCAGGACACGCTGGGGCTGTCCTGCCCTGCCTTTCACGGGCGTTTTGGCTTCCAGGGACGGTCACGGCGGCCAACGCCAGCACCCTGAACGACGGGGCCGCCGCTGTGCTGCTCATGACTGCCGAGGCCGCCAAGAGGCTCCAGGTCAAACCTCTGGCACGAATAGTAGGTAAGGCAGTTTTCTTCCCCCCCTTCTTCAAGTACAGTCCTGGAAGATGTTCCTACAGGATGTTCTCAGGCTGGGAATCTCTTTTTGTCCTCTTTTATTCATGAGATCACCAGAATTTTCTGTAATCAGGAGCCGGCTTTTTATGCCAGCTTGAAATTCCATACATTATATTGAGAAGATGTAACCATAACACAGCCTAGAGCCTCTCCTTTGCTATGTGAGTTAATGTTAAACATCTGAAAATGTCATTATGCAGGTCGCTTCTTCAGGTAATAAACTTTACACATGTCTATTATCAGAGACAATTATGTTTAGAATTTCTCTATGTTAGCTTGGTTTGCAGTTTCAGCGATAGAAGTCCTTTGTGGTAAGACAAAAAACGTTTAAACATTTTCTCTGGTTTTTGCAGCTTTTGCAGATGCTGCTGTGGCCCCTATTGACTTCCCAATCGCACCTGCTTACGCTGTTCCCAAGGTAGGAACAAAACTCAGCGTTAGAAACAGCCAAAGTTCCTAGGGTTGGATTGTTGGTTCATCCCTTGGTGGACTGATGCTGATGTAGTTCAGCTTTAAATTATAATTGCTTCATAAATAGAAAGAATATATATATTTTTTTCAGAAAGTTAAGGCTAAAATGTAAATTTTACAGTAAAATAACCTTGTATCTATTTTGAAAGTGAATATTGTTTTGTGCTCCTCACCATCACTGGGTTTTTTTTACAGTGTCAAAGCTTTGTAACTCATACACTTATAAAGCAAAATAAATAGGTAATTCTATAAGCAGAGACTCATTAAAGCAAAAGGAGCCCAGACTGAACGCTAAAGGCACTGCTGTATCAGTGCAAAGGCAGCTAATGCAGCAATGATCTTAGCATCAAATGTATTCTTTGCATGGAAGTGCCCCTCATTTCTTCCTGTACAAACCCCTATAACCCCTGAAGCTCCAGGCTTCAGTTTTGCTCTTTCCCCCTGACAAAGAGGCTGTGACACACAGAGCTAAAGCTCAGAGCTAAAGCTTGACAGAGCAGAGGAGCTGCTCGCAGCTTTGTCCTTGACTCTGGGAGCAGAGTTGAGGAGGGGCTGTAGCCTTGGCACCCTGCCTTGGTGTTTGGAAGGTTCTGGATTTTTTTTTTTTTTTTGTGGATTTTGCAAATGCAGAGCTCACCCGCGGGCTCATCCGTGCTGAGGCTGATGCTGTAAATGAGCTGCAGGCTCCTCCGCGCGTCGCTTCAGCTGCGCTGGGCAGCGGCCTCGCAGGCGGCCGGTTCTGCTGCGCCCAGTGCTCTGCAAGGGCCTTTGCAAGCCCCGGGCTTGTGATTTTTAAATGTTTTTTCCTCTTAATTGCAGTAGCATATTAAAACTAAGATAGGTCCAAGTTTACTAGGGAATTCCCAGGTTGTATTTCTCAAACTCCTAACACTGGGGCTTCAAAATAAATCTCACTTTGCTTAGCAGTAAAGTTAGCTTCGTATCAGCTTCCTATTCTTTCATGGCAACCCTTATTTTTATTATTATTTCTAGATCCTGAGTGCAGCAGGACTTAAGAAGGAAGATATTGCCATGTGGGAAATCAATGAGGCCTTCAGCGTGGTGGTGCTGGCCAACATGAAGATGCTGGGTATCGATCCACAAAAAGTGAATATTCATGGCGGTGCTGTCTCTCTTGGACACCCTATAGGGTATGTAAAATGAGCAACTCTTCGAGTTTTTGTTCTGCACAGAGTAGGATTTATCCAGGAGCATTTTCTTAAATATATACACAGTAGTAATGCCTTTAATTTTATTCTGGCAAGGGAAGAGCTGTTGTAGAACAGAGCAAGCAACTTGCTCATGGTGCAAATGTATCCCATTAATCCTCCTTCAAGGTGATCAGGCTGCAAAGCTCTGGTTAGAGAGGGGAAAAAAAAACCCCATCTATCTCAACCCCCCAAACTAAATGCAGCTGAGAAACACCCACCCGGTGCCTCAGCAGCAGGTCGGAGCTCCTCTTGTTGAGAAATCTGCCAGCAAAGACAGGGCAAGATCAGCAAGGCAGGATCTCTGAAACCACGCTGGCATCCTGGCTGTGCGTCAGCCTCCTCTGCTGTGGGAATAGGATTTGTGTCAAAACCAAACTTCGGCAGCAGAATTTGCACTTTGTTGCTGTTAGCGGCGGGTGCGTTCCATGCAGCTGTAACCGCAGGAGGCCTCGGGACTGAGCCGCCGGTGTGACAGCAGCTCTTGGCTGCCTGCAGCGGCGCCAGGGAACAGGCTGCGGGAGCCTGCGTTCCCGGCAGAGCCTCCTGCCAAGCGCCGAGTTTGGGTTTGCAGGGCCAGAAGCTCCCCTCGCTGGGGAAGCAGCAGCCCCTACTGCTCCCGAGGGTGCGGGGGCGCAGGGGGGCTTCCCAGCGAATCCGTGCCATGTTCTGCCACCTCCGTGGTTGTCAAGGGGGGAAATCTCCTTGGGCCTCAGCCCCGCTTCGTTCCCCGCAGCATGTCGGGCGCCAGGATCCTCGTGCACCTGGTGCACGCGCTGACCCAGGGGCAGTTCGGCCTGGCCGGGATCTGCAACGGGGGCGGAGGAGCCTCCGCCGTCCTCATCCAGAAGCTCTAACCCGGCGGCCGCCCGGCTCCGAAGGACCACCTGCCTCTGTTACGCCTTATTTATGAGGAAGGGGAGGAATTCTTCACCTGCTACCACCTTCTTACAACATCGTTTACTATCCGTGTGGGCAACGGGGCTTTTTACTGTTTTAACCCAATGTGTTTTTATACAGGACAAATGAAGAATGTCAAATTATGGCAATGTCAGCTCTCATGACAATAAAGAATGTTTCTCGATGCTACGCGTGGCTCCTCAGGTCGTGACTTGGGGGGCTGCAAATTAATTCCATGGAGTCCTGCAGCGCTGCTCCTCGATCAGCTCCGTGGCCCGTCCTGGGTGTGATGAATCCAGGAGCTGCTCTGACGTTCCTGTGGCTGCAGCGGGAGCCTCCTGGGAGGGCCCGGGAGCTGCAGCCTGGCTGCGGGGCTGGGTTTCTGCCTCCTGGCCCCTGCTGCAAGGCACAAGGGGCCTGGCTGCAGCCCTTGCTTAAGGTGGCGCCAAGGACAGTGTTGAACTAAAGCAGAAGTCCCTGGCAAGGAGCCCACAAGTACCAGGAACGACAGAGCAGCGCAAAGGAGGCGTCAGCCTCAAACTGCATTTTCCCCCTGTGACATCCCCTTGGGTCAGTAGCTTTTGGATAGAGGCAGACTCAGGCCTAAGGCTGGTGCAGATTCTTCTGTTGCCCTTTCCCTAAGTGCTGCGAAAGGGCTGGCTGCAGTCTTAAGTTCGACATTGAGTTAAACACTTAGATTCAGTTTGCAAGTATGGGGAAAGGGGAACAGAGGTCCTTAGAGGGAATGAAGAATCCTGTTCAAGATTGACTGGAAGGTTGAGGTAGGTTCTAGAACTGCCTTTCGCTGGAGGGGAGGCTCTTCTCTGAGCCTGTTCTAAGTCTCATACTTACTGAGGGGTGGGAAGAGGGGGCAGGAAATAGACTTTTCTTTCCTCGTGGGGAAGGAAGGAGGTTGTAGAGGCAGCTAAGGAGCACTGGGCTTTAAGTGCCACACACTAAGAAAACGAACCTTTTGGGCCAGGCCCTGGTACCCGTTTCTCTGAGCTAGAAAATATCTGCCCCATTGCAACCCTGCATCCGTGCAGCTCTGGCATGGGAGTCAGATGCTTTTCTTCTAAAAACAGAATTGGGCTGATAGTCTGATAATATTAGATAAATGAATTAACTGATCTGTCATCAACAAAGCTCTACTGTCCAACAGCCACAGACATGGTTTTCATCGGACAGATACGGGCTATCTGAGGAAAGAACTACACTACGTGTGCAATGACCAGCCAGGCTGGTAAAACCAGCAGCTAGAGCAGCTGGACTGAGCTGTGTGCCCCCCACCAGGGGCAAAACACCCCCTACCAGGGGCAAAACGCCCCCCACCAGGGGCAAAACGCCCCCCTGGAGCCCCTCTGCACGAGAGCCTTGGCCAAGCCCCACAGCTGGAGGCCAGCAGTGGGAGCTACTCGTCCCCCCAAATGCCTGACGTGCAGCCCTCCAAGAGCCCCAAAGCTGGGTTCAGTCACTCAGGTGAGACACACACAACTTCATTAAAACAAAAATATTTATTCGAGCTGTAAACGCTATGCAGTATTAAGTCGTTGGATGGGTTTAATATAAACAGTACTGCATAAGAGTGGTTCCTTAGGAATCCATGTACGTTATCGTGAACCATTGCCCTGTTGCTGTATCCATCTCTCACAAGGAAACGTGCACTGGCCGAGACCTCCACCAGCTGAGAAGGGAGGACGAAAGAGCAGCAGAGAAAACGCTCCAGGAGCGCAGCACCCGGGTCTAACTTCCATGGAATTGGTCCTACCTGGAGCTGCAGCTCCGGGATCTGTTTGGAGCAGAGGTTGTAGAGTAGCTGGGACCCAGCTCTATGCTCTGCGCAGGTCTCTCTGTGTCTCTGCCTAACAGCACAAGCCCCAGCTGCTTTCTCAACAATACAGAAGATGAAGAACACCCTTATATTTGCTCTAGAGCACCGTCAGTTCCTGCCCAGCCCTCCCCACAGCTTAAATAATTACACTGGAGGTCCCCTGTTTTCAAGTAACTCCTGCCTTGAAAAGATACCAGATGTTGCAAGAAACAGACTGGCCCCAGCCAAAGGTACCTTTTAGTCTGATGGAGGGGTTGGAGAATGTTCCATTAGAAGAACTGTTGTCTTAATGTTTTTAATAATTAATTCCAAGCCTTAAACATGGATTTTTACAGTTAGAGGACCTGCCTGTACAAGCCAGGTGCATGAGAGGCTGCTTTAGGCTTCCACAAGACAGTGAGAGCGGCTGCGGGTGCTGCCGTGTCCCACAGGAGAGAACTGCGGCCGCGGCCCCCACATTCCCAACCTTTCCACAGAGCCACAAAGCAGTTCAGAGGGGAATGCAGCAAAACACAGACAACGTGGGGTGTAACAGGAAAACTTACAACTTTTCGTACATTACATTTATACAAATTTACAATTTTGCAAATTAAATGGCTCTATAATTATGCAAGTGCTTTTTTTTCAAAAATAAACATATACCAATTCAATGATATTTACAGACTTAGCAACCTGCTTCCAAAACAGCATGATTTTGCTATAAAGTGAATCTTCAGTGCACCGAAAGTGCAACTCACCCTTTAGGACTCCTTTCCCACGCAAAACCTCAGCACAAGAACTCGGGCTTCGTGCAGCCACAGTCCAAGTCTCCCTATTCATCGTAATGCAGCGACAGCAGGAACTTGTCCACGTCCATTCCTGCTGGAAAGGAATTCGGTAGCTTCTTTTTCTGTTGGAGAAGAACAGGTGCATTAAGTGCCAGGAACTCGAGGACACTGAAGCCATCTGTAAACATTCTCTTTTTCTTCATCCTTCCCCATTCACACTGTAAAAATAACTGCACAAAACTCTCAGGAGCTGGTCCCACTGTCCATGCACTTGTGTGAACCCCCATGACGCTGTTGAGGGGACGGGGCAGCCGGAGTTCTCAGCTACAGCCTTTGCCACACGCACACGGCACAGAGCTGAGCACTGCGTGGGACGCTTCAGGGGTGCAGTAACTAAGCACGGTGGGTCACAGGTGCTCCTCTTTTCAGTTACTGCACACACCACGTTTCACTGTCTCACCTCTACCTTAAATCTATTAAATCTATTTGCCCTTAAATCAAATCCTCCTGTTAAAGGCAAGGATTTGGGAGCTGCAAAGACAGACAATGCACAAAATGTGGATTTCTGGTCCTGGCGGTGTTGGGAGGGAGGGCAAGAATAGCTGGATTTTAAGAAAATAATCATGTTTTAAGGGAAGTTTTTTGATTTTCACAGATGTTGGGACAACAATGGAAGTTCCTTGTGTATCAGAGCACTGATAAAAAGTCTTAAGACTCTTAGTCAAGAATGGGCTTGAGGAGTAAAGTTACTAAAACTTGTATATACAGGATGTCAGGGATCTGCATTATAAAGAATCATGGAATCCTTAAGACTGGAAGGGACCTTTAGAGATTATCCAGTACAACCCCCTGCTCCAGCAAGGGCACCCAGAGCACGGGGCACAGGGTGGCAGCCAGGCAGGTTGGGAAGATCTCCAGAGAAGGAGACTCCACAGCCTCCCTGGGCAGCCTCTTCCAGGGCTCTGGCACCGTCACTGTTGAGAAATTTTTCCTTAAGTTCCTGTGGAACTTTTGGTGCTTCAGTTTGTGGCCGTTTCCTCCAGTTCTATCAGTGGCCACCACTGAAAAGTGGCTGCCCCATCCTCCTCCCTCCCTTGAGGTATTTATAGACACCGGTCAGATCCCCCCTCAGCCTCCTCTTCTCCAGGCTGAACAGCCCCAGCTCTGAGACTACCACCCCACGCAAAGTGACTGGTAGCCCCTTTGGCGCTGTACATTGCGCGTGTGAGCGGGAGCGCCCGCACTTGCCTTTATTTTCTTCTTCTTGGAGGGCGTGGGGGAGCCCTGCAGGTCCCTCCTGCCGGCGGCGCGGGGGTTCCTCTCGGCCTCGCTCAGCTCCTCCAGCTTCCTCTTCTTGAGGGCGGCCCTGGCGGGGCGCAGCTGCTGGGCGCTCTCCTTGAGGGGGCTGGCGCCGCTGCTGCGGGCCATGGCGGCGCGCGACAGGATCATGAGCGTGTGCGCGGCCATGCTCACGCTGTTCTCGCTGCCCGCCTCGCTGGCGGGGCTGCAGGCGGGCAGGTCTGGCGTGGCGGGCGGCGCCATGGCGCGTGGCGTGGCGCCCTCGTGCCGCCACGGCGGCGTGCGCCCGCTCTCGGCGGGCTCCTCGGCGTGCCGCTCGCCCAGGCCACACGGCGTGCGCGGCACGGGCAGCTCGCCGCCCTCGGCGCCCCTGCCCGCCGGGCTCTGCCACTGCATGTCCTGCAGCACCTCCACACACTGCTTGGCCAGCGGGCTGGCCAGGCCCAGCGGCGGGCCGGCCGCCTTGGCCGCCTCGCGCTTGGGCTCCTTGCAGCACAGCGAGGCGGCGGCCATGGCCTTGCTGCTCCCGCTGCCCAGCGCGCCCGGCTTCCTGCCCAGCTCCGGCACCGAGGCCGACGACTTTTCGCTCCACGAGCCGACGCTCTGCTGGCCCTTGGAGAGCTTGGCCGCGTCCTGGCCCTTCTGCTTTTCCTCGCTGTCTCTCCGTAGCTCGTTCTCCTTGTTGGCCGTGGCCTTGTGGAAGGCGTCCAGGGGAAGCCCTGCGGCGGCTGCCTTCCGCTCGGGCTGCGCCTCCTTCGCCGAGGAGCCTCTGTTGCCACCGGCTTCTGGCTTGCACAGGATCCGAGGCAACGTTTTGTCCTTCTCCCTCTTTGTCCCCAGGGCTTTAGAGGAGGCAGACACAGCGTCAAGAGCAAATGAAGTGTTTTCACCGCGTTCTTTGTGGGCTGAGCTCTTTGCCATGGGAATCGGGGCGCTGCCTCCCGGGGCGGGCGGGACGTTGTCAAAGCAGAGCACCCGCCGGTGGCTTTCGCTCCCTCTCGAATTCGAGCTCCCGCTCTCTGCGGGCGCAACAGGCAGGTTCTCCTCCGCCTTCCTTCCCACTTCTGCGCTGGTCACCTTGTCTGGATTTCCAGTCCTGAAAAGGAGGTGAAAATACTCAGCACTGTTTTTATTCTGGTCGTGCAAGGCTATTTCAGCTGGCTGTGAGCTCCTCCTCGCCCAAACACCCCTCTAAAGCTGTCTCCATTTGGCAGGTATAAACATTTGATCAACACACAAAGCCCAGGACCACAGAGTAACAACTGCAGAAAGTTCAGGTAAGACCAACAAGGAGGATACAAAAGTATGAAACAGCACAGAGGATCGTTGACTCTTCAGCCTGGAAAAGTCTCTTGCCTAAGGTGCAATGCAACAGGGCTCAAGAGAAAATAAAACAGAATGGGAGGGTTCTTCACTGTATCCTCCAAGATGCAACTAAACATCATCAGCTAAAACTGGTGTGAAGTTCAAGCCAAAACAAAGCAGCTCAGACACAGAGCATAATTAAGTTTCAAATCTTTCTGTCCTGAGATATTTGTGGATGCTGGTAATTCACACACATTCCCAACAGGAAAGCCCATCATGGGATACTGCATATAAAGATACTTGTTTCTAGCTCTGGAAATCCTGCGAGCTGAAACAACCGCCCAGCTGGCAGGATGTTCTGTGCACCGTCACCTTGGGGAGGGTCTCGTCCTGCTTCTCTCACCAAGGCACTGCCAGTGGTGACAGGACACAGAACAAGGGACATTTTGGGCTGAGGTTTGACCCAGGGCAGCTCCGATGAGCACTTGGATGGGAAGAGAAAGGAGGGCTTGGTTTCCACGGGACAGACAGCTGCATTAGTGTGGAAGTCCCCACACTACTTTGTGTCCCCCCAGTCTTTGCTGCTGTGTGTCGCAGCAAAGAAGAGCCTGCCCGGCCAGCTCAGAGCTCTGCGAGGCCCCTGCCCTGCTCCCCGGCACCCCCGCACCTCCAGGACGGGACTCTGCCTTCTCCCCAGCACTGGTGCCATGTTTTATAGGAGAAAGTGCCAGGTGTCCTTGGGGTGGCTCACTCCTTGGGAGTGAGTGGTAGGAGCTTGTTTTACCTCAGTGAAATTGGAGGTGAAACAGAGGGCAAAAGAAACAAATCCTCTCTTTACGAGAAAGTTTTGCTCCCCTTGCTCTGTTGAGACAGAAAAGTTAACAGCAACCCCAGTTCCCCCTAGGTATTAACCCAGATCTTGCTCCTGTGGCTTTCCTAAGGCCACCTTCACACGCACATGCAGCATGCACCTCAGGAGAGGTTTTGTTTATTATTTTTTAAATAAGAGGTTGATTAATTCTTGTTTTCTTCCAGTTTGCTCTTCTAACATTTTAGCTGAGTCCTTACAGATTTTTTTTAGTGTTTAGAAATATGCTTTCCCCTCCCCTTTCATAAGCAGAATCTTCACCATTAATATTTTAACTCATTTCCTCCTTCGCTCTTTTAGCCTTTCCAACATCCTTTTGTTTCCCTAAGTCCCCTGGCAATAGGGGTTACTACAGCAGTGGTGTTTTCTCTCCTGCTTGCCCCGGAGAGGACTCGTTACCTATTTCGAACAGGGATTAAGTTACATTCATGAGTGCAGAGTTAGCACATGGTTCTTCTTGCCATCCTTCCCTTGACCCTTCCTTGCGGGGAGAGCAGCGCGTGGCTGAAGCGCCGGTGCAGACCAGGCTGGCAAACCAGCCTGACTGGGGCAAGGGGGGAACGACAAGGATGTCCTGGGCTCAGACTCCTTTCAAACAACCTCCATTTGAAAACTGAGACAGCAGAAAGTAACATTAAATTAACAGAGGAAAACACCAAGAGAATTTGTCTCCAAGTTTGTCATTACCAGGCAGCTGCCCCAGCACACATCACTATGTATCAATACAAAAATGAGGAGAAAAAACCCCTGGCACAGTTTAAAGAAGAGTCATTCCCTCCCCAGCCTCCCCCTACTGCACAAGAAACCCCCAGCCAGGACAGGCAAGCAGGTCAGAGCAGGGAACTGGGGTCACTGACCTCGGCGCGCGAGAACTCGCCTGGCTCGGAGCCTCCGCGACACCTGGCGCCAACTTTCCTGGGGGAACACGAAGCATTCAATGAACTCTAGCAATCCAGGTAAATCAACTCACAGTGCAGGAATATTTCACATGATAAAGAATCAATACAGAAAAATCCACCAGTAAAACTTTGTAACATCTTCCTAATTCGGTAATTAAGTATGAACAGGAAGCTTGTTGTCTTATCATAGCTAAGAGACAGGTCCGTCCAGTAAATTAAATTTTGCAAGTGTGCAAGGGTTTTTAAGCAGAAGGGATGTAACTAGAGGCAACTCTAAACTCTGGCCTAATCGGAGGACAGCCCTGTATAAAATCCAGGTCTCCTCCTTAATCCTCAACTTGATTCTGTTCTCACTTTTATGGATGGGGCTACTCTCTTAAGGAGGCTAACAAGCTGCAACACAGGTTGCCTTTAACTCCAACTAAGCTAGTTATTTTCAATTATGTTTCTTCACCTTGCCACAATACTGAGAAATGAATTAAATTCAAGGCTTTTTAAAGTTTATTATTTGAAGATGTAATCTCTCAGTGAAATAAAAATACACATTTATACACAGACACACACACACACGAAATGCCAAAGAGAAAAGAGTCCTTTTTGATATAAACATGCAATACTACTATGAGATAGACATCCAAGATATACATATCCCTAACAAGTGTTTAGAACTGTTGGTATTTCAGTGCAGCTTGGTTTCAAGGGCAGCAGTAAACTGCCCTTAGAAGCAGTCAGAGGAAAAACTAATTGGAAATACAAAGAAAAGTTTTCTAACTGCATCAGAGTCTCGAAACAAGACATTTCTACAATCAGCTCGATTCCAAGAATAGTGAAAATGCTTTATAAATGCTAAAAACTGACACGTTCTCAGAACAATCTCTTCTGTTCTCGAAGATGCAAGGCGGGTACCTGTATTAGCCTTGTTTCTTGCTCCAGGGACCTTCTGAGATTTGGGAGGGATGGGCAGTTTAGGGACACTCCTGCTACACACCGGATTTGCCACAGGCATATGTAGAACCTTGGAAAAAAGACCAAAACAGCCCATTACAATTTACCAAAGACTAAGGAGAAGTTCAGCTGTAATTGTGAAGGCCAAGGGTCTCTTTGGAACATGGTACCTGGCGAGCAGGTGCGGAGAAGGTGTTTCCGTTCTGCCCCACGACGGAGAGGGGGATCATTCCCACCATTCCCTGCAGGACGGGCTGCACCGGGGACGCGATGATGATTGCGGAACCTGAAAAACACCCAGCAATAAAATCATACAGAAAAAAAAAAAATCTTAATTGAACAGAAAAGCGTGAAGACCACATGCCTTAAATTCATGCCTGGTAAAGCCCAGGCCAAGAAAAGGTCTGACTTATAAAGGAAAGTAGGTCCTCATCACTGATTATTATCATAAAATAAGGCAAATGAAAGTGTTATGCCTACATTTACAAGCATTCTTAAAGTTTGTTTTCCTCCTTAAAAAGGAGGCATAAAGCATAATGCACATAAGCTAAGGCTCAAAGTCGGTTATTAAAGAATTAAAATTAAATTAGAATTAAAGCTTTAAGAAAAAGAGTAAAATGAAACAGGTCGTCTCGGTGCTTGGCAAACACACTATTATTTGCATTTTACTCCCTACAATTGCCTGCCCTCCTCCCCAAAAAGGTTTATTCAATCTCCTGGCATCCAGTCCACCTTCCTCAAATGAGGAAAACCAAGCTGAAAAATGCTAGTTTTGTCCAAATGCAGCTATCTAGTGTATACTCCTGATTGGTAAAAGGGGTCAAATATTAGACTGTATCTAACCAGTCAGACCGTAGTGAATCGATGGGCTTGAGAGCAGATGAGAAAAATGAAAAATAAACCACTATAAATAAAACATTTGCATATGTGATTCTGCTTTTTCTCTTAGCAATAAAATCTAATGTAGTGTGTTATATTAACAAAAAGGATCTGACTATTTTTTCATTAGAGCGGGATCAGATTTAGTCGGTATTGGCCATTAAGACTGGCATTCCTAAAACGCTAATGACGATTGAGAACTGAAGACGTACACAGTAGTGCAGAAATCCCACTGCTTCACTTAGCCATTTAAGGCACAAATCAATTGAAATGTTGTCGTCTCGTGTAGTGCCATCCAAGATATCCTTTAATCTGCCACTGCTAAAATGCAATGTGAGGTCCTGAACTATGAAGCTATTTTCCTCGAGGCAGCATAACACCGGACGCTGGTAATTTTTATTTGGTTCTTCATAAGAAATAATATGTTTACAAAACACACAATTCCTGACTTGAGTGGGCAGGCAGAGCACCAACTGAAAACAAGAAAGACATTTTTACTTTTAATGCCTTTACAAGATGAGTGCAACAGCTATGTGTGTGCGTATATAGGTATGTCTGTACACATACGTGCACGCCGGCATGTAGCAGAGCTTCCCTGCGCCCTCCCAAGCTCCATTACCTTGTGGGAAGCCCGGGGAGCCGGCCTGGCTCGCGGCCAACGCGGTGCTGGGCCGGGGGGGGGTCCGCACGGGCTGCCCGGGCGGCGCCTGGGCCGCGAGGGGCAGCGAGGCGCCCGGCAGCACCACCACGTTGGAGGGGGCGCCCGGCGGGCCCAGCGCGGCCGCGTCCGCCACGCACGTGGCGATGTAGAGGTTGTTGGAGCTGCCAAAGGCTGTGCTTGTTGCTGGCATGAGCTGTATGAAGCCCCCTTCCTTGGGGAGGGGAGCTGCTCCAGCAACGGAGAGAGCAGTGCAGTCGTCGTTGGGGGCGTTAGCGGAGCCGGCGACGGGCTCCTTTGGTCGAAGGACGAGGAGGTTCTGCTCCGCCAAGGCCGAATCCGCGCTTTTTTCGGGTTCTTCTGAAGCTGGGCACTTGGACAGGCCTGGAGTTTTGGTGGGGGATTTGGCTGGAGAAGACAGTATGATAGTTGGCAAGTTTTCTCCCGTGATGCTGGAAACGGCGTTATTCAGCTCGCTATCCGATGAAATAAACGGATCGTCGCTGATGATGATTTTGAGGGACATGATATTTGAAGACTCCACGTCCATTGGCTGACTGCCAGGAGAAACGCCACGCAGGCCCCTGGCCTCGGCGGCAGCCTCGCCCGCTGAGGACACGGGGTCTGGCAGAGGTGAATGGCACATTCCACGCGGAGCGAGGCTCTTTTCAGCAGGCACCACAGAGACTTCTGCACATGCACCACCAGAAGAGAAGAACACAGTGTCAGCATCTACTTTGGCAGAAGATGATGGTTCCTGCATTTCCCCTTGAGCTCCCTCCAAGCTCGATAGCCCTGCAGGGAGGTTCAAGTCTTTCCTGCAAGGCCTGTTGAGTGCATGCTCATCATTAGAGTGAGGTTTGTTGGAGGCCTCTGTAATGTCAAGCTGCAATTCTGCTTTGTCAAGCTCTGGAATCCTCACAGCAGATCCAACAGTGCGGTCCGACTGCTGGCCCTGGTCCGCGCAGCCAGGGAGGTGACTACAGCTCTGCTGCACAACGTCCCCAGGCAAGGCCGCTGCAGCGCTCGCGGCAGCCGGCTCTTTTCCCAGCCCTGCTGCCTGCCTAGGAAGTGAGGAATTGTTTTTTCTCACCAACACGTCGTGTCCAGGGCTCCCATCAGAAGGGCTTTTCACGTGTGGTTTTTCAGACAGTGAGGGATCTGGCAATAAGTGACACTTGCTCCCAGATGGAATTCTGTTGCCAGTGGCTGGGGTGCCATTTGCCAACGAAACCAAGGAAATCTGTAAACTACCAGAGTCAACGTATTCCAAAGCAGGACTACTCTGAGCACTGGGGCTTAGCGAATCCCTTCCAGACTCCACAGCTCTTTCACTCCCAGATACTAATGCAGAGGCCTCCTTGTTACCATAAGCATCTCCACAGGGTTCATTACATTCACTGGCAGGACTCTGTCTTTTGGTAGACTCAGTCAAACTGGGCACAGAGTCAAAAGTGATTTCAAGCTCTCCAATTTGATCAGCGGTAACTGTTTTAAGCATTTCAGTCTGCTTTTTTGGTCCACAGTTTCCATGCAACTGTTCACTGGTTGTATTTTTCTTAGTCATATCATCATTAATGCTGTTCTTCAAGGCACATGATGCTTCTCCTAAAGGAAAATCTTTACAGGATAGAGATTCTCTAGAATTATCACCTGTAAAACAGAGACCAAATTGTTTCCATAATTATTACATAATAATTACAGTAGATGATTCTATTACAGAGTTTTTACATTTGCAAACAACTTGATGGAAAACCATTTCACACAACCCTAAATGGGAATAGCACCATGCACCTAATCCTTGTTTGCAACCTGAGTGGCAAGCATCCTGTTAGACCAGACAGATCAGGTGATTTGGTCAATCAGTTTGTACATAAAGAAATATATAACTCAGAAATAAATGGGTCAAGTCTCTAAACCAGATTTCCAGAAGCTCAGAACAGCAGCTCAGGACAAAAACCTCTTGCTCTATTTTCAGAGATTTTCTCCAAAACACCTGCTATCGACTAACCATTGCTAAGTATGGGGTGCACAGACAACGAATTTTGTTCAACTCCAATCTTAGTGCACTAATTAACTAACACATTACGTTACAGAACAGAGAGGCTACTATGGTTTGATGAAAAATCTTTATAGTAATTTCACTTTTCCACACTGAAAGTTGCAGAGTATCAGTCTGCAGCAAGAAAAGAGGCTCTGCAGACATTCAGATTTCATTCAGGAGCCCTCAAGCACAACTTACACGGGTACCTGCAAGTTTAATGGTCAAAGTGCCTAACAGAGTGGGTGCAACCTTATGTCAGTGAAATGTAAACTCCAGATTGGGTATTGGCTGAAACTGAAACCATGAAGCATTTGATCCATAGAATCAAGTTGTGTGACAGTATTTTCATAATAAAAATGCACATACTGGATTTTGAGGGGAATTTTAGGAAGAAAGGATGGATTTTAGAGGAATGAAAGATTCTAGGGGAATTAACATCAACAGAATGCTGCACTTACTAGTTTCCTCTGTTCCTAAAGAACTTTCAAGTGTTTCCAGGTTATTTTCATCCACCAGGATTGTATTTTCTACTCCGTTCTGACCAGAAATACCAGCAGGTAAATTCTTGTTTACCTTGTTCTTTCCTATTTTCAAAATTAAGCACCAAGAATGTTTAAATATATTATTTTATACACAGAATTAATACACTTTAAATGAAGCATTTGGATTTCAAAGTCAAGAAATAGCATCCTAAGCTGAGCAAAGAGTAACTATTATTCTCTATTACAGATCCAGCAGTAGAATACAAGCATCCTTATCTTGTTTCTTGTATTTGAAGATATCCTTAATTACTGAAGTAGAAAAACTTACAACAACAGAAATACATAAAGAGGAACTATCATCTTTTGGACTGGGAGAATCTAAAATACCAGTAATGGAACAATCACTAAGTCAGCACAAAACCTGAATTTCAGCTATGAGAAAATGCACCACTTCATTTCCACAAATGAGGATATCTAAGTATTTCCTTCTGAATGTAGGAACACAGATGCCATACAGTTTATTTCTCTTGCAAGAGAAATCTGCTGAGTTACTTTGCTCAATAAATATTTGAAAAACCCTCGTCATTCATGATGCTTTTCATAAAGGCACAACTGAGAATAATATACCTACCATAATCAAACAAGTCAAAGAGTGCCTGAAAAGCTGGATCTGATTCTGTCTGTTCTAAAATGTCCTGTATAGCCTCTTCTGACATATGAATTTCACCCTGAAAGATGACAGACAGAACTGTTTGCTCAATTAAAACAAGGAAAAAAGCCCACCCCCAAACAGGAATTGCTTTATTTTCAATTAGTTTTTATGTTTTGCTACTGAGCAGAAGTAATAGAACTGAAAACAAGTATTGGAAATATTTCTCCTGCTGATTTAGTGTCTTAAAAAAAAAAAGTGATTAAAGTGTTTTAAAAACAAAGCAAAAAACCAAGTCCAAACAGTGGGTCCTCATCAGATGCTATGCCCTGCAAGTGCTTATTAGAATATTCTCCACGTAGCACTGACTCAGTCTGAGGCTGTGCTGGGAGCTTACACAGATGGTGTGAACAATATCAACCCATGCTAGTAAGATTAAAAAAAAAAAAAAAAAACTCCTCAGATTACCCTGGCTTCTTGTTTTTGCATATAAGTCATTAATTACAATTGACTAAATATGCTACTGGAAGACAATGCTAAACAAAAGGAAGTTTTGCTACTTCCTTTACCCAATTAACATCCTATAATCTCATCTCCAGCTTGTTTTCTGTGAGAGCAGGGAAGAGATGAGGCTACAGAGGCCACTGCTCTTCATGCCCCCGACACAAGCTCCTTTGCTTGGTAGCAGCCAGGGGGAAAACTGACTGCTCCACTTGGTGCAAACTGAAGGGTTCGAGCCCAAAGTCTCCCCCAGCCTCCAGGAGACCTTCTAAGCACTCCCCCCAAACTGTAGTTTTAAATGTGAACAAAAAAGCTTCAGAAACTCTAACGTGGTTTTTTTTCTTGGCCTATCTGGCTACATTTCTGCACTTGACTGGTGGGAAGGTGACCTGATGTTGCTCTCCTGTGTTATTAGCTAAGATTTCTTGTGGGAAGGGAGATAGATAGATTAACAATGCATTTTTGATGTGAATACTGTATGTGGCAAAACATCAACCAAAAGCTATGCTAAGCCATACTTAATTATTAGCTCCTTAAAGAACTATTCACTAGTATGGAGCTTGGAGTTCCATACAGCACAACTAGGTCTAGGATGTTTTATAAATTAACGTTTGCAAGATTTTTCATTTGTCATGACAATTACTCAGGTTATTGATTATTAAAATCCATACACTCCCAAGAGTGGTTGGCTTTTAATTATTCTATCTGAGCAACTAAACCAAGAAGCTGCTTTGACTTTGTTTTACTCAGGAAAAAGGAACACAGCTTTTTAACTGTGGATTTCAACAAACTGTCATTGGAAATCACCAAACAACAGAACAATAGCATTTAAAAGCTAAACACCTCTGCCTTAAAGATGAGGAACTGTCTGAAGTCTCCTCTTCTTTACATGAGAATCAAGAGAATAATAGTTTCCCTCATTATGGCCCCTTCTAATTGTCAGCTCAAGGGAATACATTAAAACATAAGCTTGGGGAAGCAGAATATATCTATCCTTCGAATGCAAAAAAGTATTACGAAAATATTAAGTTTTATTTAGGTTTCCAAGGCAGTAGCTCTTGCTGCATTGAACGATCATAGTGTAACATGCAGCCAATCTGAAAAATCAGCCCACACTAAACACATAAGGAGGCAGCAACATACAAGAGGGCTGCAAGATTGCAAGATATTTTTATATCTCTTATTCTTTTACCTAGAAAACTTCCTTATTATTAGTCTATTGATGAGGATCTCAAGTTAGGAGCTTCTGAAATTACCAAGGACGCCAAAGATGCAGTGACCCAAAGCAGAGAGGGGATGGACATGGGTCTGAGGGCAACCTCCCTGCTAAGCACTGCTGCCAGAAGCAGTCCTGCTGCCCTGCCTTCTGACCCTGCTGGTACAGGCACTGGGAAGAAGTTCACAGTGTTAAAGTGACTCTAAACTGCCTCCAATAAAACATGAGCTTCCTCACAGCTCAGCGGCTTGAGCCAGTCCACACCATACAGCTACAGAAGAGTTAGCATCTATAGCTGGGAAGTGGGAGAATGGTCCCTTGGGCAGAAACCAGCCCAGAAGAGATTTCACATCAGAAAAGAAGCTGGGAGAAATACTGCAATGCAGAGATGTTCAGCACAGTCCCCATAAATGACCATGTTTACATGGCTGGCTACCAAAACCATAAACAGGGCAATCCACAACCTACCTGCAGCCCAAGGATTTCATCAATCGAAGTCTCCTGTTCTGTGGGGCCACTGTCTGTCTGCTTAGGGGCCTGTGTGACGTTGCCATCACTAGAACACAATTGTTAGTTCAAAATTCAGAAATAAATACAGTATAAAGAGCCTGTGAACTCCACATGTATGCTTATTACCTGCTCAAGATCTTGTTAATGTTCTCAGCCAGCTTCTCCTGAAGAGATTTGTTGCTCAGGATTTTTTCTCTGGCATTTTCAATAACCAGTTGCTGGAATGCAAAGTTCAAAAGTGGTCATGGTCATATATCTACTTTTATCAAACTACAAAAGGAACAAAAATTTTCAACTTACAAGTAAAAATCATTTCACCACAGACAACACTTTGTAGAAACAGAAAATATTTTAACTATTTTATGTGATGCTAGTGCAAACTCATTCCCCTTCTGAAAAAAAACCTGCTACCTCTTCACCTATCTAGCATCCTTACTGTGCACTGAAACACTTGATTTATGACTGCAGGATAACCCTGTGAAAAGCAGTATTAAGCTTTCCTATACTCAGACTCTTCTGAAGTATGGCAAGGCTTGTTTCCTGCTTTTCTTCATTCCCAAAAGATTACTGTATACTGATATAATACAGGTTTCTTAGCAAAGTCAAAAAAAAAAATTAAAAGTCTATGCAACTGAGTAGACACACAGGACCAGCTTTAGTATTAAAAAAAAGCCTCTAAAATTTTCTAAACTCTTTAAACTCTGTGTAATACTTACAACAAACAATATAAAGGACTAATTTTCCTTAATTTGAATTAGTTCCTTAAAACTAGCTACCCTCCATAAGTGTATACTTACTGGGAAGTTACCATCTATGAACTCTTGGAGTGGCTCGCTTTCTTTTTCCACTATTGTTTCCTCAGTGTCTTGAGGATTTCTACTTGTTGAAAGAGGTGCAGATATTCCAATGTTCTTCCTCTTCTGAGATTCACTAAAGCATTTCAGGAAATTTATGATATATTTTGTGAGAACACAGCAAACAACAGAAGTAAAGGTGACTAAATCAAGTCTTTCCTCTCCCTCCTCAGCAAGTGAAATCATCAAAAAATAAACTACATATTGGAAACACAATAAAATCTAACTTTTTAAAATTATCTTGCACGCATGTGCTAAATATAAGTCAAAATTAAATCTATTGAGACAATAGATTAAAAGAACAGAATGGCAAACTGAATTCCATGCCCACAATTCAAAGCAATGCATTTTTTAATTCGTGTGACCCTTTCTGAAAGCACCATGACAATCAGTAGTGGCACCAAATCCCCTGCTTGCAGGGAAATCATGCAGAAATAAAAGGAATTTGGAAATGGTAAAAGTGAGCAAAAACCTGGAAAACCTATAGGCAAAAACACTGATAAGACTAGGATTTATACAGGGATAAAGATAACAAGCATAACAACAGCAACAAAAAAACCCATAGACTAGAAAACACAGTTCTTCTCTCATTAAAAACAAAGGGACACAGAAAAAAAATGTGAAGTCCACTAGCATAAAAAAAAAAAAACCAAATTTTCTGCTGTCAAAATTTGCCAAAGCCAACACATCCTTTAGGTAATACAAAAACAAAACCAGAATGTTCTTTATATTTACACTGACAGTTTTCATAACGGATTTTGGAATGACTAGTAAAGCTCAGGCTTCCCAGCTTGCTGTTTCTTTCCAGAACTAGAAGAAAGAATGTCAATGAGGCTGAAGCCTACTGTATGCAATAACATAAATAGCCTCTTATCAATCTAAAATTAAGGTCTTAGATTTTTCAGCATGAATTATCGTACACTAGCCAATGTCAGTGGATCTCAGATCTCAACAGTCTACCAGCACAGAAAATTTACACCAGAGCCTAACACACTGCAGGACCTCCAAAAACACGTGAAAGAATCGCTCACCTTTTTCGTCTTCCTGGAGACAGCAGGTTTGAGTGAAGCTTTCGTTCCTGTGATCCTGGAACTTGGATATGTATGAAATCTCCTGCTTTATTTAAAAAAAAAATGATGTAACAAAAGAATCATGGCAGACCAATCAGAGGAGAAAAAAACAGGGATTTCTTTGAATTTTCTTTGCGTAAAAGATCACAGTCCTGATTTTAGAAAACTTCCAACTACATACAGAAATTCTTCACAGAAATAAAAAGGTTAAGAGAGGAAAAAAACCCAATCAAGAGCTCAACTTACTGTTGATCTTATTTTCCTGTGTTTGCGACTGGTGCACAAACAAGGTATTCAGCCTTGCCTGTGAAATACTTTGACTTATTGCTGGTCTATGCAAAACTTGAGTAGATACAATAGAAGAGGAGCTCTGCTGCCCTGACTGTTGGGCTACAGACAATAATCCTGAGCTTGGAGCAGCTGACTGCTGGAGCATTCTCTGTCTCTTCATTTCGACAATCCCACTTCTTGTACGTGCTGAGGATAATAAAGACAAAATAAGAATACATAGCACAGGATTTTAAAGAGGTTGCCAGTTTTCCAAGATGTAGTTCTCAGGCATCATAATGTTAGACCTAATTACACATGCTCCATCTAAAATTGTTGTTTGTGCTTAAACAATTTATGAAAACTCAACAAGGCATCAACTCTCACTTCTGCAAAATGTAACCACCACCATGCCACCTGATCCACTGAGTCTCAGGCCAAAGAGATGCCCAATACTTACACTGCACATTCTCTTTTCTTATACAGGTTTCTCAAGAACTCATGTGTGTGTATATATATACATACATATGTGTGTATACACACACACACACACACACATATATCAAGTACCATAAAGAGAAATACTTATTTGCAAATAAAGTAACTTATCCTCTTTGAGAGTTCATTTGTCAGATTTTGCAATGAAGGAAACAATTCCAGATGAAACAAGTTATCTTTCCATATTTCAACTGTATGTCTGCGTATTTACTTTAAAATTATGATTTTAAATCCTTCTATGGAATTGAAACTTCATGATATTTAGACTAATTATATCTTCACTTCCTCTATGAACCACAAATCAAGTCAACAACTTCAGTAGCAAAACAGCAGTTTTCAAGCCCTTTAGCTAGGTAAACTTCTTAAAAAAAATCACTAGAGGAGAAAATGCTACCTAACAAAAGACAAGACTTTTCTTATTTTCCTTTCTTAACAACCCCAGCAATCCACACACTGCCCTGAGGACAGCAGACATATATGTCACGCAGTAAAGATCTGACAAAGTTAGAATCCATTCTCAAGAGCTCTTACAAGATAATTATTGATTGCTGAACAATTCCTACCTAGTTCCCACAACAGTTCTGTTTTTTTAACAGAAAACCTATTGACACCATGCATATGGTTCATTAACTTACCCCTCTGATTAGCAGAAAATCCTGTGGAATTCTGCATACTCCTATAAAATTAAGCAGGTAACATCAATAAAAGGCATCCAATGGAAATATGTGACTAGTTATTGCAGAAATATCACATGGCAAGTAGTCTGTCTGCACCAATTGAACGTTACTTCATGAGGTTTTAGAAGTAGATAAAAACAGAATCACAGAATCCATAAGGTTGGAAGGGACCTTTCGAGATCATCTAGTCCAATCCCCTGGTACACACAGGGTCATCTAGATGCTGTAGATTCTTTACATGAAGTCTATTGTTAAGTTTTGGATCACATAACCAGAACAGTATCAGTTTCTATATGAGCCATAGCACAGTATTTTATGACAGGAAGGCCACATACAAAACAATGCCACCACCCCATTTGCTGATCTGAGGCTTAAACCCCAGAGATGCCTACTCAGCACTTCAGGCCCAGAATGTGCAAATTCACTATTTCTGAGAAGCAGTGAAAGAGTAAAACCATGGCAACAGAAATAAGCAGAGGTCAACATGCAGTCTCACTCCTAAGGAAAACTTCTGTCTTCTTGATTTCAGGTGTATTACCTGATCTGAGAAAGTGTATAATCTAGCTTTTTCCACAGAGATGACATCATTGCTGGAACTTCATTTGTTGTTTCTAAAACAAGCCATAAAAAATGTATTAAAATAGACATATCATAGTCAAAATAATTATTTTGGGATGATTCAGGAAAGATTTAAGTTTAGGCATCTAGATGTGACCTCAATATTCTGTTAACTGGAGAGGCCCAAATCCTAATAATAAAAACAAGCACCGTAACACTGACTGATGCAGCCATACATTTACCATGAATAAATTCTTAGATTTAGGATCCGAAATGAAATTCAAAGACAAAGACGCTCATGGTGATAATTCTCACTGGAATCACATGTGAATGAGTCACTCAGACCTAACCTAACTTCATAAATCTCCCTTCTGAAAATGGGTTTATTTACCCATGTCATTTGTGGGCTTTGAAAATTTTAATATAAGGAAATAGCTTTTTAAAAGTTATAGCTTATTGTAAAATATCACCCAAAAGATTAAATGCACTTGTTTTTTCTGAAGCACAGAACATTAGATTAAATAAAAAATAATAAAAAGAGCAAGGTAGGCAGACGCATTTATAATGCTCTTCAAGAGGCCAAGCAGAAAGAATTTTGAAGAAACTGTCTCTGTGCCTTAGTTACCATTGCTATTAAATAGAGCAAGAAAAGGCAGGGGTGAAAAAAAAATCAAAAACATTCCAAACATGGTTATTTCTTAAATTACAAGACTTGGAACCAAGTGTTTCAAGGAAATCCGATTATATAATGCACATGAAAAACCAGGACTAGGGCAAATTCTGAAGCTCAAAAATCACTTTTAGGAATTAGAACTTTTCTATTCAATTTTATCCCTGCCATCTACACAAAATACTAATTTATTCTGCATTTAATTAGTTTTAAAAACAAGACAATAAACATTTCATGCCATAATTCTCTCTGGTTATATATCTCACAATAAACAGTACTTTATAACTGCTCACTCTTTCTGCACACTTTACTGATTTTTCTTTTTGTGCTTTTAGTAATATTGTCAAATATAAAGTGAAAATATGTCAACAATTCCAAATTACAATAGTCAATTCACTTAGCTCACAAAATTCTGATCTAAGTGTCATTTAATTGCCCAACAACAAGGCCTTCATCTTCTAACACAGACAGGGTGTTGTTTGAAGGCCAAAAATAGACAGAAATGACAGAAATATTGTCCCTACCCCAACGGTGACAACTAAAAAAAGAAAAATAAAATTTTGCTGAAAATTTTTGCTGAAAATTTTGCTTACCTTTTGTTTTCATGGCTACATACTCATTAAGAATAGTTGTCAAGTTTTTTCCACACAGGGACTGGAGGAGGAAAAAAAAAGACACTGATCTTAGAATCTTCCTTAATTAAAATTCCACAATACATTTTACTTAAGCTTGCCACAATTTTGGCACATTTAATTATCACAGTTCTTCAACAACTACACCATGGTGACCCTCAAACACAAGGAGCTACCCACAAAACTTCTGATGCTGAATTGTCTCAAAACGGGTAGAGAATAATCCATGAACCAAACTGCCATTCTGAACATAAAATGTGAAGTACATTTTAAATATACACATACATAGTACACATACATTGTGTACTTGCAACACACAACTGGCACCACACAGATTTACATGACTTCAGCATGACTTGTCTTTGTTGAGATGGAATAAAGCTATAAAAATATGATTATGAGCATGTACAATGGACTACCAAATATCTACATTCTTGGAACATAAAATGCCTGAAAAAAATCTGGAGACAGCTGTTGTCTAGAGTAAATTGTTAACTTTTATTTCTTATTTGTTCTGTTGTTTTAGGTGACACAGAAAATGAAGATTTTCAATTCACCACTATCACTTTCTGCACCTTTTTCAATCGTCCACGTGTGCGAACTTCTACAGCATATGACCAATAAAAACACTTAACTGAATTGCACGTATTTTGAGCTGTACTGAGAATTTTTTCTTTACACTGGAATACCATCATTTTTTTTAATGAAAAATAGGAAAAATATGTCTCCTGAGAAAATAACCTTTAAAATTAAACAATATGGTGGAATACTATGTATTTATAATTGCTTCTCTAATTCTTCCTGGCCAAAGCTTGGGTTCAGTTCCCTCCCTCACTACCCCAAACTACCCCATCACTACTAATACTCGAAGCAGTGACGACCTAACACTTGTAAGTGAAGTAAGACGTTGCATGCTCTGTTCAAGACCACTGATCTTGGGAAGATTTGCCAAACTGAACTGCAGACAAAATCCCAGTATATATGACCAAGTGGCACATTAAAAGAATGGAATACAAAATGGGAATAAAGCAGACATATAAATATCAAAAGGTTGATAGACAGCAATATTCAAAAACTATAATTTCAATATTAAATAAAAAGCCTCATTCTGCATGTGTTAAAAACAAAGCATCAAGGTATTCTGTAGGTATACACATCTATCTGCATACGTAGCTGCACACTGTATTTTTACCCACACTCAAACTTCCACACACCCTTCCGTCTGGCACGAAGCAGATCAGAGTGAGCAAAGAGGGAGCTAAATCAGAATAGCTTTGTTTTCAACAAAATCTTGCTACACTCAGAGTTGAGGCACCTTGCCTAAATTAATATTTTCATGAAAGAGAGTCTTGCTGGCCGAGGCATCTAAGAAAAATAAGTCATCTTCAATAAATAACTACAGCAACCTTGAAATCAGTAAAATCCTGGGAAACTCTTCCACACACCAATCCTGAAAACTAAACTAAAGCAGACTAAATATAATAAGCTTAATCCAATGTGTGTATTTTAAATATTAGTAATATTAAATTTTGTAAACCAAGTAAAAAAGCAGCTTCTAACAGCACAAGATTCTGAGGAACAGATGATTATCAAACTGAATAAGCACCATTTGAGAAGCAACTGTTACACCATTTATATATATTCTGAAAAAATCATGAAAGAGTTTTTTTTGGGAAAAAAATAAGGCTTCCTTTCCAGTGACGTAACACAACTGAAGTTTTTGTGCTTGCAAGCACAAACTCACCAGCAAGCAGGCTGGAATAAAGCCATCCTCAGTACAGTGCTCCGCATACTCTTTCAGGTCTGAGCTCTCTAAAATAAACTCACGGCAGGTAGCTAATAGCTTTTCCTGTTGTAAATACCCTGCAACAAAACAGAGAGAAAAATTTGCCTTTTTATGCACTATTTCTGCACATTGCGCTTGACAGGTATGGAAGCATTAACACAACCAGCTACAGGACATAATGTGGAAATACTTATGTAAGTAATGTAGGTAACACACACACACATGCATGTAGATCAGATAAGGAAAATCAAACCATTTTGAAAGAACATTTATCTTGCAAAGTATTTGTTTAGTAGTTAAAAACAGAAAGAGCCCATAATATTATTGGCATTACTGGATTTACAAACTAATATTAAAAATGAGACAATATAAGCAATTTTTGATTAATCTTTGCTACACATGGCATTGTACAGACAAGAAAGAAAGATGCCAGCCTCAAGACTAAAACTCATAGATGGGTTTTAATTATCAAGCATCTAGATTTATAATTAAATGCAAATCTATTGCTCTAACTCTACTCATAAAATGCACTACTATGCAACAACAGCCCTCTGCATGTTTTCTCATTTCAGAGAAGATAAAACATGCATTGAAACAATGCATTAGCTTTCTTCTACAAACAGTATTATACAAAAAAATATTTTCAGAGAAAGGGTTTTTTCCCCTGTACTTACTGCAGCTTGCATTTTTAGCACACATACTGGCTTGTACTTTATACACCCACCCTGAGACTCGGTAATTATCTTAACAGGAACTATTCTGAAAAGTCTGCGTTTCCAAAATTCCAATCCCCAGCAAATATGCCCCTTCAAGCCATTTTAAGCCCTGCTTTAATCTTCAAATAGTCTGAGCAGTAAAAGGTGAAGCTACATCAATCTGCATAAAGGATTAGAGAACAAAGAGCCATAAAAGAAAACATGGTGTCTTTTCTCTCTTGCCTGCAGCAGAGCTGACCGTGCAATGCTTTAAAGAAAAATTAACACACACACCTAATAACACAATGCTGAACAGCAGGATATACATTTATATCCCCAAATGAACTGCCTCAGTTCAGGAAAGTGTACAGAAAAGTCTTGCCTTTAAGTCTGCACGAAGACATCAGTCTTTCATCAGACCAAGTATAGCTAGAAAAAACAGCTCAGTTTTCAGACTCACCAGCCCTAGTTCAAATCTCAGGCAAATAAGCTACAAAGCTAAACACAGCTTGGGAATAACCACTGGGAGTTGCATTAGGATGAACGAGATCTCATATGATCTCCTGTATGAGAGAAAAGTGTAGTTGGCACCTGCAGAGCAGAGAGGGCTGCCAGTCAGTTTCCTGTAAAATTGTCCACTTCAAAGCAAAAAAAAAAAAAAAAAAAAAAAAAAGTATGAAGATTTCCTGGCAGATGGAATTTAAACTGTTTGTACACACACACTGCAATGAGGTAACCATGTGCAATCTGCAATGGGGACTACCACAAACAAGGAAGAGGCACAAAAGGAGGGGTGTCTGCTGAACTGGGAATCCTTCAGTAGTCTGTTCTGCCTTTGTACATGCGAGGACATGTCTCATTTACAGTACACTCTCACTCTTTAATTAGAAAATGATAAATTTGCTTGTTCCTTTTTCCACAGGCAAGCTCATTTTATTCTTTCTTATATTAAGATCCATCAGTGCTCACAGCACCAGAGCCCTTGCTAGAGAGAAATGAAGACGGAGGAGCAGCTGTGCCAGAAGCCCGTTGATCTGCCCACAATGTGGCCTCCTTGTAAAGGAGCAATCGCCGTAAGGAGGCTGTTAGAGATACCCCCATGCACGGCCTAAGAGGCTTGGAAAGGTTTTGGGGGATTAATGCGTGCTCCAAGTCAGGACAACAAGAATGGAGCAGCCTCAGCTCACAAAGATGGTCAAGGTTTTCCAGTTTTCCACTGAGGACACACACGCCATGAGCTTTTTATTCACAAACTGAAGCAAAACTGTGTAGAAAAGGTACAAAAAGCAACTAACAACCAAAGAAAGAAAGAAAAAACAAGGATATCATTATCCTATCATAACTTCAAGGGTTCTTTTACACTCACGGAGCTTGAAAACCTCCTTAGAGAAAATACTACTGCTTTGCAATAATAAAAGCCACATTTCTCTTTCTACCCCCAATCCCCAGGCAGCACCAGCAGGCAGTTCTGGGTGATGTTTAGGAATAAATGTTGGCGGGGGCAGCCTAAAGCTTCAGCCTCCAAGGTTTTCCACTGGTGAAACCTGCCCACCTGCAAGCAGCCCCTTACAGGGAGAAAACTGCGGGGGAGCCAGCACAGCACAGCCCAGCACCTGCGTACGGGAGCGGGGCTATTAAATACGGGGCCTTATTTCCAATTGCTGCCCTTTTCCTCCCGTTCCCGGCGGCGCAAACGCCAGGGCCCGGGGCCTTTCCCCGGCCTCCCCGGGGCGGCGGGCGCCCCTGGGCGCGGGGCGGCGGCGGCTCCCGGCGCCCTCACTCACCCAGCACGAGCCGGGCCACGTCGGACGGCAGCAGCATGGCCCGCGGCGGCGAGCGCGGCCCCGAGCCCCCGGCTTAACGGCCACGGGGAGGGACGGGGCGGGGCGGCCGTTTAACGGGCGCCGGGAGGGGCGGGGCGGCCGTTTAACGGGCGCCATGGAGCGCGGCGCGGCGGAGCTGCTGGCGGCCGCNGAGGCCGCGCCGGCAGCCAGCGCAAGGCGCGGAACGGCCGCCAGCCAGCGCCGCGGCCGCCCCTTCCGCCGGAACCCGCCGCCGCATCCGCTTCCCGGGGCGCCGCTGCCGCCGCCACGCGCGAGCCGTTAAACCGCCGCGGCCGTTAAACCGTTAAACCGCCGCGAGGTGCGCCCGGCGCCGCCCGCGGGGAGCGGGACGGGGTGGGGGGAGGCGGCGTTGGGGGCCCAGCGGGAGCCAGGCCCCTGGGATGCGCTTGGGAGCGGCGTGCGCGGGGGGGGCGTGGGTCCCGCGGAGCCCCCGTGTCCCGCGGGGCCCCCTTCCTCCCCTGCCCCCTTCCTCCCCTGCCCCCTTCCTCCTCAGCCCGGTCTCTGGTGCGGTCAGCGAAACCGTGGGGGCTGCAGAGCAGTCAGAATAACTGGTGGTAAAACCTGGTGTCCAGGGATGTGTGAAGCCCCTGCGCTATCTCATCTGGATGCAGGGGAGATGCCAATAGTCTAAAGCAGTAGATCTTCAAAGTTGTGACTGCCTGGTTTGTCTAAATGGCTATTTCTGTGTTTTCACTTCAATGATGTGCATCCCCTGCCGTCCTTCCGAGCCGCTTCCTGCAGCCTTGGTGCTGTTTGACTCGTTAAAATGATACAGAGCTGGGAACAATCTCATTCCCAGTCACGTTTCAGCCCACAGTCTCCTCAACGCTCTCCTTTTTCTTTCATTGGTGAGAGAAAGCAGTTATGGCTGTTTTTTGGCTGTTCTTGTCACCATTTGCTGCTCGCTGGAATAAATGGCATTCTTGACACTTTCTCTTCCCGTCCTGTGGGCAGTAACACCAACCCAGAGGATATTGAGCCTTTCCGTGAAATAAGACTGTGATGTCTGATACAGAAATGTCAATATATTCCATGTATTGAATATATTACAGTTGTTGAGCTGGTTGATTTGGTTGATTTTTTTGTAATTGTTTGCAGATACAAATGACTCTGCTGTAAACCTGAACCATAAACTGGACCATGAGCCTTGCATTGCATGATCTGTTCATTTGTTGCCGTCAGCTTGAAAATGACACAGCAACAGCACGAAGGGTAATGAGGTTTCTTTTGGTTTGTATTGTTCTTAATGAAGCAAATGATTAATAGCTTATTTTTTCTTAATACATTTTTCAGGATGGAATTAAAAAATTCAAGCAGCTGCTCTGTAACTCTGAAATAGTTTTACAGCTGGACCGGAATTCTGATTCCAGACAAGCAAGGCAACTCGACTGGGATGCAGTGTTTGAGTAGGTTCTTTCACTGTCCAGAGCAAAATGCTATTTCGGGGATGACTGAGGGAGGTGAGGGAATCGTGACATAGTTGTTTATCAGTTGCTTATCAAGCTTATTTTGAGTAATCAGGTTCTGTTTTCAAGTATTTTTATTTTACTTTCATCAGAAATGTACAGATTCCTGATTAATGTCTCTGTTGTGTTTTTGAAGAGCCCTACAGAGGTATTTCCATAAAGAGATAAGGAGCCTCACAATGACAAACCCAAATGTATCTGTTTCAACACAAGTTTCCAGACAGAAAAAGATGCAAGACATTGGCAGTTTGGTCAAATACTTCATCAGGCGTGCTAATGAAAGTCAGTCGTATATTCATATAAAATTACTGATTCTTTTATTTAGTGTATTCTTGTATTTACTCTCAATTCTCAGTTTTTGCACTGAAGTAAAGGGGTACATCTTTCAGCTGCTAAATAAATTTTTAATCTTTTAACTTTATTTTTTTGCTTGAATTAAATATTTTTATGTTAATTACGCTTTTAGATTACTTTGTTGATGTTGACAGTTCATTTTTCTTTATTTGCTTTGTGTATAAGTGATGAATCCTTTGTATTTTATAAGTAACTTAGTTCTTAGAAGAACTGTTTCTAAGCTGCATTTTTATTTTTCTTTCTAAATGAACATGAAAATATTCAATTTGCAAGCTATTAGTTCCAGGTCTATTATACAAACTTAGCATTAATTGCAGTGCTCACTTTGTGTTTTCACACAGGAGGACCCAAGCTGAGATGTCAGGAACTTCTAAATTACGTCTTGAAAATCCTGAGAGATGCAACAAGTTGTGCAGTTTATGGGGCTGACTGTAGCAGTGTGCTCCTAAAGGATATTCTGTCTGTAAGGAAGTACTGGTGTGAGATATCTCAGCAGCAGTGGTCAGGTAATGCTTTTAAGCCTACTTACAAATGTCTTTTTTTTGTTTATGCAAGTCTATTTAGATATGCAAAGGTCTGTTGTGTGAGATTCTACACAAAACACATGACGAACAGGGTCAGCATTGAAGGTTTACAGCTAGTCTTTGCTGCTTTATTTCTTTTCACATATTATTTGTATTTTTCCTGCTGAAACAGAGGTGCTTGTATACAGCTGTCATGTCTGAACTTTCCTGTAATGTAATGAACTTTCCACTCATCTGTTTTGATTTGTTGAGGTAATAGTGTAGGAGATGAGGAACTCAAAAAAAAAAAAAGAACTTGGAAAAAAGACTTATAAGATCTTTGAATACAATGGAGAAGTCTGTTTTCATGGACTCTGGCTGTTGCCTCAAAACAATTGGATTTGGTCAGCAAGTATCTCCATGAGGTGCACTTATGTGCAGGAGGTTCTGAGCTTCTGCATGTTGACAGTTTTACTTGCATAAAGGATGAGGAGTGCTCATATTGGCATAGAGAAGCATCATCAAAGATGTCACCAGAGCAGCTCCCACTATACGGATCCTGCTGATTCCTTGGATTGTTCTCCCTTTGCAGTTTTGTCGGGTCTACTAGTCTGACAGTGATGGGAATATTGGCTTCAAGTTTCTTGCCCTGGCATCCTGCAATGAAATCACTGCTACGTGTTTCAGTTCCGCCACTGAATCCAGCGTTGGGTACTGCGGTCGCCCAGTTACAGCTTTGTAATGAGGATGGGGGATATGGGCCAGCTCTGCTTCCTGGCGTGCAGAGAACACGCAACTGTGACAGTTGCACAAATGCTGCAAATGACCTAGACCTCCTTGGGAAGGAGATGTCAATTTTCTGCTGTATCTGAGGCTAGCAGTATGAAAGATGTTAGCGTTGTGAATCATGGTGAGGCCTGGCGAGATGTCCACGTATCTGCCAAGGCCTGCATAACGCTGGAGGGGAAGTGTGGCAGTTTGTTTATTTGTAGTTGTCTTCCTTCATAGTTCAGACTAATGTAATCAGTATCACCCATGTAGAGTGTTCAGAAGAGATTTTGGAACATGGTCTCAGAGGCCTTGATCCTAACTCTCTCTGAGGTGAGCTTGCTCCCCCCTAACTGATGATGCACTGAGCAGAACAGCTAAGAGTCGTCAGGGTTTTCTAGACGATCACTCTATTGAGAAGAAGCGTAAGCTCATGAAGCTTCAAGGATGGGAAAAGCTTAGAACCACAGAGGAAGACCTCAGTGATCCCTCTGTCATCTGAAGGTTTTGAAATTGGGTTTGTATCCAGAAGACTGTATGGTACAACTACTCTGCTGGCAACTATGTGGTGGTGTCACCTGGAGGTTGCACAAATCAAACAGAATAAGGCTTTTGTATGTGTGATTTCACGCAGACAATGAGATTGGTATGAGGCTGATGTCAGGACAGTGCAGTGATTGCTAAGGGGACCTTGTGATAAAGGAAAAACCTGTGTGTAAGGTTGCCCTTCCTTCAGAAAATTTGTAGTCGTGGGCAAAGTACGGATGTGTGGCTCCAGGGACTGTGTGGAACTGTCAGAGCTGCACATAACAGAAATACAGAGGTGCTCAGTACCAGCTCGTTTGATCTCCTGCTCTGTTCCTGTTAGCCTAATTATTTGTTAATGTATATGGAGCTCTTGATTGCTTCCGACTGCTTTTATTGTGCTGTTCACAACAAATGGAGCCAGCTGTGCGGAACAGCCCATGTAAAGGGAGCTGAGGGTGGAAGCAGTTGTAAAAGTCAAGCATATGGTCTCACACAGTGACTGCAGTTCTCCTTGAGGGGCAGACAAGCCCATGTTTGTTTTCTTTTTCTTATTGTTAAGTTTTATGAATAATCACATACAGCAAAACTGAGATTTTTTTCTATATTTAATGTAATATTTTACTTAAATGCTTTCATGTCATCCTTTTAAATACATACTTTAGATACATTTATGCACACACACGCACATATTATATATATATATATATATATAAAACATAAGTATATACATTCATTTTGTTCCATTTGTAGAGCTGCTGATCCTGTATGGCCAATTATACCTCCATCCTTCCGGGAATATTAACCGAGTTTTGGCGGCTCGGATAATTCACACACTTATGAGAGGTTATTGCTTCCAAACTGATGGCTTGAGTTCTGATGTGTTTGTCTTCTTTTCCAAAGCAATGCTGTGTGTGAGGTATGTTGCAAGTGCTCCTTTTCTATCCTGATGCCTTCTTTGAGAAGAAACTCATATCAAATTTTGTCATTAGACTTGAATAATAGCAGATATGTTACTAGAGACATACTTTGTTGGTCTGTATTTGAGCACTGATTTAATACATCCTTTAAATTATAAATAACTATTTGTTAGGTAAATAACGTTCAGAGTACAGTACTTGCTAGTACTTATATTTAAATAATTTCCGTGGTAAGAAATATGGTTATTTCCTCTGGAAGTGTGAGTGTTTGGTTCATATTGCAGGCAGGAGGAAAACACTGCGGGCCTGGATCATATCCTTGCAGCAATGAATATCTTCTGCAATACCTTTGCTGCCAACTGTCGCATACGGATTTGTAAAATAGGAGAAGAAATCTTGCCAACAGTGGTTTATATTTGGAGTCAGTATAGACCAAAAGATTCCCTGAAAGAGTCAATAATTGAGTTGTTTCGTCTCCAAGTTCATATTCATCATCCAAAGGGTGCAAAATCTCAGGAAAAAGGTAAAGTACAAAACTCCCTTTTTTTTTCTTTTTTTTCTTTTTTTTTGCTAGCATTGTAAAATTCTTCAAATTACTACGCTTAATTTCTGATATTTGAAACTATTGAATGAGAATGACTACTGCTTGTTTCATACTGTAGATTGATACTGACTAAAACTGAAAGTAAGTTTTCAAAGTGTACGTATTAGAAAAATATTAATTGCATTAAATCCGATACAGGACTTAATCTAAATCTTTTTAATCTAAAGATTAAAATCGTAAAAAAAGAAAAGAAAAAAAGAAAAAATCCGCTAGATATCCTTCCTTCCTAATAAATAAACCACAATAAAAGCACAGTCTTTGGGGAAAGGGAGTGATAATTTAGTTTAGATTGGTACATGTATTTGTATATTACTAGGTTTATTTAAGTCCAGAAATGATTACTGTGGTATGATTAAGTCTCATTTACTATGTATACAGCTCAAAGAATGTCAGTTAGTAATTTATGTAATTTGTGTCTGTCTGTCATAGCCTATTTTTAACTGTACAGCTCTCACTTTAAAAAGTGCTTGCTCTTGTCTTTGAGTACAAAATGGTAAAAAGTTTATAGTTTGTGTATGAATTTATCAATTGCACTTCATTGTGGTCTTTCCACTTAGGTGAAGAATTGTCTATTAGAAACTTAATTAGTGAATTACTTGTAAACTGTGATTAAAATGTCTCAATTGTGTGCACTTATTTTTTTTACTTTACCTGTTCCTCATCATAAGAGTGATTGCTAAAGATCTGAGACAAGACCTCAGTTAGGGGATGATGCTGTATTTCTAAAGATTTTTTATGATTTGCTAGTTAAAAGGTTTTTATGAAGTTGGGTATATCATACATAGATTTGAGTTGCTATTCTTTGGAGGGTGGTGGTGTTATAGTCAAAGTGCTTTAACAACATTAATGTGGCAACATATAGAGGGAGAACAACAACTTTTAGTAGATCACGTTGATATAGCTAGCAAATGAGTTGAAGCACACAGTTTATGTCCTGATTAATTACTCAACGTCAGTGAATACTAACTTCTTTCTCATCATTTGCATCTCCCATTTCTTTATTTTTTGCTACCTTATTCTTTTCTAGGTCTGTTAATAGCGCATCTCTCTAGTACTTCAGGATTAAAAATAAACCATACTTTTTTAAAACCTTAGCAGCTTTAAGGAAGTCTACACTTTTTTTGGGTAAAAAAAACTTGGATGGAATTATTTGTCATTTTTATGTGAAAATATTAAATCATTCTTTGCTGTTTTGATGGTTTCCGATTTACTCCAGTACTTGCTAGTTCTTTAGCATCCCTGAGAGATATGAATACATCAATCTTAAATAGAAAAGAAAAATATAGGAATTTATTTATTCCTTATTCCCAAGAGATGTAGGATTTTATTGGCTATGTTTTTATTTTAATTTCGGTTAACATAATTGTTTTGTGTAGAGCTAGCTATTCTTGAGGATGTTTGTTTTGTATGAGTATACTAATGGCCAGTACTTTACAACTGTCCTGTAGATGCAATTTGAAACTTTGGTCGTTTTCTTGAGCTAAGAAGACGAGTTGATCAAACATTTCTGACAAGTGCTAGAAAACTAATTCTGTAATGAGCCATACAGCAGACTGGCCATGGGAGAGATGGGAGTTTCAGCTCCCTGAAGTATTAGGTAGTTACCTCCAAAATTTTCCTCTGTTGAAGAGAGTAAATGATTCTGTGCCCCTTTTCATTGCAAATGATATTTGTTGTCATTGTCAAACTTTAAATGTTTTACTCTGATTTTGGCAGTGTTGCATAATCAAGGTGGATTTGCATACTTTCTGAGGTGGGTGGGATATTCATTATCTTTACATTATTTTTGCATTACAGGTGCATATGACTCAACAAAATGGCAAAGTATTTTATATAATCTCTATGATCTGCTGGTGAATGAAATAAATCTCGTAGGTAGTAGAGGAAAGTATTCGTCAGGCTCACGTAATGTTGCTGTAAAGGAAAATTTGGTTGAGTTAATGGCTGATGTTTGTCATCAGGTAATGTATATTTTTAGCTGAATACGCAGTTCATACTTGTATGTGATGTGTTATATGTTTTGCTTTTTCAAGTAATACGGCTTAAACATTTTTCCAGAATGACTTGCTGAGGTGTTAGTACTTTTTATGCCTTTTTTGCTGTGTGGGTTCTTTTTCTTTCAGTTTAGAAAGTTTGAACTCTTAAATTATAGTAGATTTCATTACTGCTGCTTATAAGAATGTAAACATAAGTTCCACTATATAGATAACAATAAAATTTGGTTTATTGCCTCCTGAGAGACTTTATGCATGGTAAAATTGACTAGTTTAGCTTAAAATTTCGAATTTTGTGTAAAAATATATATATACACATATATATTTCATTTGACCACTTGTTCATATCTCTTCATAAAGGTTTTTGTTCATGGTTCCGGAGCTGAGGAAATCAGCCAGTCCTTCAGCATCTTACCAAGAGAGTGCAGTGAGGGAGCAGTGCCGAGCAAACGCAGGAAGACTGAGCTGGGCTGGGATGTGATTCGAGACAACCTGCAAAGATCCCAGAAGGATTTTGATGTCATACCCTGGTAAAAATGTCTTTACTTGAAACAAATTGCACTTCAAACCCTCTGTGCTCAATCACACTGTGTCATGTGAATTGCTTTGGTTTCTGTTTTCAAGGTTGCAGATTACAGCTCAATTAATATCAAAGTATCCCATGAGCCTTCCAAACTGTGAAATACCTCTCTTACTCAATGTTCTTCACACGTTGCTACCTCAGCAGCGACGAGGAGAAAGGACCCTGTATGTACTGAAGTGCCTTATAGAGGTGGCATTGTGTCAAAACCAAAAGAGTAATTTGAAAAACGAGCACAGGTTGGAGCTCCAGAGAACCTGGGCAAAGATTTGGTCTCTTACCATTCGCAGCATAAGTTTTCAGCAAATTGAAATAGAGAGTTTTGGACTACTTGGAGCCATGATTCAAGGAAACTTAGTTGTAACAGATAAAGAACTCTGGAAGATATTTGCAGGGCCTGTATGCAAGCCTTCAAGGTAAGATGGGAAATATGGATAGTAATTATGTCAGATTAACATATGTTTAATTTCTACAAATAGAAAAGCTTTATTGTTGTGGCCATACTTCTAGTTAAGAACTCACAAAAATGCTGTTGAAACATTTGAAACTGGAAGAAGCTTGTAGGCAAGTGTAGACATGGAAGAGGAGAGGCAAGCGTCTTCAAATGTAAAATCTGACTGCTAGATATTTTTGATTTGGTATTTTTGATAGAATTTATTTTTTAAATTAAAATGTATGTTTCGTCCTAAATATATTTTGATTCTGAAACCAGTGTTTTGATATCAGTGGTCTGAAATAGACAGGGAGCATCTGTAATAGCCCAAGCCTGGCTTTTGAAAATGCAGAGATTCCTGTGAGTACTCTAAGTTGTTATTAGTTGTTTATTTTGCTCCCACAGCTGGGCAGCAAGTACAAATACCGACTCTGCTTTAGAGTACTGTGCTGCAAATCCCACCCTCTTGTTTCTCACAGGTCATCTTTTTTGTTACAGTTCTGCCGTGTGCTGCTTAGCGTTAGCGATGTCTGCCTGTTCAGTGCCAGAAAATTTAGATCTAGGAATGGAACAGAGTAATGGTGAAAGAAATCTGGGTTCCATATTAAAGGAGGCAATAATGAAATGGGTGCTGTCCTGCCATTTGGAGGAAGAAATGGAAGAATGTGTGGAGTTGCCTCCTGTGCTATGCAGGTGAAGTCTTTGAGCATACCTTTGTGTATAAACTGACCTCATAATGCGGAAGGTTGCACAGGAAAAAGTGGAGTAGTAGAAATTTATTGTTAATGTTTGGCTAGAATTTATAGGGTTTTTCTTTTAAGCTTGGATGTCATTTTGGGAGTGTAATTTAGCTGTGTGTCCTTAACATAGCAGATAGGTGAAATATGTGTGTTAGAAATCTTAAGTAAAAATGTAAGTTTTTCTGAAGGAATGCAGCGAATCTGATAAATACTTGTGTGCAATTTAGCAGTCTCAGTACTTTGATTGAAAAAAAAAACCACAAATCACTTTTCCTTTTTTACAGTGATTTTCCCCATCTTTTGCTGCAAAAAATTCTTGTGAGCCTTACAATGAAGAACTGTAGAGCTGCAGTTAATTTTTTCCAGAGTGCTGCTGAATGGTATGTTTAAAACCAATCCTCGCAGATACTTAGGTTTCTTAGATTTGTCATCATAGCAAACAGTGACAACGAAATGCATAGGTTCCTAAAACTCTTTTGCATCTTTCTGTAAAACAGCTGTCAGACTCCATAAAAAAGGTAGAGTTTCTGCAATATATTTAGGTGTCTTAAGCAGATCTTACGATAGTCTCTTGCTGACAAGCAAAGCCCCAGATACTGAAAAAACACCTTTTGGAGTGTATCATCTGTCTTAAGCAATGGAGCTAAGTAAAATAATTAAAATAGATTTGGCTCTTTACATGTAAGTAGTTATTAGCTATTTTAAACTCATTGCCCTTGTATGTTTTAAATAATGTGCAGAATTGTGTAAATGTGTATCCATTCATAGAATCATAGAATCATAGAATCATAGAATGCCGAAGGTTGGAAGGGACCTCAGAGGTCATCGAGTCCAACCCCCCTGCTCACGCAGGGTCACCTAGAGCACGTGGCACAGGGCTGCATCCAAGCGGGTTTTAAAGATCTCCAAAGAAGGAGACTCCACAACCTCTCTGGGCAGCCTGTTCCAGTGCTTTGTCACCCTCACAGTGAAGAAATGCTTCCTTAAGTTCCTGTGGAACTTCCGATGCTTCAGTTTGAAGCCATTTCCTCTAGTCCTATCCCTGCCCACCACTGAAAAGAGGCCGCCCCCCTCCTCCTCACTGCCTCCCTTGAGGTATTTATACACACTGATCAGGTCCCCCCTCAGCCTCCTCTTCTCCAGGCTGAACAGACCCAGCTCTCTCAGCCTTTGTTCATATGGTAGATGTTCCAGGCCCCTGATCATCCTGGTAGCCCTGCGCTGGACTCTCTCCAGCAGCTCCACATCCCTCTTGTACTGGGGAGCCTTCTTTTCCTATATTATCCTCTATTGTATAATTCTTTTCCTATATTATCCTCTATTGTAGAGGAAACACATATCTTAGAAGTTTTTTAGAAGGTAGTAGCTATAAAGCCTGGATAGTTACATTCCATGTGTCTTACTGTCACTCTGACTGTGGACCCAGCCACATGTTCCTTGCACCTGTCAAAATAATGTAAAATACTATTGCATTTTTCACTGATGTATTATATTTAAGTGCTTGGGCAATATCCAGCTTCCTCTTAACAAAACTAAAATGTTTATATAAGTTTTTCTGCTTTACTTTTCTTTCTACGAGTTAGAATGCTAGTTTCAGAGTTGCTGTGAACATCTGCTGCAATTCTGTGAAAGCAGGTTGAGATCAGCTGTCCTTATATAAAAGGGATGTTGCTATATAAACTACACTAGAACTTAGGGTGTGTGTAGGCTTTATTTTTGTTTATCTCGGAGCTAAAATTGCAAGTATGCATTTCATGGAGTAATTCACCTAAGAAATTATAATAATGGAATTTATAAACAGACAAAGATAAAATATTTTATTTTGCTTTTATGTATCTCTTACATTTAAATAATAGCTTAAGGGACTTGTAGGCTGTATATAGGCTGTTAAAATAAGAATGATGTCTGTTCTTCCAGTGTGCAACACTTGCAAGTGAAAGAAGAAAACAGTTTTTCTGACGTTGAAGAGCTGTATCTCCAGACAACATTTGATGAGATGGATATTTTCAGTAACTTTGCAGTAAACAGTGGAGATAAAAATGTGACTGGTTCAAGACTTGCCATCAACCAAAATCTTAGGGAAACATTGGAGCACTGTCTTACAGTGATGTCAGAAAAACTTTTAAGTAACTATACTCCTAAGGTAAGTTAGAAATTACTGGGAATTTTGTTGTTGTACTGCCAAACGTTAGAGTTTCAAGCCACAAAGTCTATAGGCTTTCATTCTTTTGCTGCTAAAAATGGATTGCAGACATTAAAAAAAAATCCAATAATATGACAGAAATCTGTATTTCTTTCTGTAATTGTCAAAATATCTATAGTTCCTTCCGGTAAACGGGAGTTTATAAGCTGAATAGAAGTGGAAGTGTGTGCAGAGCTGCTATCTAAACCATTGTTGCCTTTTTTTTTTTTTTTTTTTGGTGTGTGTGTGTGTGTGATTTTTTCCTTCCACTCCTGTCCTCTTGTTGAAAAAAGGGACGAGGAGGGATCTTACTAATGTGTAGAGAATCTGAAGGGAAGGTGTCGAGGGGATGGGGCCAGGCTCTTCCCAGTGGTGCCCAGTGACAGAACAAGAGGCAACGGGCACTAGCTGAACCTCGGGAAGTTTCCTGGCTTACTTAGGGAAATATCATGGCCAGCAGGAGAAGAACTACCCAGGATAGACTTTTGAACCTAACTTCCTTTGACAGGCTTGCCCTGGTTTTAATCTAGTGGTGAAACTTCCTTGCAACTTGTGGTTAACATTCCATAAAATTTTTCAAGCTGAGAGAGTCAGTACTGGAGTTTGGAACAAAATACTGACATTTAGGAATTGTGAAATTTATTTCTTGGTTTACAAGTGTAATAATGGTGCTGTGCATAAGTCCTCCTGTCTTTTACAGATAAGTAACTTTCAGGAATGTGATAGTAATGCTTTTTTAAAGTCTCCTTTTGGAGAAAATAAATCAAAATTATTTGTCTGCTCTTTCTCCTCCTATTATCCAAACAATAAGGGTGAGAAGTGGTCTCTTAAGATATTCCTGCAGCAGATCTGCATGCACTCACAAATCCCTAAAAGGTATTTGACATGGAAGCTGCTAAGAAGCAAGTTAATTTACTAAGATGGCAAGGGGCAGCAGGGGAAATGTGTTCCTGACTAGGCTGATACTCTCTCCTTTCCTGGCAGGAGTTAAAGGAGATAATCAGAGTGCATGGGAAGAGCTGGTGGATGGAATCTAAAGGAAAGGGAGAATTTATATTGTGAATATATATCATGAAGAAAAGTGTTAGGGCCATGGGACGTGCAGAGAGTGTTAAAAGTATTAAAACATGGAGAGTCAGGAGGAGGTGTTAGGGCGCTGGGACTCCCACAAAGTGCAAAACCCCCAAAGCTTCATTGATTCTGGTGAAATATGTTCGTCAGATCTTGAGAGTTAGAGAGAGACACTAGAGAATTCTGTACTTGAATGCAAGTTTAATGTGAAACCACTTGCTTTCATCCTTTGTATTTGGTTTAGTCCAAGCTGATTGCTGCAGAGCACCTTGTCCGATGTGTTGGTCTTTTGGTGGGTGTTCTTGGCTGCTACTGCTACGCTGGCATGCTTACTGAGGAGGATGCCTGTAAATCAGAGCTGTTCCAGAAAGCTAAGGTGAGCAACAGTCTGTTTGGGGGCTATTAAAAATGCAATAGACCTTTAAATATAAAATCATAAAAAATATATGTTTCTATTAACACATTTTCAGAATATGAATGCCTCTGCTGATTTCTATGCCTTAAAAAAGCATAGAGTTGATAGATACCTGAATGTAACTGTTGCTGAAATAGAGGTAACACTGAAATTCTATCAAAACAGTAATAAGTCAGTTTTGTAGCAGAAGATATTCTAAATATTAATATAAATTAATAAATTTCTGTATCACCTCTTTAGTCAGGGAAGATGTAGCCAAAGGACTTAGGTATTTTCATCTAGTAGTGTTTATGCAGGGCTTTGTTAAGATCTTTTGATGGTTTAAGCCACTATGAAGACAGTTCTTTTTTTTATGTGAGTTTTTTTTTCTGAAATAGAGAAACCTATATATTAAGCTTTATGGAGAGATGCCCTATTTTTGTTTTCTAATTAAAATGAAAAAGACCCAAAACCACTGGTCCACTGGTTCACACACACTATATACATATGTATATCAAAACTTGAGTATGGATGAGAGTCACTTTAGTTTAATCTCTGTGTATATGTTGAGATATGAAGGAATTTGAGATATTTTGACTGTGTTATGTTTTTACTAGTCTCTCATTCATTACGCTGGAGAAAGCATTTATTATGCTAAAAACAAACTAAATGAGGATGCCCAAATCAACTCCCTGAGAACTTTGATATTGCAGTACACAAAGTGTTTATGCAACTGTACCAAGGTAGAGTATATAAATAATTTCTGTTTCTCCCTTAATGAATTCACAAACCAGAATATGGTGTCTGGAAAAAAAGTGAATTAACCTATTTCTACTTCTTGCATTCTCACAGAACACTGCTAGTAGGATGCTCTCCGACTTATTTCTACGCTTGTTAACTTCCAAACTTATGAATGATCTCGTAGATATTTGCAAACATCTGGTAAGTTTGTTCTCCATGTTTCTAAATGTTGTGCTTCTTTATGGAGGACTGTTTATATATTATAATACTTTGGAGGCAAACCAAAAGAGGTACCTGTATGTGTACACTTAGTTTTATTGAGATTTCTAATTAGAAACATTTCTGTGCAGCAATCTTACATTGTGAACACAGGTGTAGGAGGGGAAAAAAAGATTTAATGAAAGTTGGGATGCCAGCTTTCATTAAACAACAAATTATATCATGTTAATCTTTAGTTTTGGGGTGGAGAAAGCAGTAGTTACTGTGCCCTTAAGAAAGGTCATATGCCATCCTTTCATTTCTGTATAATTACCACAGAAATCTGTCCTTTTAAAGAGAGCTGTCTTTCAGATGCCCAATGATGTTCTTGGCATTATTTAAAACGTAGCAAATAGTTCCTGTCTTAGGAACCTTGTGTCATAAGGAGTAGTTCAAAGCAAGCAATTTACATGCCTAGAAGATGGGTTTATCACAGAAGATTAAATTCATAAATTCAGGGTAGCACTTATTTTTCTTCACCTCTTTAGCTCACTGGGACCCTGTGAATCTTTTTAGTTCACTGGGAAGCTAGTGTCTTTCTTTGGTTTCGTGCTTATGTTGTTTCTCTTGTCATTAAAAGACAACTTTAAAAAATGTAATGCTTTTGTCAGATGACAATTACTGGGAAACCAAGTGAAGTGAGAGAAGTGGACCGAATGAAGAGTGATCCTGAGGAGAGTATAATGGAAGTAGATAATCAGATGCTTGGTGATGTATTTGATGGTCCTTCTGTGCCTGATATCAGTGATACAAATGAATCTGGTGAGATGCAAAATGCCACTGGTAAGTCTTCCCTAGTGTACAAAACTATTTGCAAAAGCTTAAGACGTTTTTTCTTTGTTTTTAGAACTTGCTCTTTCTTTGAACAACATGTTGAATTGTGATGCTTTGAGTGGGCTGATCAGCTAGCAGCTAATAAGTAATTTCTAAATAGTAATGTCTTTTGCACTTCGTTAGGTTTTTGAAGACATTAACGAAGTGTTCCAGCTTATTGTCTAGGCCACCTGTCCGGTTGTGTCCTGGTTAAAGGTGCTTAATCCTGTTAGGAGCTAAAATCTCTGATATTTTCTCTGTTTTTATGTCTTTCTTAAAATGATGTGCATCTTAGATTTTAACCAGGATTATAATTTCTGTAATAGATTTTAACCAGGACTATGATTTCTTTAATATTTCTTGAAGGGAAAGGAAATGACAATGTTACATTACTACTACACACTCTAGGTCTTTTATTCCCAGCAAGCTGGCCAAGCGCCTTCAGAACTGCCTAATAAATAATTGTAAAGTGTGGCACAGTAGGAGGTGACAAGAGTTCTAAATGTGACAGGAAAATGGCATTTCTATCTATTTCTTTTAAGTCATATTTAAAATTTGGATCAAAATGTTAATATAGTGCTAATGGTCATAATTTCAATTTTGGGGAAACTTTGGATCTGTAGTCTAAAATATATCCTAAGTAGGAGTTAACAGCATAAATCACAGAGGTGCAGATGTTTCTGCTGAGTTTATTGTCTGTCTCCTTGATGGAGAGGCCAGTCATACGTGAGTACGTACAGTGAAAAGCTGCTGTTTCAGCGAGTGTCTTTTCAGATGTGGGAGCAGACTCAAGATGCTAGTTACTGATGCAGTCCTTGTGCGAGCCCAATAGCAAATAAGCTCCAGGGTTGTCATCATTGTATCTATTCTGAGACCTTAATTTGTAACGACGTAAAAAGTGACCAAGCTTTTTATTGTCCCTGGGGAAGCATTTCTAATATGCAAATCCTATTTTCAGGTGCAGTGAGCCCGTTAGCTGAGGAGCAGCTGACAAAGCAGGACTTGCTGCTCCTTGAAATCCTGAGGTTCTTATGCATTTGTGCAACTACAGTCCAAGTTCAGAAAGTGAGCTTCCGAGCCGCCGACGTGCGGAGGAAGCTTTTAATGCTAATGGATAGAAGCACCTTCAATAGTGCTAAACCTTTGCACCTGCATATGGTGAGTGTCAGAGTTGTCTTTTTACAATCTCAATTCTGTACATGTATCTTAAAAAAAAAAAAAAAAAAAAAAGTATATTCTTGGCCGTTCTGTGGCAACACCCTCTTAATAAGACATTAAAATCACTTCTGGTGATTAAAAGTGTGCTGGGATGGAAGAAGGAGGGGTTAACATTTGTTGTAAGCCAGAATTTAAACAGATGTGCTATATAAACATCCTGCTTTTATTGTTAATTACGTATTGAATAGCTAGAAATGTAGTAGAATGGGATCTGTACTTCAGTTTATGAAGGTAATATTATCTGACTGCCAAAATGTATATTTTCCTGAGCCGTATTTTTCCATGGCAGTCTTTGCAAGAAAAAAATGGTCGGTTCCTAACACGTAAGAATTTACAATAGATATCCTATGCATGATTTAATGTAACATATATTTAAAATGTTTGGTAGTTTTTTCTTTTGGTCTACTTATTTTCTAAACTATTATTTCCCACCCCCCCCCCCTTTTTTTTCTTTATATCTCAGTACTTGGTCCTTTTGAAGGAGCTCCCCATTGAAGAAAACCTCTTGCCCGAAGATGATGTTCTTATGCTTCTTAGGCCTCTTTCGTAAGAGAGAAACTGTTCAGCATGTATTAAAGCTATTTTCTTTCAACAGCTGGAGGATTTTTAGACTGTTTAGTGATTCAAACCATTTTTTCTTTCTTTCTTTTCTAGTGATGTGTGTTCCATGTACCGTCAAGATCAAGAAGTTTGTAAAGTAATTCTAAATAACTTGCTTCCTGTAGTAGTAGGACTGGCCCAATCCAACAGTCACAGTGAAGAGATAGGACATGCTCAAGGGCAATTTTTGACAGTTGTTGGAGCCTTTTGGTATGTTTTATTTATTTAATGCAGAAGTTTGTTCATTGATATAAAATATTCAACTTTGTTTTCTATGTGAATACCATATTGGTGCTTTGTGTCCTACTATCAGTATCCCATGAATCCAGATGCTCTTCTCTCTCCAGCATTAAACTTTCCAGATTTTCTGCGTCATGCTGTATTTGTATCAAAGAATTTATTTCAAAATCCTTCAGACAGCTTTATGGAAATATACAGCACACTGTGTTTATTTTCTAAGACTGATTATAATCTGAAATGTGTCAGCAATTAAAACAAGTGATAACTTCAGGAAATAGAAATGAATATTGTTTAAAATTGTAAAATTAAATTGCCAAAAAAAACCATAAAATGTAAAATATAAATATGCACAACATTTAGTACAAAAGAATGAATTGCAAGCAGCTGAAACTAGTTTGTTAGACTTTTTCTCTATGTTGAAGTCAACTTTCTAATTCAAGTGATTCCTATTTTAGGTATTTAGCTCGAGAAAAGAAATGCACAGCACCAGTAAGACTGGCCCTTCTAAAATGCATGAAAGCCTTGCTTGAAGTAAGCCCTGCTTTTCTGACCTTTACTAGCATGTTAAGTATATACTTAAAGTGTGCTTGAAAATCGCATCTAAAGTGCATTTGCATACATCAATGTGTATTTCTTTGTAAGTATTATGTATATTTTAAGCCACAATATTCATTTTTTTCAGGCTGATCCTCATTCAAAGTGGGCTATTCTTAATGTAATAAATAAAGACATTCCTGTCAGTGGTGCTTTCCCACATTTCCTTGCAGATAGTAACCATCAAGTTCGCATTCTTGCTGCAAAGTCCATCACCAGGTAATAGGGTAGATTTTTCTTGTTTGTTTGCTTAGGAAATGTAATAATTGTTTTTAAGGCCATTGTTTTTAAGAATAAAAGTTGATTTTGCATGAGTGGAATATACTTTTCTCACTGTATAGCTGCTCTTTTCAGTAATTTTGTAGCTTTAATCTTGAGGGAATATAGACTTCAGCAAATTACTTTGGTTAAAGTGTTCAGATTTTGACTACATTTGCAGTATTCTGTGCAATATGTATTCTGTGCATGATAGTATGTGTTCACTATATATGGCAATAAATTTTACACTAAATTTGTTGTGCAAAATTTGACTATGAAGCAGTTATCATATAGAAGTAGATGAGCTACTTGTGTAATATAAAAGCAGTTTCGTCTCTTGTTCTGAATACCGTGTGCAGTTCTCTCCCCAACATCTTGAAATGGAAATACAGGAGTAGAGAAAGGATGTTCCAAAGTCTGGAACACTTTGCACACAGCTTTTGGTTGTATAAACTGGAATCCTTCAGAAGGAAGTAGCATTGAATTATAGGAAATCTAACATAAGTCTACAAAATCTTGAGCAGAACCAAGTGAAGATCGGCTCTCTTTCCCAGTATAAAGATTAAGAGGCATCAAATGAAACAAATAGGTTCAAGATTCAAAGAAAATGTGGTTTACTTTCTTCATACAGCACTGTTATCTCATGGCAAGGAGTTTCACAAATTATCTGCACATTGAAGTTCACATGGATTCAAAAAGTAACCGGACAAATTCAGGAAAGAGGAAATCATTGAGGAATACTTAGTACTGTCACCACTTCTAACTTGTGTTTAGAATATATTTATGGGAATTACACATACAAAGCAAATGTACAGTGAGCTTTCTTAGTTATCTGCTATCAGTCACTTAGAAATGGCTAGGATCACCAATGGTATCAACTCATTGTAGTGTTCCTGTTTCTGTTGTAGAAAGCAAAGTGGATTTGGCCTTTATCTACAAAAATTAAATTACTCAAGAAACTTATATATATATGTATATCTAATAAGTATACTCTTATAGTGACGATGACATTGGAGATGACATTGTGATGGTTGTTCAAGTTGGGCTCTTGTCCTGGCAGAGATGGCTAAAGCTTTCTCCTGTCAGGCTACTCTCTGCCATTTTGCCCAACAGATATTTTTGCTGTTATTGGCACTATCTGTGGGAGGGGAAGGAAAGATTGCCATGCTGGAAAGTTGAGAAGAGAATCTGTCCCTCTCTCTCTGTCCCTCTCTCTCTGTCCCTCTCTCTCTGTCCCTCTCTCTCTGTCCCTCTCCTTCCCTCTCAGAAGGATCATATTATTTGCTATGTACAATATGTGTTGTGGATGAAATTTTATGGTAATAATTATTGTTCTTGTTTTAAGTTTGTTTCAAGATCTGAAACAGCGAGATGCTTCTGGCTTGTTGATACCTCTTCCTTTGAAGCTCCAGCAAAAGGCTTTTGAGAATGCGTATCTCCGAGTTCAGGAAGGAATGAGAAATCTGGTACCAAAAATCTAGTCACTAGTTATACCTAACTTCTGGGTTATGCTTAAGATGGCTTTTAAAATGAACATGTTTAGTTTTCTAAGAACATTAATTCTTCTGATCTTTTGATAATATGAATGCGATGAAACGAGGTGGTAAGTAGTAAAGAGAAGTTCCTTGACTTCTTGAATCAGTAGCTTTTTTTCCCCACATCACAAATTTGTAAACATTTTGAGTGATTTTTGAAGTGCTCTTCGGCTTAATACACTGATTGTTGTTTATTTTATTACAGTAATACTTAGGAAGCAAAGTGTAGCCTCAGAATTCAAGGCAATTAGAGAACTAGAGAGAAGGAGACAATGTGACCTCCAATTCCATAAAGCATAAGAACAGGTTTTGAAATGTTACAGAGATGATGTTTTCGGTGTTGTGTTACAGCAGTGATTTTCACAAACTCCAAATTTGGTTTATGTTCGTTCTCGTAGACTCATATAAATGTTATTTTTGAGACATGGTTGAAAACCTCAGGCAAAATCTTGCTGTAGGGTCTGTTTTGAGGGCAATGAATTTTGCAGAGGAGCAGAAGACCTATCATTGCTTTTAAGTGTATTGCCTTTGTTTAAACTGCCAAGAAATGAAGAAGGCAAAAATGCTGCTATATGAATTAGTGTGTGAAATGCAAGCAGGTAGTTTTTAAGCTATCAAAGCAAGATTTTCATCAATGTCCTTCATAAATTGAGAGATTTGTCTTGGTCTTGAATGTTTATACAAATTTTTCATTATTTTTTACTGAAGGTCAGTGGTGCAAGTCCTGAAGATCTTTTGGATGAGCAGTGTAACAGGAAAGCAGTTTTGTTGATGCTTATAGCCATGATTCTGTGCTGCAGTCCAATATGTGAGAAGCAAGCTTTGTTTGCTATTTGCCAGTCTATGAAAGAGAATGGATTAGAACCTCACCTTGTGAAAAAGGCAAGTATAAAATTCCCTTTTATATTTAGGCTAGAAATTAAATTAAATATGTCACCTCTTGTTATCTCTTCTTATTTCTGCTTGTCTCTACCCAGCAAAAAGTGTAGTCTTTGTCCTTCTCACAGGTTTATTTCCTAATTACACTCTTAGAAGATAGGATAATATACACAGTAAAATAGTATTGTATGCTGGATAGAAGCTGATTAACACAAATACCCGTGAACAGGTTTGGGGAGGTCATGGAGATAAAATGTTTTTACAATACCATTGTATCATATATCTTGGATGCTACTTTGTCATCTTATTTATTGCATAGGTTTTGAAGAAAGTATCTGACATTTTTGGCTATAAAAATGTAGAGGACTTCATGACATCACATTTAGACTATTTGGTAATGGAATGGCTGAAAATAAATGACAGTGGATATAGCCTGTCTACTTTTCCTTATGTTCTTCTGAACTGTACAAGTCTTGAGGAATTCTACAGGTAAGTCTGTCATATGGAAGCAATTTATCTGCATTTATTTACAATTGTGACACAGCATTTCAAATGTGCATAGGAGTAATGAAACATGATTTTGTTGTAGAAAGTACATGTTGAGAGCTATTAAAATGTATGGAAAGTATCTTGGGTATTATATTTATGCTGGTTAGATTTGTTGTATAGCAGCAGCTAAACAGGCATTCCTAGTTTAATTATGCAATAGAGGCATAGTGTCTGCTGTACTATGCTTGAAAAATAAGATTTCTTTTTCAAAAATAATGAGTAATTCAAGGACATTCTGAAAATGCATTTATTACATTTAGGTCTTGTTATAAAGTTTTGGTTCCACATCTGGTGATTAGAAGTCAGTTTGGAGATGTGAAATCACTTGCCAGCATGATTGAAACAGACTGGAAGCAGGTTCTTGCAGACTGTTTTCCAAAGATACTTGTGAATATCCTGCCATATTTTGCCTATGAAAGCCATGGAAAGAGTGAAATAGCTGAGCAAAGAGATACAGCTTCGAAAGTCTACGACATGCTTAAGGATGAAAATTGCCTAGGAAAACAGGTATCTGTTTTAAATGTATAAATTGAGATGTATGGCATCTAACAGAAACTTCTTTATGTTCTGTAAAAATAGCCAATGCCCATGAACTCAGAATATTTCTATTACCATAATAAAGCCAAACTAAGATAATCTTTATCCCAAGTTTTTAGGTAATCAGTAGCATCTTACGGGAAGACAGTTGATTTGAAGTCTGTTAAAGTTGTTTTAAAGTTGTTCATTTAAAAAAAAATACTTGAAGCATTGAATTATTTTAGTCATTTCTTTTTTTGTTAAAACATTGTTTTTCCTCCTCAGCAAATGGACAGTTTATCTCACAGTAACTTACCAGAGGTTGTGGTTGAGCTGTTGATGACCTTGCATGAACCACCTGACACCAACACAGAAGAAGGAGCTCATCTAAGTAAATACATAAGGTCTGTATTTGGGTGTTTGTACTTCAGTATTTGTACTGTACTTCAGTACTGAAGTACTTGTACTTCAGTTAATGGAAAGAGGAAGTAGATGACCAAGAGAATCCTGTTAGATGTTGCTGAGTCGGTCTATGATTATGCCACTTTAGATCAATTACAACCAGTATGGAACTACCCTCTTTGTAATATTGGTCATATTCTAATGCCTGTAAGTTCAAATTTTTCTTTTAAATAAAAATTTGCCTTTCACAACAGTTCTTGTAGTGGCAGCCCTGACATTTGCTAAGGAGGTTGCTTCCCTAGCACCAAATAAACTACTGAATTCCGAATTAACATGAATATTTTAATGTCCCAGATATCTTAATTTTTGCTCTGTGCTTTTCACCTAATAGTATCACTATTTGTATACTTGTATCAGGAAATAATTTTATAAGATTTTTGCATTTAAATACAAGCTACTGAATCATAGACTCCTTAAGGTTGGAAGGGAACTTCAGAGATATCTAGTCCAAGCCCCCTGCACACACAGAGTCACCTAGAGCACGAGGCACAGGATTGCGTTCAAGCAGGTTTTGAAGATCTCCAGAGATGGAGACTCCACAACCTCCCTGGGGAGCCTGTTCCAGGGCTCTGTCACCCTCACAGTTAAAATTTTTTTCCTTAAGTTCCTGCGGAACTTTAGTGCTTCAGTTTGTGACTGTTTCCTCCAGTCCTATCCGTGGCCACCACTGAAAAGAGGTTGCCCCATCCTCCTCCCTCCCTCCCTTGAGGTATTTATAGACACTGGTCAGATCTCCCTCAGCCTTCGCTTCTTCAGGCTGAACAGCCCCAGCTCTCTCAGCCTCAGGGAAAAAAAAAAAAAAAGTCCAAAGTAATTTAAGGAGATATTTTTAATGTATAAATATAACATTAAAAGCAAGCAAAGCATTTCTCAGCTATGCAGATTTTCACCAAAGTTAAACTGAGATTTTCAGAAATTCATAGAAGAAAATTGTGTGAGTTTATTTACAGACTTCTTCGTGTCTGCTTAAAACCAATTTTTTTCTTTTAAGAACAGAATGGTGAGGATAAGACTCAGGAAACTTAGCTTTTACTGTTCTGTTATTATCATAATACATGTCTTTTCGCTTCACTGTCTCAGAGAAGTTGCCTTTCCCTCTAAGATAGGGATGAATTCTCTTAGTAGTCATTTCCATTCACTTCCTTAGCCGCATTGTCCTGAGAACGACGAAATGCAGAATCTTTGTCGTGACTTGCAATTAGATTTTCCTATGAAATACCTTAGATGAGATTTTCTTTTTTAGTCATATTATGTTTCAAAAAATAATAAAGAATATCAAATGACATACGTGTGGCTTTCCTGATACTTTTTGTGGTTCTCACTCACTGACAATAGAAAATGTTTCCCAGCAATTATCTTTTTGTTTAATGAGACTGTCTTATTCAATACACAAGTTTGATTCTTGAGAAGAATAATATCCCTTTTTCATTCTTTCAGGGAACTGGATCCTGCTCCTAATCCTCCTCATTTTCCATCTCACATAATTAAGGCAACCTTGGACTATATCAGCAATTGTCATAAAAGCAAATTAAAAAGTCTCATAGCAGTTCTTTCTAAAAACCCTGTAAGTACATCATGATGCTTTCTTAAAATTATTTTTTAGTGTATGATAGATACATTAAGTATTTTCATCATATCTAAGTGGACATGAGTACAACCTCAGAAATCTTTCTCCCTTGTTTACATTCTGAAAAGAAAGAAGTCTTTTGTTCTGAGGCAAAATAATCTTTGAAAAATTACATCCTTAAAGTATAATTGAGTTATAAATATTAATAACACATATATAATTTTTCTCTAAAAAAAATAAGAGTTATAGGATTTATAATCCTTGGAGAACTGGTCTCTACAAAGCTTTTTTGTTTGTTTCAAAAAGGCAAAAATAGTAAACACTGTTGTCTATGTTCTTTAAAAAGCATGTATTTCTGTTGCTTAGAATTTTTTTTCTTGATGGTATTGACATTATGAATTATCTTTTAATTAGCAATTCTGTTCATTTTTAGGACTCATTCCAGAAAATTCTTCTGGCCCTCTGTAAGCAAGCATCAGATACAAACAATGTGTACAAGAAACACAGAGTTCTTATAATCTATCACCTGTTCGTCAGTCTGTTACTGAAAGAGATAAAAGATGGTTTGGGAGGAGCGTGGGCTTTTGTCCTCCGAGATGTAATTTATACCCTGATACACCATATCAACAGCAGGTGAATATACTGATCCTCTCTCATTCTTTTTTTTTTTCTCTATGGCTTTGTGACTGTCCTAACCTTACATGTCATTATTGCTAGTAGATATCAATTCATATATAGAAGATATTCAAAAAATGTGTGTGACTGTCAACTGATCATGGAGCTCCTTTCTTTCCCGTTGCATAGTAGGTTAGTACTTGAGAAGATAATAATTTATAATTCTTTGCTTTCACTGCTGGCAGACCCAGTGTTATGAGAGATGTATCAATGCGCAGTTTTTCGCTCTGCTGTGATCTTCTTCATCATGTTTGCCACACAGCCATCACATGTTGCAATGATGCCCTGGAGAGCCACCTTCCTGTTATTGTAGGGACCCTCATCCCCCTTGCTGTGGAGCAGCCTGAGATTCAGGAACAGGTAGTTTGGACTTGCAATTGCTGTTTAAATGTATTCCTTTTCTGTTAACTTTTTAGTTCATGTTCAGGTCATAAAGCAAGGATGTTTCTTAATCTCTTTTCTTTCTATTGACTTTTTATTTTCAGGTCCTAGGCTTACTGAAGTACCTGGTAATAGATAATAAGGATAATGAAAGTCTGTACCAAGCAATCAAATGTTTAGATCCTTTTCCTGAATATTCTGCTTTTAAAGATTTGCGGGCAACTCAACAGAGGATAAAATACAGCAAAGGGGCATATTCCCTTTTGGAGGTGATTGCCTTTTAACTTATACATCATAGTCTAGTGACTGTAATGCTTCTGTTTTTCTTTTTTTTTTTTTTTTTTAATGAAAAACGTTTTTCCAGCTATACGATGTAATTGAGAAAGATTTAAGTTAGACGTGATCTCTTTTATTCCTGTTTCAGAAATGGAGATGATGGTAGGTCTCCATTCTTACTTAAATCTGTTAATAGTTACATTGTGGGCTGCTGAGAAGCATATCTTTTTTTGAAACCTTTTTTGCATGCTTTATATGCTTAATAAAGGATATTGTTTTGCAGGAAATGAATCACTTTCTCTCAGTCAGTGTCTGTGATTCACTGCCCTTAACGCGGCTTGAAGGACTCTATGATTTGCGCAAACAACTGGAAAAATATAAGGATCAGATGAAGGATCTCCTGAAATACTTCCAGGGTACAGACAGCTGATTGTTTTATTCCTTTCTATATCTAGTTTTATATGTGTAGCCATATCATCAAATTCTGATTTGGCATTGAATGTTTTACTGTCTGTTCTACCTGTGTTTGATGCCATTTGCACAGACTTTGAAGAATCTGCCAAATTACGACTCAAAGTAACAGTAGCTTTTGTGAACACCAAACAAGGTCTACTAATTAGTTCTTTTAGGAGCTATCATTATTATATTATCACAGTTGAGTGAATGTGAAAATGTTATGTTTCTTAGATGTTATGTTTAGCTTAAGTGCTGTCGCTGGAGTGATATACTATGACTTCACTGTGTTTTATTTTAACTGACAGTAATATTCACACTGAAAATAGCATTTGTATGGTCTAGTTATGGAGATTCTTTGATATAGCCAAAGTTAGGTGTAGAAAAGTTTTCAAGATGTGATGATTGTATGGCCTGCTTAATACCAACTTGCTTGAACATTAATAATGCATGTTGACATTGGTAGGTGCAAGTTATCAAAGAAGCATTTTGTTCTAATATGTTCACATTACAAATAAAGCAGTGATGTTTTGTGGGTTTACTGTTCTTTCTCAATGACAGAAAACCCAGAAGACTCTGCAATAGTGAAGTTGGTGGTGAGTTTACTGCAGCTCTCCAAGATGGCAATCAACCATACAGGGCAAAAAGCTGTGCTAGGTGAGTTGTTCAGTCCCACAGGTGTCCTAGGGCTGTCATTGCAAACCAGGGTTTGTAGCTGTGCTCAGTGGTATTTCAAAAAATGTTTCATGTTTCATTTGAAAATTTGGAAGGCATATTTTAGTGGAATTTAACATGGTTGGCCATCATTTTCTCTATTACTAAAATTCTTCTCACTGTTTACGTTGAGTACCTTACACTTAGTTCAAAGGACCGAAATAAAAATCCAAATTACTTCTTTCCAAATGTTTATGTATAAAATAGGCAGATACAGGAGTGTCAAGAACATTTGTCTTACAATTTTTCAGGTGAAAAATACCCTAGCAGCTCACACTGACTTCAGCATTAACTTCTTGCTCAGCACCTCTGCAAGCTGTGTTTTAATCTCTTCTGCAATATCTTTCCTTAGATGGCTTATTAATCTTAGTTCATAATGCAACCTGTATTGCTTCAGTTTGTTCTTCATTTGCTGTGGCAGTTGAAGAAATGTTGTATAAGATTGAAAAGTTTCAAGGCACAGTGAAGTGCAGACTAGCAAGGATAGCTAAAGCTCCAAAATGTGGCAAATACGAAGGAAGGAGCAGGAAAATAGATATGTCTAATTTTTGTTCCTTTATAGTAAAACTTTTTTTGTAACTATTTTCAAAGTGAAACTTTTTTTTTTTCTTGTTTATTTTTTCTTGTATGTGCTCTTTTTAAGAAGTGTTTTCTCTGTCTGGAAAGCAAATGAGAAACATACTGGTACATGACTTCCTGCAAAATGTAAAATGCAGGTAGCAATTCTTATTTGGCTTACAGGCTACTGTGTTTCCTGTTGCTCTTATGTTTAGAAGATGAATGTCTTGTTGCTGTTGTTCTGATTTTTTACATTTATCTGTTTTTTTCACATAACTTATTTAATCAAAAATAGAATCTGTGTCTGCTTAAACTACATAATTAAGAGCTTAAGGCACTTCTAGAAAATTGAGGTAGATGGGAAAAACTGTGTTTTTTATGAGTCTGCAAAATCTATATAAATGCAAATTTATATTAATTGATGAGTCACAGCAAATTTTAGGGTGAGACCATGCCTGAATGTGAGGCCTATAACATTGCCTGCATTTGCAGAGGCTGTTGGAAGTTGCTTGGGAGAAATAGGTCCCATGGATTTCTCCACCATAGCTCTTCAGCATGCTGAAAATGTCCTGGATTCCAAGGCAGTGGACCTCCTTGGAGACAGAAAACATCAGTGGGTCTTCATAGTGTTAACTCAAATAAATACTGCTTTGACAGATAACTGGTGAGTATGCTGCTTTATTTCATTTTTTAGCTCAAGGTTTAAGATGAGCTATTAAGCTGTGCTAATATATTTGAAAGGGCATTTGGATCGTATCTGTTAATGCCCAATTACATGCTGCTTACATACTTTACTTATCAAGTTAAGCTTAGATGTTTCATAGAAATTCTCAAGTTAGGCTCAAGACAGATAAACTCTCTGTTTTGTACTAATTTGTGCCTAATACAGAGGATAGTAATGTTGTAAATCCTGAAGCTTTGCTTTATAACAAAATAGGGGGTTGCATATCTTAGTCATTGTAAGCTCCTAATTTGCAGTACACTTTCTTGTTTGATTGTTAAACTAATTGGCTTGTACTGTTGTGAAAGTGCTAGTGATAATAAAACATGTTAATAAAATAAAATGGCACTGTGTGTGTTATTCTTTCAGTATTGATGTTAGAGCTGCTGCTGTTTCCTGTTTGAAAAACATTTTAGCCACTAAGTCTGGCAGTGAATTTTGGGAGATGTATAAAAACAAAGCGGATCCCATGTTAATCTATCTGCAGCCTTTCAGAATGTCTAGGAAGAAGGTACTTCTGATCTGCCTGGTTTATATGAAATAAGACTTTGGGAAAACGAATGGAAATACATATTTTTTAAAAAGGTGAATCTGAAAATACTTGCAGAGATAGTTTTGGTGAATCCAAAACTCCAGCCGTTTTAATGGCTGCTATTTTACTATTGCTTTTCTACATCTTCTGTTTCATTTATTCATGGGGAGGGAGACCTAATTTTGTACTTAATATTCATATTGTAAATCAGACCAAATATTTAAAAAAAAAACAGTAAAGGAAATATTTTGATTCTTAGGTCCAAATATGCCACCATTTGGGGCTTCTAATGTCAATTTGACAATAGAAACCCGTGCTCTTTCATTGTTATATGCTATCTGTTTACTTAGTAACCTAATACATATTTTCCCAGAATTCCAGAATCAATTGATGCAAATACTTGTTGGAAAATCTGTAAGAAGTAAAGTTGCGTAATTAACCACAAATAAAACTGAATTTTAAAGCTTTTGATTTGTACTCTAAATATAATGTCTGCTGTAACCGTGTTGGTACTGTCAGTAAAAATTTATTTTTGACACTTCCAGACTCCCTACAAAAGTTTTCTCAATCACATGAGCAAAGCTAATAGCTATTATTGTCATTTAATTGAAGTGACATTTAATATTGCATTGTATTTTTTTAAAGAGCAGGTTGCATCTTTTTGTATTTGCATTTTCCTTGTAGGTTTTTGCGGTGCCAACTAACGATACGGAGCCTCGTTCAGAAACGTTGGATGACCCAAATCTGTGGATTCCCCTGGGAGAAAGTCATGAGAGCTGGATCAAGAGGCTGACCAGCTCCATCCTGGCCAGCGGGGGGGTGCAAAATGAGGTCCTGCAGTTAATGAAGCCTCTGTGCGAGGTAAGTCTGCACACAGACACTTCTGGGCAAGCTCCTGTGCAAAGATACGTGATGGCTGATGTTCCTGTTAAGCAGTGATTTCTGCTTAAATCATTGTTTACTCTTAATAATTGTTCAGGCACTACAGACATCAATAAATCAATTCTTTAAATATGAGATCTGAGAGGTTTGTATTATCATAGTTTAATTTTATATCACTACTTTAGCTGAGTGTCAGTGTAACCTTACTAAATTTTTACAGATTTTGCATCGTTTCTTAAGCAGTAAATACTCGTTGGAGTATTTACCTGTTTTGTGTCTGCATTGACACCTTTTTTTCTTTCTGGTTTTGTTGCAAATTAAGGAAATAGAGTGACCAGTAGGCTCTTGAGTGTGCTGATAAGCTGAGAAGGAAGAGAGTTTGGTTGCTTTTCTGAGCAGCTGCTGTGCATGTCCCTGTTCTAGGTGAAAACAGACTTGTGTCGAACTTTGCTCCCATACCTGATTCATGACATCCTTCTTCAAGACCCAAATGAATCTTGGCGAAATCTTTTGTCAGTGCAAATCCAGAAGTTTTTTACAGCCTGTTGTAAATTTGCCTCATCCAGCAGATCTACTACACCACCAAACTCCAGCTCAGGTAATGTCACGTTTTTCTTCCAGCTAAAAGAGAGATTCTGATTGCAAAAAAGTTTACCTTCTGCTGACATCAGATGTATGATGCAGATTTGTTTTAGGCAGACAGAGTTTTGGGAACTTTTGTCCAGTTGTTCACTATTTTTCTTTGGAGATACCAGTAATTTTGGAGCTGCTTTTTGGCAGGACATGAGAACTTGCTCCTGGGTAGCTTCTTTCCATAGTCATGACTAGGCAATATTGATTACTTGATGAATTCAAATATGATCCAGTGTTGTATACTGAGAGACTAAGAGTGAACTGCTTTAAAATGACAAGTTGATAGTTTGATTTTTCACATGTTTGATTGAATAAAAGCAGTTTTTCGTCTGGATTTCCTCCCGAAAGAGACCAACCTTCGCTTCAGCTTCTGCCTAATGCTGGATATGGTCTCTCTGCACAGTCAAAAGATTTGCTCTACATGAGCAGAGTGGAAGGGAGCTATAAGACATGTCAGCCTGACCATGTCTCTGTTGTCTCTCTTTGGAGAAGATCTGTAATTTTTGGCTGAATTAGTCTTTTCAAAATACATACTTAGTTATTTCTTCTGAAATGCATACTGACAACAACCTCTGCAGTTGTTTTCTTGTCATTTGATCTGTAATTCAGTACTGAAGAAAACAATCTTTTCTTCTGGTTTTCTTGGTCAGTGTCTTTTTCTTTACCTCACTCGCTGATACTTTGTGGAGACCAAATATAAATCAGTTTTAAAAAAATCAGAGGTTCGACTGATCAAATTACAGAAGAGGAAGTAGAAATCTCTTAGAGGCATTGACCATACAGTGGCAGCAGACTCAGCCTTGCCCAATAGAGGCTAAGTCAGTGTTAGCAAGTAGCAGAGTGAGAATGGATCTGGAGAATAAAATGTCAGAGTACATTGGGTACTTAAACTCAAATTCTGTGTATTTGGACATAAAGTGTGTGGAATATCCTCTGTGAGTCCTGGGTAACAGCAAAAAGGAAGCTTTGTTTTCCATTTGTTGGAAGCCATTAGATGCCTGTATATTTTTCGGTTTAAGAGGCTTTTGGTTTATGTAGAGGAAATGTCTGTATCTATAGCAGTAGTTAAATTGATGCTTATGTTTTCCCTATTTCATGCTTCTTCCTTTTTGTCAATTAAAAATGTGCAGAAAAATGAGAAAATTGCTAACTCACACTGCCAAATGATTAGAATACAATTGGTAATAATTTGATTTTTTAACCAAGAAGTAAAACATGGACATATAAACTCTTTAAGAGTATGCCTCTGTGTCTAGTGTTTTCTGTAAGTGTATAAGTGTATATGTATAAGCCTATATACTCTGTAAAAATCTAAAGCAAAGTTACTGATCGTCATTTCTGTAGCTTTGGAATACCTTCATGTGGCTTAGGCATAAGAGAAAATTTCTGTTACCAAGTTTTGTGCAACAGTGTTGAGTCATCCCTGAATTCCATAAGCAGAAAAATCACCTGCAAATTATGAATGAAGAGTGAATTTAATAAAACCTGCAGTATAAGCTACTATCATGGCAATAATTTCAGATAAGGAGGGAAAGAGAAATAAGGGGTTTTGGATGAACCCTTATTTTAAAATGGGAAATGCTGTTCAGGAAAGTTGTTAGCGCTCTCTTGAGTGCACAGACCTTTTATCAATGGATGTATTGTGGCACATGCTCGTAATGTTCTCTTCTTTGAACTACACATCTTAGAGCAAGAAAGCCATCCTTTCAGAAGCTTGGATAAAGTCTCTCGACGAACCATGCTTGCAGTTGTTGATTACTTAAGAAGACAAAAGAGGTAAATTACATCTTTCCAAAATGTTGCTTTAACTTGGTTGTGCCTGTTCTTCCATGATCTATCCATGCTCTGGATTAAGGAAGCTGTATGTCACAGAGAGCATGTCAGTTAAAAGAATAAAGATATAGTAAGTGGTTTTTAATTATTCCATGCTCTCAATGGCTAACATTTAAAAGAGTCTAACTATGCTGGATGAGCCTTTTAGATTATTTTTTGTTTGATAGGCCTTATGTGACATGGGTGTGGATATTTGGGGATAAAGCCTTTTGCAGGCCAATTTTATGGTTAGAACGTAACATTTAATGTCAGAGAGAAAGTCTGTTACAACAATATTAAAGCCTGCACCTAATCAGGTCTGTTTCAGGCACAGTTTTTGAGGACAGCTTCTGGCTCGATCTGAATTACCTCGAGGTTGCCGCAGCAGCCCAGTCCTGCGCCGCCCACTTCACCGCCCTGCTCTATGCTGAGATCTATGCAGACAAGATCAACAGAGACAAAGAGCAGCAAAGGTACCAGCTGGAGCAATCCCCATCCTGGGCGTTTCATCCACAGGCATTGTGTGCATCTCAACAGTGATTTGTTGCAGGAAAAATCAAGGAAACTTTTCAAATGTGTTTGGGTGGTTGTTACTGACCATGAAAATATTTTTCTAGACCTTCAAAGTGATTTCAAGCCTGCAGCAAACCAACTCGTTTGCTACCTGTGACCAACTCAAAATCATGTTACTTTGATTACTGACCACAATGTGTCCTCAGGGGTGTGTATCCTGGAGCAACTCGGTGAAAGCTGATGCTGCTGGATACGAAAATCTATTAAATCTTGCTTTCTAAATGGGACATATTCGGATTCTAATTCTAGTATGTTATGGCTAAATTATGTATAAAACGAAGCAAGGGGAGAAAGAAACTGCAGATCATGAACAGGATTATGCCATGTGATTATTTCAGACCCTTTGCTGTAGAATGGAGTGGTCCATGCAAAAGGAGCTTTCATACGTAACGCCCAGTTGTCTTGGTCTTCTGCTCAAGGAAGAGCCAGGTATAGAACTACCCGAATAGCTCTTTTTTTGGCCACAAAGGCAGTGAGCTTATAAAAAAAAAAAAAATGGTTGTAAGCCCAGATATTCTGTAGTTCTTTTAATCCTTTCTAGAGGAGAGCACTTGTGCTTCAAGTGTACAGAAAAGCACTTTCAGAATTTCAGTTAGCTTTTCCTGTTCAAACATTTCTTGCAGGTCTTCTTTCAAAGTGGCTAGAAGTTTGACATTTGAGGAAGAAAGCCAAAAATCAACTATTACTATTCTGAATGAAAAAAGTAAAGAAGAAACTGGCATAAGCTTACAGGTATATATATATATATATATATATATGCTTGTTTAATAATATGAAAGCAAACCTTTCTAATATAATTCCATTTATTAGTAGTTTTCATCTGAACTGAAAGCAGATTTGATTGAACCTTAAAAACTCTATTTAAAAGTTTACACTGTTCTCTATTTTAGCCTTGATTGACAAGTTAAATTGATTGTTCATTTGCAATGATAATTGACTGGTAAGTTGTAAAACCTAGTAAAATGGACTTTGCTGCCCAAACGAACTGACCTCATCAGCGTAGCCAGCCACAGGTTGCTAATGGGGGGGTTGTTTTGTCAGAGAAAAATGAGCGAGTTGGTGTATAATAATAAATGTGTAATAATAAAATAAAAAAAAAGTAATATAATTTCCTAGAAGTCCACTTACTACATAAAATCTGATTCAATAGCCCTAACTTATTTATTTCCATAATTCATCGTTCCAAAACTTCATTCAATTATTTTTATAATGTATTCCTTAGCTGACATGCTACTATTGTTCAGTACTTCTATATTTTGATTTTTGACCAGTCTGTATAGGGGGCAGTGGTGTGTGTTTTTTTTTTTTTTTTTTTTCCCCATATCTTGGTAAAACAAAATAATTAGTCTAAAGACTGTCTTCAATAGACTGCAGAACCTAGTGTTTCTTCCTGTGATGATAGCAGGTCCAGGTGTTGCATAAAGGAAAATTAAACACTACTAGTAACATGTTACCTAAGGACCTCCATCTAAAAGCCTGTATCCTGTATATATTCCTGAGTTGAAATGGTTCCAGAAGAGATTTTTTTCTTCATTATGGTTTGTGTTCTAGGACCTTCTCATGGACATATACAGAAGCATAGGAGAACCTGACAGCCTCTATGGCTGTGGTGGAGGAAGAATGTTACAGCCATTAGCACGGTATTATTTATTGATGTTCTTACATTCTTTAAAATCATTGCTTTCATTTGTTAGTAAGGAATTTAAATGGAAAATTTCTTTCTTAACTTACAACAGGATAAGAACGTATGAGCATGAAGCAGTATGGGGAAAAGCCCTGGTAACATATGACCTGGAGACAAGCCTCTCTCCATCTACTCGCCAGGCAGGGATAATAGAGGTAATTTTCTTTAGTAAGAGAAAATGAATTTGGGAATCAATATCCCTCATAATCAGAAACATTTGTAGTAAACACATAATTGATTTAGGACTAAAAGAGAGATCTTTTGGCATCAAGTCCACTACCCTGTGATTACAGGCAGCCAAACTCTATAATAAAAGGCAAATTAAGATTTGTCCTGAGGCCACCAAGATTTTTTGGTTCTTGCTACTCATAAACCCCATCTTGGGTCCTCAGCTTTGAGATATTTCAAAATAAAAATAAATGTATTTGATTTTAGAATTTGAATTGTTCATTAAATGCCAGGTTGTAAAGAGTAATGTTTTGCCTCCAATATTTTTTTTAATCTTTACATTATGGTGACTGTCTGACTGGAACTGCAGATAAAACAGATAACTGCAGATAACTTTCAGATAAAACAGAATTGATGTTGTCTGATTTTGATCGCTTACAAATATGTCACTCTTTGTAGCTTAAAAATGTTTACACCAGGTACAACATACCTCAGGTTCTGTGTCCTGCATATCTGTATTTCCTTTCATTCAATTTTCTTATGATACTTTTCCTAAATTATTTAGCATTACTGTTTGACTTTCACTGTTTTTCTCTTTCCTGATAGTTGCCCTCCCTAACTTCAATAAGTGATCATGTCTGTACAGTCACCAAGATCTTTAAATAGAGAAGAGTTTAGAGTTGCAGGAAACATCCTCAATTCCCTGCCAGGGTAAACAGTCCATTAAGAAGTAGGATCAGATTTGACTTACTCTCAGGGAATGATGAAATGGAGAAATGTAAACAGATTATTCATTTCAAACTCATCACTTCTTTTTTTCAGGGAACTCTCTTACATAGTTGCCATGACTAGCAGTGCTGTTAACAGTCTTCTAATTCATATTGCTGAGTTTAGAAATAACTTTGTTTCTGCCTTCCTTCAAAGGCTTCTTTGGTACCAATACAATAAAAAAATTAAAGAAACATATCAGATTATTAAAGGAAGAAAAGCAACTTTCAGTAATTTTATGAATTACAGGCTTTGCAGAATTTTGGGCTTTGCAATACCCTTTCCACATATCTAAAAGGACTGGAACATGAAAACACTGAGTGGAGCACAGAGCTCCAGGAAATACACTTCCAGGCAGCATGGAGGAACATGCAGTGGGGCCACATCTCTCCAGCCAAGTAAGCCAACCTATTTTTTCCCTAGTTCTATAAGTGTAAGTCATCTCAATTCTAAGCAAAAGGAAGATACTAGAATATGATTTCTATCAACTTACCTTAACCACTGAATTGAAGAGCAGTCTGTTTCACACGTAACTGTCTAGTTTGTATGTGAATCTTTTATTATCCTGGGAAGTTGTGTGCTTTTGTTTCTTCCTTTTGTATGTTCATAACTATTTCTTAAATACCATTCCTAATATCTCATTGTATACTCAGATAGTAGATGTAGCTTTATTAAGTACAAAGGATAGATACCGTTTAACATTTAATTCATAAGCAAATGGGAGAAAATAATACTTGTTAATCCATAAGAGGTTATCAAGGAATGATTAAGAAAACACTAGTTTTGCTTGATGGCCGGTCCCTCATAAGAAGTAATCATTTTTCTTGTGTAGTTTATAACTGTGTGTACAAAGGCTCATAGGGAAGTGAAATATTTAGGTTTAATACAGGACCTGCAAACTGCAACATGATGAAAAGAGAGACTTAGATGGCAGGATAGAGAGTGGTCAAGGAGAAGAAAGGAAAGGACATAAAAGATAAACCTGTATGAGAGAACTGTATACAACAGACAAACAATTTCATTTTTTGCCTTTCATGACATTTTCTTCTTTATTCTTTAAAAAATGCTTCTGAAGTTAATACGCAAAACTGATTCCAAGTTGGTGACTTAGATACGTAATGCATATGTTTTGGCATAACGCTGCTAAAATATCTTTTTATTACCTTTACTTTTGTGTCATACTTTTGATACAACATTGAAGATTATTTTTCTAGTATTCCAAACATTTTGATAATTGACTTTCCTTTGTTTTAAAACAGCAGCTTGATTTTCTAAATCATTAATTTAAATTTGTTAAAAGAGTTAAATTATTTTTCATCACAAAGAGCCACAATCCATCCCATAGGAAAAACTACTGGTAAAAATATTTTAAAGATATATTTGACTGCTTTGGAGGAAGTATAACTTTCCTTTTATTTTCTATTTCATTTTTAAGAAGTGAAACAGGAGGACCAGGGTACCACGAATCATTGTACGATGCTCTTCAGTCTTTACGAGATAAGGAATTTGCTGCTTTCTATGACATTCTTAAAGATGCCAGGTAAAAAAGCAACTGTGTGAATATTCTGTTGTTAGAAACATGTGTGTGTCTGTAGTTGCAAGTAATGAATACAAGGCTATTGTAGGGTTTTGTGTGTTTAAGTAAAGATGTATTCATAGACTAATATTAGTACTTCTGGGCTGTAATTTCATTTGTAGTTTTGTTTTGAGTATTTTTGTCTTTTTCTCTTTTACCCATCTACAATTATTGCGTTAATGTGAGGTATGTTTTCCATAGCATGCATCCCTTTCTTTGCAAATCACTTACATAGATCTGGATGCTGAAGAGTGTCTTTTAGATCAGCTAATGCATATTCTTTGGCATTCTTATATGCTTACCATATTTTTGTTTCTCGGCTTTTCTTTTTATAATGCAAAGTAATTCTGAACTTAATAGTTTTGCTCCTTAATTTCTGTATGGTAATTATTGTGGGTTTTTGGAATTACTTGTGGATATAAAATAAAATAAAATATTCCCTGCTTAAATCCCTAGAGTGAAGGAAGTAGAAGAACTGTGCAAAGGCAGCCTCGAATCTGTGTATTCGTTATATCCAACTCTTTGCAGACTACAGATAATTGGAGAGTTGGAAAATACAGGACAGCTGTTCTCCAGGTACTTGGTTAAATGAAACGTTTAATATATTTCATTTCATACTCCTTTTCGGTTCAGAGACCTAACAAGATTTTTCTCACTATTTGCTGTCACAGTTCTTTGTTTTGCTTTACAGCACCCTGAAACCAAACGGTTTTAGTAGTTGGGTATTGTACCAATATTGTAGTTTTGAAATGTCCAGCTTTGAATAGGTTTTATCTCCAAGGAGGCTATAAACCTGTCCTATTTGCAGTTAGTGAACCCTATAACAAAATCATATATACTAGTGAGAAGCTACACAGCTGCAATGCCACATAGTTGTGTTTTATTCCTATTTTAATCTTTACGTAGAATAAAAACATTATATAATTAAATAAATATCTTAGTTCTGTAATATTTTGTGTAGTGCTGTAATTGTATGAAAGCGAATCCTTTTGGTGCCCTTTTTTAACACTAAACTTCTTTGCATTTAATCAAGAATGATTATAATGGAATTGCTCACCCTGTCAACGTTGATCTCTTGACCTCAGGCGTGTGAAAAAGCGAAATCCACCCGTTCATCCTGCACATTAATCATTGCAGGTGTTAGGGACTGTCTCTTGGTTTTGAATTGTAGATTGTGAACTACCCCTCTAGGTTGCTTTTGTTGCTCATTTTGTACTTCCTCAAATGCTGAATGAGAATTAATGACAGATCTTTTCCATTTTGGTCACGACTGCAGATCCGTCACCGCGCAGCAGCTGAAGGACACGTATGTGAAGTGGCAGAGGCAGTCGCTGCTTCTCAAGGACAGCGACTTCCGCTTCCAGGAGCCCGTCATGGCTCTGCGCTCGGTCGTGCTCGAGATCTTGCTCGAGAAGGAGAGTGAAAATACGAAGAGAGAATGCATTAAGGACATCCTCACAAGTCATCTAGTGGAGCTCTCTAAATTGGCAAGAACTGCTAAAAATACACAGGTAACAGTTTTGAGGAAAAACCAGTAACTGATATTTAGGTTTTGACTATATAAGGAACTTCATTGAAGATGAGCCATATTCTGTGTTATAGTCTAAGTTCAGTGAATCAATTATTTGGAAAATAAAGCTATGTGCAGCTTAGGAGTTCCATTTGTGGATAAGGTTTCTCATTGTTGTTCATAGCTGTCGGTCTCTATGGAACAGATAGTATTAAACTGGAATTTTTATCACAAAATGCCCTTGCAGCTTTATCATTTTATTTTGATGCAGTGGTGCGTCCCTAGCTGTCACTCACATAAGATTGTTCTAATGTTCCAGCTTGGATGTTCAGAAAGAACTCGATTGTATATTGGATGTTGCCTTCAAGGGATTATAAAGTTTATACTATATATAAAGTACTTCAAAGTACCAAATATCTCTCTAAATGTTGTATTAGGGTTTGGCTTGATCAGTGTTGGCTGCCAGTGTCGATGATGGATACTGAATTTCCTGGCCTTGTTGCAGCTGGTGCATGAGGAGCAGGAGCTCAGCCAGAATTATAGAGCAGCACCATCTTCTGCCACCTCTGAAGGAAGTAATTCCAGCTAAATGTTTCACCTATGCAAAAGTTTCTTTAAATTTGATTTCAGAATGCTTGCTCCTGTTTTTGTGAATAATGGTGAAATCAGTAAAATCCATGTCATGGATTTCCTCCAGAGGTTTACTCAATGCCTTCAGAATAGTTTGATGCATTTACTTAATTATTTTTTTGTCTCATGCCTACCCAGACACTAATGCTGTAGTGAGAAGTGTCCTGTAGGCACTTAAATAAAAACTCTAATTTTTTTTGTTTCAATTTGGGCTTTTAGTTACAGAAATATGTTCAGGTTGGGCCTGAGCAAGTTTTTGGGGAGCACTCTTTGAAATTAATGGCTTTTCCTTCCTCCTGGTGGGTGGAGGAAGCCACCAGTAGAGGGGAGAAGTGCCATGCGGAGTCATGGCACCGAGCCAAGCTCAAATAATCCAATCCATGTTTTCATCTATAGGTTTTCATACATTTTAATTGCTTACCTTTTGTAAAATGATTTTTTAAAAGTCTGATGGGTTTGACTGTCAATTGGACAGTCTGAAACACACTTTAGCATCAGTCTTTAGAGGGGCATGCAAATGGACTAGTGTATGTGAGCTCTCTTTGGATGTAATTATAAAGGATTTATAATTTTAACTTAAAATTTTAGCTTAGTGATATTGTAGTAGGTAATGATTGTAGAATTGCTGTACCTTAAATCTCTGAGGAATTAAAAATGTTAAATATTGATGTTTTATTATGGGAGCTATGAAGTTCAGTTTCGTAGCCTCTTTTTGTTGCAAACCAGGATTTTCCACAAGTACTTAATGAAATATAACCTCCTCTTTTCTCCAAACCATTTTTAGCATTGAATTGGTCAAATTGAATATGCTGCACAGGTACAGCAAATTAATGATGGAGTTTAAGCACAAAGCTTACTATGAGGTATGTGGATTTGGCTTACAGCATTGTTGATAATGATCTTTTTTGGACTTTCAGCTTCCAGAGAGAGCTATGTTTCAGATCAAACAGTGCAATCCTTCAGGCTATGGGGTTTCTAAGTGGCAGCTTGAAGAGGCTGAAGTTTTCTGGGCTAAAAAGGAAGAGAGTCTTGCACTGAATATCCTTAAAGGGATGATAAAGAAATTAGATGCAGATTGGTTTCAGGTATGTGTTATATAACATATTAACTTATAGGAATTAAATTGTTTGAAATCCTATTCTCCCTTTCTCCATGTTGCCCACAGAAGAAAAAGAAAGGGCTGTCTATAATATTGGTAAATCTATTCTGCATTCTTAAATACCTAAAGGCAAAGAATCTCTCTTAGCAGATGTTGCTGGGTGATTTCAAAGTGCATCTGTAGAGGTGGCAGGTGTTAGAATCTGTTACTCATTATTTTGCCTGCAGTGCCACCACTGTCAAGTTTACAGCTTTCTGAAATCAAGGATCGTTTCCTTTGAAACTCCAAGAAGCATTCCTGCCTTGCAGCCACATCCCTGCTGGCTGCAGGGCATCTTTGCACAAAGCCAGAGTGAGAGTTGGGGACTGTGTTTCCATGAGGGTCAAGCTGTATCACAAAGTTTGCAGAAATTTCAGGCAGATTTGGGGCTAATGAGCATTCTCTACTGATGTTCTTGTATTTTGAATTAGTCCAGTATCAAAGAACACAGATGTGTATCAGAGATGCTCTGTCTCCCCTGTAAATCTTCCCTTATTTGTAAGTGGTGTTTATGTTATTCTTCTGTTATTCTTCCGTGCCACCTGCCAGGCCCTGATATTAAGGCATTTTTAGTAAGAAATACCTTTCCTACCTCTGTTGTTAGTTCAGTTATTTTGTCTATGGAATAACTGTTGAACATTTAGAAGAATACAGTCTGGTCCTGGTGTAATTTTAATCATTACACATTGGATAGTTATTACAGTTACCACAGCACCTGAGTTTTTCTCCAAGGGTGTGCACTGTGGGACTTGAAATAAAATGGGGATGTTAGGAAAAAAAAAAAACAGTTTTGGAAATATGCTATGTATGTACATAGTTCTGTAATATTTAATAAGTTTTGTCAGTTTATTGCATTTTTCATTGTTCGAACTCTCGTTAGTTAAAAATAGCTTCTGCTTTTCTTTAGTCAAACACAAAATGTGATTTAAAGTTATTGACTGCTCTTGATGTGGATAGTAAGTGATAGAAAAAGGCTCAAATGCTTAAACTTTGTGTGGGAGTAAAATTGTTTGTAAATAGTCTGAGTTTTATCTAGAAAATATCTTTTTATTTGATGCCTTCTTTGCCTTCTTTCTTTCCAAAACATCCTTTCTCAAAGGTTGAGAATGATCCTCATCTGAAACTGATGTATACAGAGTGTCTGAGGTTGTGTGGGACCTGGTTAGCAGAGACGTGCTTGGAAAACCCTACGGTCATCATGCAGAAATACTTAGAAAAGGTACAGGATTGTCTTAGAAATGTGCAGTTGTTGAGGTCAATGCTGTGCCAGAGATCAAGATATTTTATGATGCAGCCCTTAATTTTTCTGTATTGAAAATATGGATTTTTGTGAAAATGTGAGAAGCTGGTATGATGTTATATAATACTATAATCTTATGAAATATGTGATATATGGATTTACAGTATTCACAGTGAAATTTGTGTGCAGTGTTTGGGTTGGCAGGTCAGTGGTGTGACTGCTAGTCCAGTTCCCTTTCCTCCTCCTCTCCTCCCCATCCTTCCCTCTTCACTTTCTGGAAGGGTCATTCACTAGATGGTATTTTCATTATGGGAGTTTTGTTCATAGTGGTCTGTAGCCAGGTACTAGGAGGCCTTGTGCTAATATTTCAAAATACTGTAATCATTTCTTAACTTGTAGTAAGGAGAAAAAGAGCATTTTTAGTACTATTAGTCTACTCTGCCTTTCCTGTATTTCATGCTAGTTTGTGAATCTTGTGAATCTTCTGCCTTTCCTGTTACTCCCCACATACCTTCTTCATTCTGATCATTTGAATCAGTGACTTTCATTTACAGCTGCCTTCTATCTTTGACACTTCACCCGTGAACTGTCTCCTGCTTTTTTTATTCTTGTCCCATGATGTAAGCTCTTTAAAGCAAAATATCTGTGTCTTGCTTTGAAACTTCCTGTCTACTTACTGTAAAAGGCAGATAGCTGTGGGAAACCTCTGTGCAGTTGTTAAAGCTCTTAGAAATACGATCTTTTTGACTCTTTGACACTGAAATACTCCTCAAAGATTAAATTAATTTAGAAGAATATTCAGTAGAGTGGAGTTTTTTTTTTGTATCTGTGTATATGCCCTCAGAGGCAGTAGTAAATAATGAAGTTTAATCATTCATTATGCAGCCAAGTTTAGTTATAATGACGATCAATCTAATTATCAGCCTTGTCATTGTTGTGACTTGCCTTTAGGCTGTGGAAATTGCTACGAGCTGCAGTGGAGAGGACAGCGAGGAGCTGAAGAAAGGAAGGACCAGGGCTTTTCTCTCCTTGGCTCGCTTCTCGGATAACCAGTACCAACGAATCGAGAACTACATGAAGTCCTCGGAGTTTGAGAACAAGCAGGCGCTGCTGAAGAAGGCCAAGGAGGAGGTTGGGCTCCTCAGGGAGCGCAGAGTCGAGACCAACAGGTGAGCACTCAAAGTGAGGGGCAGCTCCAGTGCCCTGGCCGAGGGCTTTGTCCTTCCCAGCTCTGCGGCCCTCTCGCAAGGCTCCCGTCCCAACAGCTGGATTTTAAAATGGAAAATGAAGAATATTGGGCTTGCGTAGAAAGGCATCCAAGGAGCAGCTGCCCCAGCTTGCTTTAGCAGACTTATATTTTATAATGCACTGCAAGTAAAAAAGGCTATTAAATATTTACAAAGAAGGGAACTACAGAAAACTTTACTGTCAGTTCATTAAGAAAAAAAAATGTTTTTTTAACATACATCTTTTCACGTAGATACACAGTGAAAGTTCAACGAGAACTTGAGTTGGATGAGTGTGCCATCCATGCCCTAGCTGAGGATCGGAAACGTTTCCTGTGCAAAGCTGTGGAGAACTATATCAGCTGCTTGCTGAGTGGAGAAGAGCATGACATGTGGATATTCCGCCTGTGTTCCCTGTGGCTCGAAAATTCGGGAGTTGACAGAGTCAATGAAATGATGAAGGTAGGTGTTTGTGGTTGCTTTTTGTTACTGTGCATTTGACTGAAATGACCCATCTCCTCTATGCTCTTTTCATGATACCTGCATTTCTAGAAAATGAATTGCAGTGCAGTGCAGTTCCCTTTCTCATCTGTCTCCTTAATATTTCCCTCCAAACTTGCCTTTCACCTGTCATTGCTCCTGTCAGTAACAGCATATATTTCACTGCATCCTATATTATAATTTAACAGGTCTCTAAGGTTAAGCCTATCTCATGATCTTTCACTGTTATCACCTTACTCTTTACATATCTTTAATACTAGCTATGCCCTTCTTGAGCATCCTTTCCTATGTTGTGTCTGGATTATATTGTTTATACTTTCAAGACCCTCTGCCTACACAGCATAGCCAGGGACCGGGGGATCCTAACTCTCAGATTGATTCTGTCATCTCTAACCAGTGTATCTGTTAATTCTTACATGAAGGACATGCTTTGATAATGAGATCTATTTTATTTATTGCATCTCTTTGCAATAAATTAACTTTGAGGAAAAAAAGTGTTCTTTTATTCATATTTTTAACAAACAATTGTTTCTTTCCATAAATAAGTTTCAGAAATTTTGCATTAGGATGCTCTCCCACTATTTATTCATGCAGAATTTAGCAATGCCATCCAGACTGAACCTATCTAAGCTCTGCTCTAATAATGCAATGGCAAATGCTACTTTCCTCCTCAAAGACCTATAGTGCTTGAGAGATATGGACCAAAATGTGATACTTATGATGCTGCCACTGGGTCCCCCAGCAGTGCTTGCTTTCAGTTAAAAATAATTACTCGCCCTTACCTAGAATTTTCTGCTTACATTTTGTTTTGCTTTGTTTTGGGTACAGCTTTCTAACTGCATTTTTTCTGTTACAGAAAAATGCCGAGAAGATTCCTTCCTACAAGTTCTTGCCTCTGATGTATCAGCTGGCTGCTCGGATGGGAACCAAGAAGATGGGTGGCCTGGGATTTCGTGAAGTTCTGAACAGTGTAATTTGTACCTTCTGTATGAGAACACATCGTGACTGACTCTGGATGCCTGCTTTTAAACAATATGTGAATCTACCTTTGTATATGAGTTATGTAGCTGATAGAAGTTTCTGAAAAATGACTGATAAAACCCAGTGGTTTTGGTGAGAGAGGAGACGTAAAGACAAATTATAAAGGCAAATCTTTGTCTTTATGATTTTAATGGTGTCCAAGAATATGCTTATGTAGGCACAGGAATATATTTTAATGTGCTATGGAAAAAACTCCTTAAAGTTATGGAAAAATCTCTATATTACTTGCATTTCTATAGAAATGAAAGCTATAGAAGCATAAATTAATTATGTTAATTAAGTATTTTTATTTCTTCTGTTCAGCTTTTAATATTGTGATCTTTTTGTTTTTCTTGACAGCTGATATCTAGAATTTCACTGGATCATCCCCATCATACTTTGTTTATAATACTGGCTTTGGCAAATGCTAACAAGGATGAACTCCTGACAAAACAACAATCAATAAGAAGAAATAAATTAATTAAAAATGCACCAAAAGAAATCTCCCAGCTTGATGTGGTAAGTAAAAGAATAAAAATTCTCTTCTATTAATAACATTAGCTTTTTTATTTAAAATATATATATATACACACACACAGACACTTCTGAATGACATTTTAGCAAAGAGCTCAGCAAATTACTCTTTTCTCCTTTCTTAACAAGAGTCATAATTTGAGCAATTTATGCACAAAACAAGGGTCTTTATAAAATGTACTTTTTTCTCCTTTCTTAACAAAAGTACATTTTATAAAGACCCTTGTTTTGAGTTCAAATTGCTGAAATTATGGCTTCATGTTATTTTTTTCTTGGAACCTGCCTGTGGGATCATCTCCCATACTCCTTTTTCCCCATCCCTGTAGTCCAGGCGTGGATGTGCATCGTTACTCCCCTACTCACCCTTCACCCTGACAAACTTTTCCACTGCCTTTTATGTGACTTTTCTTCTCCTTTCTCTTGGAACTGTTAATTCCTCTGTGATCTCGCTCTTGGGACTGGGATTGTGCTAAACTCAACATAATCTCTCATTTCACCCAAGCGGGGTCAGGCTTTTGCCTTTTGCGTGTAAGCTTTTCCTTCAGTCAACAGACAGGTGAAGCAGGAGCGTGGTGCAGGGACATCCAGAAGGGCTGCAGGATTTTTGCAGGTTTTTTGTGCTCTTTCTGAACAGATTTGCCCCCTCCTTGCCCCCATACATTCCAGTTTTCATTACCTCAGTGGAGGCAGTGCAGAGTTGGCCTTCAGTTTATTAACAGTTACAAAAGACTGTCTTTTTTTTTTTTTGATTTTCACAGGATTTATCCTCGTTGATCTTGACTGAACTGTGCAGTATTGTGCATTTTCAGTCTGATAAAGCATAGTTTGCCCAATGGAGTGTTTGTGTTTTGTTGGTCTTTTAGGACAGAATGGAGGCGGCCAGCAGTATCATCAACGTGATCCGAAGGAGGAGCCCTCGTATGGTCAGAGACGTGGAGGCCCTTTGCGATGCTTACATCACACTAGCAAACTTAGATGCTACTCCATGGAAAGCTCAAAGAAGTAAGGCTTGGAAGGGGGCGTTCCTTTCTATTGTTCCTTGTAGTGAAGAGTATATATTTTTTTCATGGACTAAAAGCAATACTTTTCAGTATTCAGAGGAGATGATGTGCCAGTACTGTGTCTTACTAGTGATAAGTGTAAGACGTAGTTGGTTGAAAGTCCTAGGAATTTCTTGCACTGTAAGATGTAGGTGTGACTGCTTGAGCAAAAAGGTTGGACTAGGTGATCTCTAGAGGTCCCTTCCAACCTTGAATATTCTGTGATTCGGGCTGTCTGAGCATGAAAGTCCAGAGAGCTCCTGTGATCATCCCCATGAGCTGCTGCTCCTCCTCGGCAGCAGCGTGCAGCGTGGTGCAGGGTCCTCAAAAGCAGTGGAAGCTTCTGAGGTAGTTGTGTATGTGCTTTTAGTGTAAGGTAGTTGTGAACTTTGATAGGTGCTTGTAATTTCTGTAATTCAGAATTTAAAAGTATGAATTCCTTTCAATTACAGAAGGGATAAGTATTCCAGCGGACCAGCCCATTATTAAACTGAAGAACTTGGAGGATGTTGTTGTTCCCACCATGGAAATAAAGGTGACTGAAACAAATATACATAATAATATTGAATCTGAAAATCAGTTTCTGCTTTTTCTAAAGAGTCATAGGTTTTACCGCTTCATCAGATTCCTGTGTTCCTTAAATGTCAGCCTAATAGCTGGAGTCTTTTCCTGTGGGATGGGAGATGCAAGGTGAAATCCTTGCCGTAGGCTTGAGAAGACCTTGAACCTCACTCATATATCCTGGATAACTGCTTATTATGAGAAGATGATTTTTCCGCTGCCACTGTTACCACTGGCTCGTGTTCCATTATGAGAAGGACTGATGAGATACCTAAATCTCAGAAAGGATCTGGGAGCCCCAATCTCGTCTCTGCTCGGAGTTGCTCAGGGTTTTGGGGAGGCCTAGAAATTTCTGTGATTCCATAGATGTGTCTCCCTTTGTACCTAATTGCCTGTCTCACATGTTTTACTACTCAGAAATGGCAAATTACCCATTCCCATCAGTGTAAGTTTTGGCACCAGGCACCTAAAATTTAAGTTGCAGGATACTGAGCTTCCTTGGGTTGAAACCAGGGCAGGGAACCCAGGCCAGAAATCTCCATAGCATCTGGTTGTGGTTCTCCTGGCCTCGAGTGTTGCTGCTCCGTAGGGTGTGATCCTTATTTTCCCTGCCTTTCTTTCCCAGTTAACCCGCGTAACCAGCGAGCGGTCGGGGTGCCGGTACCTGGCGCAGGGTTTCCTCGCAGCCGCCTCAGCGGGCTGCTCGTGCTTCAGTGGAGGTGCAGGAGGGCTGAAGACAGAGCAGCGGGGCAGGGCTTTCGGGCTGTAGTTTGGGCACATTTGGTGGCCCTGAGCGGCTCCTGGTCAGCTCTGTGCCCCGGGCTCCAATGTTGTGGGAGGCTCCAACGCGGCGCAGGCTGAGATGGTCTCAGAGCTTGTGCAGGGGAAGGCGGCAGCACCAGGTGCCCTTCCCCAGGGAGGTGGAGAGCCAGGAACCCCCTCGCTCCTGTGCTCTGGTTAATGTTTGTTTGGTTTCAGGCAGCATATATGTATGTAGCTTTGCAGCTTTTGTGGGTATTTCCCTTGCAGAAATACCCACATACTCATAAATATGTTTAACATCTAGTCTGCTCATAAGGCTTACAAACCTCAGCCTATTAGTGCCTCTCTGAGTGAAGTGGAGGTAATATTTATAGTAATTTTAAACTACATTTGTAATTTCAGGTGGATCCCATGGGAGTTTATGAAAATATAGTGACCATAAGGTCTTTTAAGCCAGAATTTCGCTTAGCAGGAGGGATGAATCTGCCTAAAATAATCGACTGTGTGGGATCGGACGGCAAAGAGAGGAGGCAGCTGGTGAAGGTAGGTTCTGTCGGCTGAAATGACGTCGCGGGGACTTGGCAGGCTTGGATTTTAAGTTCAGGTGTCATTTTTCTCATATATTGCTCCTGTACCCACACACACTTTTCATAGTGTCAATTTTATCAGTTCAGGAATATTCTAATAAAGGAAATCAAAAGCTATTTCGTAATATAGTACATTTTTAATAATTATCTTTCAACAATGCGTCTGCGTACAGTAATTAGAGAGATAACTACCAGGCGTGCTGAAGGTGAAGTTGTGTCTCCTCTAGTGACTAGAATGTACAGCAAATAAGTTATGGGTTTATATTAAACACTTCCTTTATTACCCCCATATAGAAGGATTATGTTTCAGAGACAGTTTTAAAACATGTTTATAGACAAACAGATTCCCAAACCAAAATGATTTCCCCTTAAACTCAGCTGATTTCACTGTGTTCAGCTCTGATGCCTTTATAAACATTCAGCCCCTGGTGGGAGAACTTTGTTTTGCTGCTAAGTGTGGGGCAGCACTGAAAGACCGAGGGAGATGCATGAACCTGCACGTGCACTTTCCCAGTCACAATTGCAGTCCCAATATAGCTGCTGCTGTGCACCGTGCTGCTAAATATGGTGAAGGAAGCATTAAAAGAGAAAACAGGGCACTATGCATTATGTATGCTGACTTAATCTTTAATCAAATGATATTTGTCAAAAAAGATTATGATGGTGGTGATTTAAGTTGATGGTTCTCTTTAAGCAACTTAGCACTACCAGAAAATCAAACATAAAGGAAAAGCAAATGTCAACTGCATTTTGATGCAGGAGGTTGGAGTGGAAAAGTAGCTGTGTTTTGTGGATTTTTCAAGTAATTTCTTAAGCTAGGAAAGTAGTTGGATGGTGACAAAATGTTTGTGTTTATGCTAAAGGGACGTGATGACCTGCGACAAGATGCTGTCATGCAGCAGGTTTTCCAGATGTGCAATATGCTGCTCCAGGAAAATACTGAGACACGGAAGAGAAAATTGACCATTCGGAGATACAAGGTAGCCCTGAGCAGCAGCCTCAGCACAGCAATGTGTACTATAACTTCTGTAACTGTTCTTTCAGTTCTTCTTCTTTCCCCACTATTCTCTTTTTAACTCAAATGCAATATAAAAGTATATTTATATCCCTGGTGCGAAAACAGTGACCCCTCGCTAAGGTACAGACTAAACTGAAAATAATTGTCAAAATTTATTTTTTCAAGTCTTTAGAAAAAAATCTGCTGCCCCAATATATGTTTGCCTTCAGTTTTAAGTTTGTATAATAGAAGCAGGTCAAGCATGTTCGAATTGCAAGATGCTGGTCATTAAACGTGGGCAAGCAAGTTTGTTCGTGAATTCTCATTAATTTGGGTCTCGTGGTCTTCCTTGCAATTCAGTCCAGAAGTCGTCTGCTCCTGTGGGATTTGAACTGCAGAGCTCTTTTTGTTGGAGTTAGGAAAACAAAACCAAAGAAAAAGGCAGAGATGAATACAGCATTTGGACATGTTCTTTTCCCCTTTCCTTCCTTTTTCGATGTTTGGACTATAATAATAGCTGTGAAGATGACTTGTTAGTAAATGTTTTTAAAGTAATAGTTCTTGTCTTTGATAAATGGGCACTCCAGAGTTTCCCAAGGCTGAAATTGCTAGCACGGATTTAAGAATTCACAGGTGGCGTTTGGTTTGCATTGCAATGCAGTTGATTATGGTGAAGATTAATTTTTTTTTTTTTTTTTTTAACCTGAGTATAAATGAAGTAAGAGCAGGAAGGAAAGGAGCAGGGATTGTTACCCAACACGGAAACTTTCAGATTTAGCACTTACCCTCAACAGGAGAGGCAGCAACCGTGAGACAGGCAGGTACCCAGCAGGATGTGTCGCTGCACGAGGGAGGACAGTGAAGGGCAGTGGTGGCCGCTGCTCCTCCGAGGCCAGGGGCTCCTCAGGTGCCACCTGCTGCAGGGGGGAAGGGGGCGGCTGCAGCCCCCCGAGGGGCCCGGCCGGCCCCACGCAGACGGGGACAGACCTGCTGTGCTCAGGCAGCCCCCGTGCCCTTGTTCAGATGTTGCTTTTTCCCACAGCCGACACCGTGCTGTGCTGCCCATTCGGTGGCACGCGCTGCCGTTACCCGAGCAAGGCTGCCTGGGCTCAGCTCTGTGCATCCACCAGGAAGTCACTGGCAAAGCCTGGGTGTATTTTCCATGTGCCTGTACCTGTGTTTGCAAAGCTCTGCTCTGCTCTTCCATGTGTGTTCAGCAAACCCTGAGGCCTCCCCGCCGTGCGTGTGAGCTCCCCTCCGGCACCGCTCCCCTTTCCCCAGGTGGTTCCCTTATCCCAGAGGAGCGGCGTCCTCGAGTGGTGCTCGGGCACGATGCCCATCGGGGAGTTCCTGGTGAACGGCGAGGCGGGCGCCCACAGGAGGTACCGGCCCAAGGATTTCTCCAGCTACGACTGTCAGAAGCTCATGATGGTGAGTCAGCACAGCGAGGCGGAGCGCCCACCTCCTGCCCTGGGCCCTTCCCTCCTGGGTATATCCAGAGACACCAAAGCTTTGCTTGTAGCCTGGAACAGTGGAAAGCAGCAGGGAATTCATACAGCTTCTCAGCAGCCTGGCGAGAGGTTTTGCATGAATGAAATTTCAAAATGAAAATTACTGAATTAACGATTGCTGCTGAGTAGAGCTGAACCTCCAAGAAATCTATTTTAATTTCTAGAATTCTTAGAATATTCTAGAATATAAATTTATCAGAATTCCAAAATGTTCATAATGGAGACCTGGCAGAGTCAGTGTAAAGTTATCTTATAGATTATAAACTCACCATGTTTCCTATAGCATTTAAACATCATTTTGCTTTCATAAATAAACCAGAAGAATTCCAGAATTCTCTTTAAGAGCTGACCTTGAAAATAGTGCAGCGGGGGTGGAGATGATGCCCCAGTTGTGCCGGGCAGGGGACAGGGGCCTGGCTGCCCCTCCGTGCCCACGGCTGCACCGACACACGCGGGGCGGCCCAGCTCGCCACAGGCAGGCCAGGGAGGAAGCCACGGAGAGGCACGTTTTATATAAGGTGACAGAGAAGAAAAAGAGAGAGAGAGAGATAGATAGATAGATAGATAGATACAAAAGCAGGTGCATCCGCTGCCAGGGCAGCTTGAGCTCCGGGGAGCTCCTCTCTTGAGGCCGGGTGCCACTCTCAGAGCCAGCCCTGCCCTGCAGGGGCAGCGAGTGCTTGCAGCAGGACCTGCCAGCAGTTTTATATGGTGCTTTGCACAGCCAAGGCAGTACAAGACATTATTTCCTTTTAAATCTACATATATTAACAGCGTAAGTGTTTATTCAGCTTAAATATTTGATGATAGGAGGGCAAGAAAAGAATTCATGTATTTCTTTCAAAGGAAGAGGTAATTTCTATCCAAACCGGGAAATCATGGGGAAACTTTTTTTTATATGTTTCAAGGAGGCCCAAAAGAAACATTCTGACGAGAAATATAGTATCTTCATGAAAGCCTGCGAGAATTTTCAGCCTGTGTTCCGTTATTTCTGCATGGAGAAGTTCCTGGATCCGGCGGTGTGGTTTGAGAAGCGGCTGGCCTACACCCGCAGCGTGGCTACCTCCTCCATAGGTACCGTGTCCCACTGCAGCGCCCTTGCCAGGAGCCCTGGATTATTAATGTTGCCTTGTTAAGGCTTTCGGAGCCTTTATGTGCAGTGGTTATTTGGCTTTTGCCCCGTGTCAGGACTGCCCAGGGGACCGGCCGACAAGTTGCCAGCAAGAGCACGAGCATCCTCTTTGTCAGTGACATTTTAGGGTCTCTCTCCTCTTTCCTCAGTAGAAGGATGGACTGAAATGCTGTCTGGGCTTTGTTTGTGTGTTTTAGATGTATTTTTAGGTCTGGCAGGTTTTGAACTAATTTACCCAGCTGATTCTGCTGATTTGCATTTAGCATCCCCTCATTTCATCCATAGCCTGAAATGTTTTAACAGAATTGAATTGGAAAAGTTGGGCATTTACTTTCTGTGTACTCACATCACTAGCAATGGCTGAAATAGTTCGTAAAGCTTTGACATTTTTTCTTTGATTTTTCCATCATATTGTTTGTATACTTCCCTTTTTAAATACAAAAAAAAAATACAATTCAACAGAATTGGGCTGAAGACATTTTACATAAATTACTGTTTTTCATGGCTGTCGGGGAGTACGAAAAACAGACTCAGCTCAAACTGCAGCAAGCGAGATTAAATTTGAGGATTTTCTATATGTAAGGATAGCAAAGCACTGGAATGAGCTTAGCTCAAAGATTTATAACTTGAGTCCCCGAAGGTTTGTGCAGCCCGGTTGGGCAGGAATGTCTCAAACTGCTTATGTGTAGGGGAGCTGCCTCAACTCAGCTATGTCCAGACCTGTCTCCTGGCTATATAAGTTACAAGATTTTCTGGATAACCTCCCCTTTTTGTATTTGTGAAGTGATATTTGCTCTTCCTTATTGCAATAATTTGCATATGTGGGGAAAGAAATACTCCTCTCACTCTTAGTTTGTTTGCATGTGTTATAGTGATTCTGATAATCTTCCCTTGGTCACATTTTCCCCAGTTTTGATGATATGTAAGTGTGGTTTCTGCAGTTAAATTTATTTTTCAATAATCTTTTTCTTCTAGTTGGCTATATACTTGGACTTGGAGACAGACACGTTCAGAATATTCTGATAGATGAACAAACTGCCGAACTAGTGCATATAGATCTGGGTGAGTGGAAAAGAGACTTCTTCATTTTTCATTGCCTAAATGTTTTTAGAAACATTTATTATCCCTTCCTTTAGGGGTGGCTTTTGAGCAAGGCAAAATCCTTCCCACACCAGAGACGGTTCCATTCCGATTAACGAGGGATATTGTGGATGGAATGGGTATCACTGGCGTGGAAGGCGTCTTCAGGAGGTAAGTGATCATCACCTGGAGTGATCATCATCATCATTTGAGGATGATTGGGGGCCTGGAACATCTGCCCCTTGAGCAAAGGCTGAGGGAGCTGGGCCTGTTCAGCCTGGAGAAGAGGAGGCTGAGGGGGGACCTGAGCAGCGTGTATAAATACCTCAAGGGAGGCAGTGAGGAGGAGGGGGCGGCCTCTTTTCAGTGGTGGACAGTGATAGGACTGGAGGAAACGGCCACAAGCTGAAGCACCAAAAGTTCCACAGGAACTTAAGGGAAAATTTCTTATCAGTGAGTGTGACAGAGCCCTGGCACAGGCTGCCCAGAGAGGTTGTGGAGTCTCCTTCTCTGGAGATCTTCCAAACCTGCTTGGACGCAGCCCTGTGCCCTGTGTTCTGGGTGACTGGATGATCTCTAGGGATCCCTTCCAACCTTAAGGATTCCATGATTCTATGGCCTTTCAGCACGCAGGCCTAACAAGGGCATCAGGCAACTTCTGGCCCTGTGAGTTTCTATGTTCAATAGTTAAGATGTTTGAGAGGAGGCTCAGATCCTGATGGCACTGTTTCGACCTGATGCTGTCCTTTAAATCCTGCACTGCAGCTGTGTAGCCAGGTAGGAATTTCATGGCAGTTGCCCCACTTCCCGTAATCCAGGAGGTCGTGTCGGGCTTTGGGGGATTCGGGATGGCTCGGTGCTCGCAGGGCTTCCACAGCTTCGTCCTCTCAGTTTGGCCTGTTTGGATTTTTTTCCTTTACAATTGCAACCATTTGGCTATTCAGTTTCTTCAAGCCATGTTGTTCTGCCTCGTGCCTCGATTTTTATACAAGTAATTTGAAGTCTTTTCTCAAAAACTCTGTGATTCACACATTTCCCACTGCATTTCAAGTGCAAAATGTAAATCCCGCAATAGATTTGAGCTCCATCCTATCTCGGAAGAACGACCTGAGCTCTGAAAAGCAGAGCATTTCTTCCAGGCTTTCGCCATGTTTGAGAACTGGGTACTTGCAAACTCTGTTTCCTTTGAACACCCGATCACTGTCGCTGAGGTGCTAACCATAGATGCTGACAAGTTCCTCCTGTCAGCCCTTCTGAGCCTTCTCCACGGGCAGTGGGAGTTGTGTGGCTCCCGCGTAAGCAGACGCCGCATGAAAGGGTGCCGGGCAGATGGTCGCCCAGCCGCGCGGGCCGGCACCGCGTCACACATTGGACCAGAACAGGGTCACACATCGGGCCTGGGCGGGAGCGTCCTCGGGCGCCGCTGGCTTTGTCCTCCTGTCCTCGTGCTGGGACAGCGGCCGCGGCTCCGTCCCGCTCTCGCCAGGGCCACTGGTTGCCAAGGCCCTGAGCCTTTGCCTGGGGTTGGCTGGGTTGGGTGTCAGTGCTGGCAGCCCCCGGAGCGCCCGAGGTCACCGGAGAGGCTCCGGAGCGGCGGCTTCAGAACCAAACGGGTCTGGTCTGCGAGGAGCTGCTCCCGCCGCCTGGCACGGGCGGCTGCCGCCTCTGCTGCTCCCGCCGAGGCGCCTGCCCCCCTCTCTGACTTCTCCTGTGTTTTTTTAATGGAAACCCCAGAGGTGATACTCATATGATAGAAATAATCTTTAGAAAGAGAGAAACATATTAAATAAGGAAGATAAGATTCAATTTTTGCCAAAAAGGATCCCAAAATAATGTTAAATATTTTCTAGATGCTGTGAGAAGACAATGGATGTGATGAGGAATTCACAGGAAGCTCTGCTGACCATCGTAGAGGTATTTTTTTCATGCAGACAATAAACTGCAAAAAGAAATCTTTAATTACTTGTCTTTGTCCAACTATTTATAGTTATTTATGTTGTTGTTGTTACATTTTAGTTCTGCAGCTTTGTTCAGATTTGTTAATTCATCCAGCCCTCAGGGGAATGAAGACCGCTTCACGTTTTCTGTGGCAACTATTTGTTTCAGGCTTGTGCTTAACTTTCCCTCCTCAGAACTTCGTAGTTTACAGCTACAGGGCAACATTCCCAGGGTGACTAGTGACATTTTAATTCAATCCGCTTAGTCTAAGTCTCAAAGAAGAGAATTAAACTAGTTTTTAAAAGCCGCTTCGGCTCTGCATTAAGAATTAATAGTAATATTTAGTGGCTAGAAATGTATTTTAAAATGACATTTTAATTGTTGAGCGTGGCAGAGTGGCAAAAATGAGCCAAGTATGAGGAATTCAAGTACTTGCAGATGGCCAGAAGTTTTATTTTGCACCATGTGCTAAGCAACACAGCCCAAAGCCACTGCATTTCCCTGTGCAGAGGTGCTGCTGCAGTGTCTGTGCGTTACCGTTTCTCACTGAGCTGTCTGTAATTAAGAGTTTGAATGAAACGGGTGTTTATTTGCTGTGCAGGTGCTGCTCTACGATCCTCTCTTTGACTGGACCATGAACCCTCTGAAAGCTCTGTACCTGCAGCAGAGAACGGAGGACGAGGCCGACATGAGCTCCACGCTTGGCACGGATCCCCAGGAATGTAACAGGAAAGCCAGGTACAAGACTGGCCTCTTGGGATCTGCTGGCCACGCTGCTGCTGGCGCTTACTGCCTCCTCCTGAGGGTGATTTTGCCCAGGGTCCCCACGGATGCCCCTCTCTCACCTTTTCTTTTTTCTTTTCTTCTAGCAGCGATACCCAGAGCTTTAACAAAGTGGCCGAGCGTGTCCTGATGAGGCTTCAGGAGAAGCTGAAAGGTGTCGAGGAGGGCACAGTGCTCAGCGTGGGAGGGCAGGTGAACCTCCTCATTCAGCAGGCCATGGACCCTAAAAACCTGAGCCAGCTTTTTCCTGGATGGAAACCCTGGGTGTAACTGGGAAGGATCAAATCGGGTTTTTATAAGAAACTTGTTTTTAAGCAGTAAGTGCTGTAACATTTCAGATTGTTACTTCCTCGTGAAAACATTTCATCATCAGCAGCTATGAAGGTTTATATGGATTACTGTTAGGTGAATTTTCTTTCCAAGAGCTTGTCACGAAGTGTCCGGTTGTGCTCACCGTGCAGGGCACCAAGCACTGCTCTGATGTTCCCTGTGACCCGCACGGCTGGTGCCTTTCCCTGGGCCAGGTGGGTCCATCACATCCCGGGGCCCTTGATCCGCCTTCTGTCTGGCTCCCCGAGAGCTGCAGTCTCCTAACGAGCTCGGTGGGACAACCTGCGTGTGGAGAATGGGTGGTCTGGAACCTCCAAGGCATGAAATAACCAGCCAAAGAGCATTTCAAAAGTGTGTGTGTGTGCGTGGGGTGGGGAGGGGAGTACCTTAAAGATAATGATACTTACCAAAGGTATAAGAGAACAGCAGAGTTATCTTGCCGTTAATGAACTGTTCATGCTGTACTTGAAATTCAGCATTCCAGATCTGCACGGCTAAAGCAAATATATGTTTCTATATCTGGAATAAATACCTGTCAGAAACAATGGACCTGTATTTTGAATACAATTTGCTTTCCAGTTACATAGCTTTACAGAAGACATTGCCCCTTATGAAAAAGCCTGGTGTAATTGGATAGTCACTGAATACAGGTAATAGGAGAATCTGCTGAAATAGTCTGTTACCCAAGTAAATTCTGCCAAATCATTCTTACATTTACCCGCATGCTGCAGTATTATCCTAGTTAACCCTCTGTGCATTTTTACAGTGGTGTAAATGATTTCATTGATTTGTATTTGTACAGTCAATTTCCATTTTTTTGCGCTGAACCTTTTGCTTTGTATGTTAATGTCAACATAGCAAGATGAATTTTTTGTATTTTCATGAAGCTGCCATAAATTTCTGGGCCCTTGGACTCTCATGTGCCTCTCGAGAGGCTCTCTGCAGAGCTGCCTTCCTGTGTGACCCTTAGGAAAGGCAGGAGTGACAAACAAGACTCCACAGAAAGTACCTTAGAGTTCTTGTTTTTAAACAGTAACTCCCAAAGGCTGCTAATTATTTTTGTTCCAGTAATTCCTCCATTTCAGAAGTCAGAATTACATTTTTCAAGGTATTCACTTTGGTATCTTTTGGACTCGCACATCAGTTTTCTGTGTGTCTGACCAGGAAAGAGGGGCCTGGGTGCTGCTCTACTCTGGACAGTGGTTTTGTTGCCAGTGCTGCTGCTGAAGACAACGGGGGTCAGGAGAGAGACGCTGCAGATCTGAGAGCCAGACCTGCGTTTACTGTAATTACTGAGATTCCAGTCTTGGAATGTTCCATAGTAATCTCAAAAATCTACATTTAGAAAAGAGCATTTCTAAGAAAAATGAGCTTGTGACACAATACAAAGCTGAAGGGTTTTTATATGGTGGGGTTTTTTTTTCCAGAAATATCTTTATGAGAAATTATTTATTTCTGGTCTGAAACCTTTCTGGGTTCTTGCAGGTAAAAACGCTAGAAAACCCTTTTGCCAATAACTGCATTGATTAGGTCACTGCTCTGTGTTACTGTGAAACTGTTAATATGAGATGCATTTACTACTACTGCTATTTTTTGAATGTGCTAAGATGTTAAACTTCATCTCTTTGGAGCACAGTGCCCTGTTACACATTCTGTGTTAGCCCTTAAGACAAACCTGTGTGACAGGGGCGGCTTTAATGACAAACCAATAAAAAACCTTTGCTGCGAAATCTGCGTAGTGAAATTTGCTTTGTGCCTGGTAAATGACAATATTGAACCTTTTATTGTTACTTTCATCCCTGGGAACTTCCTGCAAGCCAATACAGTGTTGCCTTGTGGGATGCAGAGGTAGCTTGAAAGAAGACTCAGGAAAAACTGGTTATTTTCACTACTGTAGTGCTTACTGATGGTGTGACACGACACTGCAGTACACTGGTGGTGCCTGTGCTCGACACCCTGGCGCCCTCCCCACCTTCCTCTCAGCAGCAATTTGACTTCTTGCCCTAGGGCAGCCCAGCACAAACGTTACCTGTTGCTGGACACAGAGCTGTCCTCGCGGTGCTCCGGCCTCGCGCTCTGTGCCCACGTGCTGAACCCAGCCAGCGCTGGGGCAGCCCTCACCCCAATAAGCACTTGGCCCTGCTGCTCTCCGGGCCTGTGCTTCAGGGTGAGCCCACAGCCACTTGGGGGGCACTCACCTTGTGGTCTCGGTGAGCTGCTGCGGCCCATGGCTGCATTAAATATCCCAGGAACCACCAGCTATCTGCGGAGTTAAGTCCTACAGCAGCCAGTGCTCTTTGTGTGGGGAATAGCTAAAGGAGCCTGGCCCGGGCCAACAGGACTGGAGCAGCACTTGGGGATTAAACCCGTATTCCTCTTTTTGAGACTTTTCCTTCCATGTCCTTGGCTGGAATAATTACACAAGCTTTTACTACGCAAGGAACAGCGGGTTAACCTTTAAAAGTTAATTAAGTCGCTGCTGTGATGAGCCGGAGTAGGGCGGCAGTTTCCTACCCCCGCCAGGAGCACCTGCGGCCACCAGCGCTCATGGTGGCCCCCGGGGCTGAAGGGCCCCGCAGGCAGCCAGGTCCACAGGCCCTCCCAAGCCCAGCCTGCGAACCGGCCCCTCAGCGAGGGAAAGGGGAGGCCGTCCAGGACACACGCAGATGGTAACAGCAGCCCCGGCCTCCACCTGCTTGAGCCCGTGGCCCTCCAGCTCCTGTCCCATCCCTCTCATTCACCTTAGAGAACACAGGCTTCGGTGAAGGAAAACCCATGACAAACTATCCCAACTCCTTAAAAACGAGAGTTAGGCCAAGCCTTCAGCCAGACACTGTCTCATCTTCCCTAAGCTGGATACTGTCTGCAGCAGAACCCCCCTTGCAGCCTGCCTTCCTGAGCAGTTTTTGTAGGCCACTTTTCCTCACAAGTTTTATCGAGGCGGGAACTCCTGCACACATCAGCACTGCTGCAGCCTTCTGCTGGGAGACTGCAGCTGCACTTTCCCCTTAGTTAAAAGGGACCCTATTTATACAGGACAGGGGTTTCGTTCAACATATCACCACATAAAACCATCGGGGAAGATGCGGGGTGACGGTGACGACCTCTTGCTGCTGGCAGGACCCGGGGGAGCCCGGCTGAAGGCAGCCAGCCTGGCAAGCTGGAGCCTCGCGGGAAGCAGAAGGAAACGGTCTGGGGCAGAGGGCCAGAATAATCACAGGTTACACAGGTTACACGTGGGAAATGTGTTTTCAGAAGAGGCTCAAGATGAAAGTACCCAGCAGTGATAAGGCTAAAAATCACTATCCCTCCGCAGGAATTTTCAGCTTTCAGGATAAAGCTTGTGTATCAATCTAGCCCTCAGTTGTGCAGAAACTTTATGCTGGGCTCTGGAAAAAAAAGCAAGTGACTGCAGCTAGGGTTGAGACCCAGTGGCTTTGCCTGCTGCTTGTGCTCCCAGGGAAAGCTGCACGGCACGGCGAGGGTGGTTCCTTCATGTGTCAGCCAGCGCCTGTTCCACTGCTGAAACTGTAACTTTACTTCACATCACAACAAAATAAAGCAAATTACAGCCCAAGAATAGCAAAGTTACCACTTAGAATTTGTACCCAGTGGAGAAATTTCTTCCTCAAGGAAAAGGAGTATTTGCTGGTGTTACATTTGCTCGTGATGCAAAATCTGCTTCTCTTGCAGATAAAGAACTAAGATTCACTGGTCTTAGGTTAAGGTGGGGAATCCGGGACCATTCACAGGTACCACGTGGTGGCTGAAGAAACTGGAAGCCTGAGCAGAGAGTGAAAATGCAAGTCAGGAGGCCTATGGTGTAATTTAGACATTTAAAACAACTCTATCTTTACATCTACCTGTTACAACACCTACTAAAAATAAATAAATATAAAAACTAGAGCCAGTTCTATTTGTGTTGGAGAAAAAACAGTAAAAATAAAAACAAAATATAGTCTGCTTTTTTGAAAAAAAAAAAAAAAACATGGATAGTGTGTTGACCATTTTTTTTCCAGACAGCACAATTAGTCCTGAATAACATCAAACAAATTTTGCAAGTTGAAATGAGAATAGACTCTGGCTCTGTATTTTTGTTTTTGCTTTTTTGCCTTGCCTCACTCTCCTAATCAGCCAGTACTGTATGTTCACACACCTACACGTTGCTTGTGGTGTGGGAGCATCATACACACTGAAAGCCTCTGGGCTACATCAAGACACAAACCTAAGCGCCAGTGATGCCCTAGCAGCACTTAGCCGTGCTACTGTTTAATTAAAAACTGTTTTATAATCAATCTATTCAGATCTATGAAAACCACAGTGGGTGCACATCACCACGGGACAGACCTCTGTTTATAATTATCCTCTATCTGCTTCATCTTAATTCTGCCATTTACATGCAAGGTCTCGTAAGGCAATGACAGCAAGTGAGAGATGCTGTTAAGGTAAACATTCTATAGGGAATGATAACAAAGACCTTTGTGACTGTGGCTCTCCTCAGGATATAGGATGTTTTATGTTACCACATAAAGCAATAGGGTGTTTCATCACCACTCAGCTTATACTACCAGTATTTATGTAGTGCAGAAGCTGGGCTCCCTGTTCACGCTGCTCCCAATGCTCTTCCCAACCCTTTTTCCTCCATCTCCTACAGCATTTTCTCCCTTAGTTTTTATGGTTTCCAGGTATCCTTCTTTCTGATTCCAAAAGCCCCTAATGGATGTGGATGTGTCTTCCCAGCACTTACTATTTGTGTCCCATTTTCACTGGGGAAACAGAAAAATCCTTTCTACATTTATAGCCCATTGCACTGCCCAGTTACTGTGTTTTAGGGGTATGAATGTCTCACTGATGAAGTGATCTGGGTGACTCTACACACTGAGGAGCTTTGTGGATTTCTTACTTGGAAAAATAATCTGTTAAACCACGTTCAATATACAAAACAAGTCTTCTACTTTGAATGTGGGCTGCCATGTTGCATTTATACATCCAATTTAGAAATAACTCATTATTTTGGTATCTATATTCCAAGTATGTCTATGAACTAATCAGAAGTTACTGGAAAATGCTTTATCATCTGCTAGGTAGAGAATTGGGATGCTCTTTTTCTTTGTAGGATGCTGTTTTTAACTTGTGTGAGGGTGAAATTATCTGAACCAAGTGCTTTTCTGGAGGACCTGGGAGTTCACTCCAGCAAACTGAAGCACACCAAGCTCCCGATGGCCGAAATAGCTGCATATTCCCAGTGTGCTTTTCCAGTTGGTGAGGCTTTGGGATGCTGCTGGTTGCCTTGGCGCACACAGCTGCAGGGTAGGGATCAGGGCCACAGCTGAGCAAAGCGCTTCACTATGTGCAGAGACAAGTTTTCTTCAACAGCCAGTGCCGGTCCATGTGCTGAGCGCGTCTGGTATTTGCTCACTGGCCCCAGGACGAGCACTCGCTGCAGCCGCCAGCCTGGGAAATAAGCGCTCCGTCCCCACCGGGGCCGGTGGGATCAGCTCGCAGTGTCTGCCTCTCAAAAGTAGGGATTTTTTCTGCACTTCTAAATTTCATAACCCTTCTTAACTGTTAGTTTGAAACAACTCACATTTTAAAATTCACTACCATAAAAGACTGCCAGATCTTCATGATATATACACTACTTTTTATGGAGCTTGTACTGTGGGCTTAGAAACTTGGTAAGTTACAGACAAAATACAGAGATTAAAAAAAGCAGAAGCTTGTTGCTACTTTTACATTATTTCTTAAAAATTAAATCATATCTAAGAAAACTCATTGCCACTATAGAGGTGCTATTATAGAGGCAGTCACTCACCTTGGCAGTTAGCTGACGAGTCGCTTGTTGCAGTTTTATTCCATTGGCTGATATACCTGAGCACATTAAAGCAGACATACATTGTATTTAATGCATCACAACTTACAAAACCCTACACTGTAACATATCTTTAGTTTTATTTCATGACCTATTAGCCAGAACTTAGAAATACTTCCTATTGCACTGCACTACAGGGCCCTGTGGGGAGCTTTAGAGGGAAATTTTTATCAGATTTATAGATCAGATTTATCACTAATGATCAACTCTTCCAAACTGAGGCCCCGAGCACACACTTACTGCTCATAGTTGAGTGCATTTGTCCACCTCAGTATTTCATCCACCTCCCAGTCCGTGACGCTGTTTGATCCCTGTTTCTCCACCGCGTCCACGACGCTTTCCGCAGCCCTCTGAACTCGCAGGGCAGCAGCGGGATCCTCCGTGGCGGCCCTCAGGCTTCCCGCGTGGTACCTAACAGCAGGGGAGGGTTTGGGGTCCGGCTGCTTAGGGCAGGGGCTGCCGCCCCCCATTCCGCACTCGTCCTTATGGAGCTGCTCTCCACAGCTCCCGCCCTGTCCCACACTCAGGAGATCTCACCCACCCGCTCACAGAATCGTCACGGGTGGAAAAGACCTTCAAGGTCATCAAGCCCAACCACAAGCCCACCTGTCACTGCCAGCTCTTTAACTGAAGGGAAAAGGGGAACCAGGCAGAGGTGGGTAGATGCCTCGGTTGGGATGTTTCTACATGGCAAAATGCTTACACATGTTAGAGACTAGCAGAAACTCTCGTTAATTACTCTCATGTCCTATAATAACACACATGATATAAAGACAATCAGTAATTCCCACAATGGTGAGATATATTCTTCTATAATACATAGGTGATTCTTACCCAGCTCAAAACACCATGTTATTTGTAATTAATTTTTAGCTATTTTTGAACAGAAATACAAAGGTTCACATAGCTCCAAAACAAAAGTTTCATTTAGCCTAATAGTAGTAGCTCACTCTAAAGCAGGCTAAGGCAGAATCCATAAAGAGCCAGCAGAGAAAGAGGGAGTCCTCAGAAAGGGAGTCACTCTGCTCAGGCGTCCACCCCGTTGGAGCTAGGGAAGGACTCGCTCACTCCTCGGACGCACCTTTTTTTACCCACTGATAACTGAGGAAGGCTAAGCACTTAATTTTGGATTAGGTATTTCAATTTTCATGAGGCGATGACAAGCTACAAGGCCAAGGCACTGATCTACAAAACGTCCTCACAGGTCTGGAAAAAAATATTGCAACCTTCTGTTACACTGTCACAACCTCAATGCAGGATATCAACCAAAAATCACAGAGGGAAGGCTTGGAATGAGGGTGCTTCTCTTGGCTTCGTGCCCAAAGCACCTGCTGAATAGTTCCAGAGTCATTTCATTAACAGGGCTCGTGCAGTAGCTTTGTCCTCAAGGAAAGCAGCATTCAACACAACTCCATGCAGAACTTGTCTAGGATGTACATGTTTTAACTGAGCAGGAAAAATAATCATTTCTGAAAAGAGCCACGATAAAATTACTGTTCTAAACCTATGAAGAAAACTTATGCACATAACTGAAAATTGCATTAACTCACATTTTTTTCATCCATTCAATTTTTCTCTTTTTCCGCTTTTTCTCAATTTCTTGCTTCCTCTTCATCTTAGAGTAATGAAACTCCTCTGCCTTTCTGTTTCCCTCGTCCGTTACAGGATCTATAGCCCTCCAAAACTGTTGGTAAATGTCAAGTATTGAGAGATGATGTTTTTAAACTCTAGTGTGTATGTTCTTATAGGCCATATGTTTTGTTTATCATGAGGACAATTAAGATGCATCATTTTTACACTTAAATAATTAGTAATATATGCCTCATCAGAATCCATTTTGAGTCTTTAAAGTTACTGTCTTCTCACAAGGGCTAATTCAACTACAACTGTTCCACTCTAATAACCTGCCCAAACTCTGCCACACCTGGAGAACCGTGTCCAGGCCTGGGCTTCCTGTGCAAGGGAGGCTTGGAGACACTGGAGCAAGTGCAGTGAGTAACTAAAGAGAGGGTGAAGGCACTGGGGCTTCTGCCACAGAGCTGGGCCTGGAGCAGGGAGCACCCAGGGGGATCTGATCCAGGTGTTCACATTGTGCCGGAGGGTACCCAGAAGATGGGGCCGGACACTCTGCAGTGGTACCAGCAACACAACCAGAGGCAACAGGCACCAACCGTAACAGGGGCAGTTCCATCTGAATCCATGGAAAACTTGGAATGGCAAGGAATGCAGAAAGAAACTAACATCTCAAATTTAAATTCTAATTTCTACATAAATGTAAATGAAAAGCAAACCTTCACACTCCCCTAGATGGTACCTGTTTTTATTGTTTTGGTTTGGTTGGTTTTTTTAAGTTATGAAACACTTAGAGGTTAAAATAACTGCTCTGACTACACCTAGGCTAGTTCAGCATCAGAAGCGGGCAAGCACAACAGTCCCACAGCAACGTCCCGCTTCCCTGCAGAACCGGAAAGCAGCCCTTCCTGCACTCAGGTAGATGACACTCAAGGAAACTGCTCGGTTAATCTTTCTACAGGCCAAATTGATACCAGAAAACTGTGCTTGTGCAGACCCTTTAAAGGGCCTTTCTTAAATTATCTTTAAAAAACACTGCCAAAAATAGATTTGCTTCCAGAATTAAAAAAAAAAAAAAGTCCCACAATTTTAAGGTAATTTGATGCTGCCATTTTCTACCTTTTAATACCAGACTATAAAAAGCTACAGAAATATGCTTATCAATCTCCAATTTTGCCAAAAAACGGTGTATTTTCTTAACTGGTAATCTAAGTATAGTTAAGTGTTTAGTTAAGTGATGGAATGTTTCATTTCCTTCTTCCTATTTAAGCATTATGTTATGACTTTACAACTAGGCTTTTCCACAGCTGACCAAGTCTTGTGGAACAGTACTCAGAGCTATTTACCCACATTCTTATTTAGTATGTTTTGCAATGACTAAGTTAGGAAGAATGTATTACAAATAAAGGATGATACAAGCATCGCATGTAAATCTTCAATCATCAACTCATATGACAACAAAGATCTTGTCCATGATGATTTTACATATGGACTATGTGAAATAATGCTCTAGTTCACGCATGGGGCAACCATGAAGAAAAAGATGAGCTAATGAATTAGGGAAAAATAGTTTGTTTTCCTTTGCTTACTCTGATGGAAAGAAGTCTCCAACCATTGTTCTCCACACGCTTGTACCAGCCACTGCCATCATCCTCCCATATTTTTCCAAGAATCCTTTCCTGCAGCACCTGCTTGGGACTTGGTTTTGTGTAGTCTTTAGGGCTGTTGGCACACATGTCCACAATAGGTCTGTGAGTGAATATTTTATAATAAATGTTTGGAGGAAAACTGGCCTGTAGAGAAATATTACATTAGAATATTTCATTAGAAATATTACATTTTTCAAACATATTGATTCCTTAGAATAAATAAAAGATCATAAGTTTATAATAAACTCAGATAGGAATTTGATATATATGGAAACTACATGTGGTAATTCTGACTTTATTAATGATCAAAAGAGGATACACCCACATGTATATACGTTGGTTAAAGTAACAACAAATCCTCTGGATTTCTTTAAAGCTTGCTCAGTTGAACTGCCAAGTGATTCACTGAACCAATGTGGCTTCTCCCAAAATTGCTGTAATTGCCCAGTAAATACTGGTCTGTGGAACATGGACTCAGAAAACACACCAGTTGTCTTCACTCCATCATTCAATCCTTGTCTTACTAAAAAGCAATTATATGAAAACATTCTAGCCATGGTGCTATTTCAGTATTCTTGCTGGATGTCTTGGAAAACCCTTTTAGAAACGGCATGAAGAGAGTGGAGAGCTTGAAAACCACCAGTCATTAATAATTACATCAGGTATTATCACTGCTACCAATCATTTCTGATGGAAATTATTCTGATGACAGGTAATCACACCTGTGTCTCTCACCCTGGGGAGAGGAGCCTAAAAATACCAATAATACAATTTAAAATGACAGGACAGACCTTTTTAAAATAATCTTTTCCCTTGTATGTTTTGTCCTGTTGCCAGTGTGTGCTGAAGAGTAATTTGGCTCTAAAACTCCCACTCTCATACTCTTCTCTTACTTCACACTTCCTCTTACTTAGGGGCCTAATCTTGTAAGTAAAAAACTTAATGGCTCTACCTGAACAGAAGGCTAAGTAGTGTCTAATTCTCCACCAGTACCACAGGTGGAGATGTGGTGTGATGTGCATTAATGATGTTTTATTTATGAGACAGGGCTAAAGAAGGAGAAGAAGGTCAGAAACAGGAATGAAGTAACTGTGAAAGAGCCAGGCAGACAGCTGGGCAAAGTGTTGGCAATTTCAGGCATTTTAGCTGTTAATTAAATACCTTCATTAAATACCTGGGCTGTTACTTTAAGCTATTTAGATGTGCAATATCAAGAAGCATTTCATGCCTATATCTAAGCACATACCTACAGCAAAACATTTCACGTAGATGACTATTTAAACAGATTACTTTTCAAATTTTACTGTAGTAAGATTCTAAAAGTCACACACCACAGGCTCCCTCTGCAGTTAAGAGAGCTGGAAAGTCACTTCCACAAAACAGTTTACTGTAACTAAGACAATAATTGTCCTCTCAAGGTAACAGTTTCTTCCTCTTGACTATACTGGGACCTTGAACAACTATGCTCTCTGCTGATTTAGCTCAGCTAAGTTGCTAAGGGCAGCTGGAATATATCTGGCAAGTAAAAGTCTGCCATAAAAAAATCCCTCTTCCACTGAAATCAACTTAAAAACTACATTCAGGCAACCAGAGTGGTGCTCTTAGTAAAAGTGGATCCATCGTAAATCTCTAAGCCAGCGAGACAGACAAGTGACCAGAACTTTAGAAACAGAGATGACCTTTTATTTTTAGATGCCTAATAATTTAATAATCTGGTTTTATCCACCTTGACTAGTTTCCTTGAACACATTTATTTTATACAAATGTGTTTAAAGTTTTCAGGCACTCATTACATCTGTGCCTTGGAATGAACCCACAGTTCAATATCACACACTGCCAAACGATACTTACGCCACCCAGCCTGAATTTGATGAAAGCACCTGCTGCAACATCTAGCAACTCGGCCTGTAAGTAGAAAAGTAATTATCTAGAATGCTTTCATCATACTGAGAAATTAAGACAGAAACAGTTATAAGCAATTGCCTTATTCAATTTTTGAAAGAAAAGCTAGGCTTGAAATCTTTCAATACAAGTGCTGAATACAGTATTAGTGAGACACCAGGGACCCAGTGCTCGGGTGGGGCTCTGCTGAGCGCAACCAAGAGGGTGACCTCATGGAAGCAGCGTATTTTTTAGTCTCAGCTGTTTTAATTGCTTGGGTTAGTCTCCTTGAATGATTCCAGATCTGTCCATTCCTTAGCAAAGATGTCATATCACCACCTACTGCAATCAGGGATTTGGGGAATTTCGCCCCATTCCTCAATGAAGTTTGTTCAAAGAAATTTTGCCAATGCAAATATAAAATTCTATCTAGCAAAATACCCTCTCCTTGATACGGGCCATTCTCAGATGCTTAAGGGAAACCAGAAGAAACACATGGACTGCAGAAGTGGGGAAGTGGTTTTTCACAGTGACTGCCTGCCCAGCTGCCAGCATTCAGGAACATCCTGAGCCAGCAGATGCATCTAAACCAACATATTTAGTAATCACAGATGGACTTACCTGCTGTGGATTTAACTAAGCTCTTTTCAAATCTATTCCCACCTATAAAGATGTGTAAGTTCCAATTTGAACTGTTCACTCTGTGAAAAACTATTTCTTTTCAGAAAGGCAACCAAACAGGAATTGGGAGTTTTACAAAAATCACTCCCTCCAAAACAGCAAGGAAAGACTGTGAAGTCCTGATGGACAGAAGAGCAGCAGGCCTGTGGTACAAGGATCTTCACGTTTCTTATCAGTACAGACTCTTACAGCAAGATCTGGCTCCAGTTTCAGACTCCTGAATCTGTATTTTCCTCTATTACATGTGAACTAGGCCCCGAGGCAGCTCGTCAACGAGGAGCTGCTTGATATCATCACAGGGCTTTAGATGGCAATTCAGCCAGCCAAATATTGTCTATTTTCTGATGAAATGAGTCACTCCTCGAGTTCTGTCAACTGTAGTTACCAAACCTGCACTGACTCTAATGACACTGCAATTACCCAATTGCATGTTGACACTTTAATTAGGTGTCTTAAATCTGCAGCTGAATTCCAGTCTTGATTATACTTAAGAGGCTTTCCATTTTGTTACAAATTCTGGAGATTAAAAATAAACTGTCTTATTTAAATAAAGCTATTTATGTCTCTGTATTTATTAACTATAGATCTCAAAAAGATTAAATAAAGGGGCAATTTTGGGGGACCTTCCTTTCCAATTGCATTTGTGATGTTTGCTGTATCTGAAAATCCAGTCTAAACAGCAAGACCAGAAAGGAAAGCAGAAACACATCTAGCCCTAGCTGTCAACATCCACTTTTCAGATAATTGATTTTCTTTCTAAATCTCATTATAAATTAATTCTTCTATACTACTGTCAATACTTTGTTTCAATTACTTGGTAGCACCACAGAAATTGGGTCCTGATCAGGCTCAAGTCCCCTGCTACAGAAACCAGGAAACACACACAACACAAAAAGCTTTTGAGCAAACAAAGCTGCCTAAGAAAAACAGCATCGACAGCCTCTCATGAGTAAGGACACAGAAAGTCAACTTGGTCTATAAAAGATTTCATTTACTTCTAGAAGACAACTGGCTTCTATATGCTTAGTCCCTTTGTTTCTTTTTTCACATCTGTTTTGCTTATGCTTTTATTTTCATGCTCAGCTCTGTTCTGCCCTGGATCATAGTTTCAATTATGCTCAATCTTACCTTGCATCCAAACTGCGGGACTCAGGAAAAACAGAGGGCAATCAAAACCACTATTTGACTTCTAATACTGTAATGACCCTCATTTTCCAACACTATCACAAATACAGAACACTGAGACAAGCTATGGCTAGAACATAATTCTCCTACTTCACTCTGTCATACAACTTGCATAGTGCTGCAGAGCAGCCCTTACCTCCCGAGGGTCAATACCCTTCATGAGCAGACGAGGATTCCCTGTTCCTTTAAAGCTGATGAGCTCCTTGTAGTGCCGAAACACCGCACATCCTGCAGAGGGGTGGAGAGATCCTGAAAAAGGCAGCCTTTGCGTTTGGCAGTTCTGGAAAATAACTGTAGGTGACTTTCCAACATTCCACCTTACAGAACTTAAGATGAATTGAGGCACAGTTTCTGAAATGGTCTAAAATACTGTATTATAGACTATACTGAACATAGAGGAAAAAATAGCTTCATTAGTACTAGAATAAGGTAAAAATGAAAGAAAGATACTTGTCTGCATGCAATGGACTACTACAAAAGAGGATGGTACCAAACACAAGAAAAACCATTGCTGGTGTGTGCCCACTGGTAGGAGAGCAGCAATGCTCTGCAACATTGAAATGCAATAAGTTAGCTAAGGGATCTGAGCTTCCAGTTATCTTCTTCTCTTCCTTGATCCTTGACATTGAGTTCCTAACGCTGGATATAATGCCAATGAACACAGTATTTTGTAATTCAGTCAGGACACTGACTGCCGTGGAATCAATATAGAAAAAAAAAGTTAATTAAAAACCGAAGTTGAAGACTCAAAGCAAAAGGTTGAGTAGATAATTCTGGGTAGTTGCCCAGAGGGCCCTGACTTGGTGCCTTCTCCCTCACAGTTCCCAAACAGCAGCTGGGAGCTGCCACTGCTCCCAGGGAGAGCAGCTGCCCAAGGACTGACAGAGATACAGCCACACTGGATGAGTTACAGTCATCCACTGGCCACCGGAGCAAGACAGACAGGTCCCTCCTCATAGAATAATGACCTCCAAGTGCAGGATAACAAAGGTAAAAATAGAGAAGCTCAGAAGAAAGATATACATTGAGGGCTGCTGAATATATAGATACTATATCCATTTCTTGACAACATCTTATTTTTTCTCTTTAGATATCCTCTTCTAACTATTGTTGGAGACAGAATACTTGTTCAACTACATCTCTCACCATCGAGCACAGGTGTTCCTAGCAAGACAGGGCAGTGATGAAATCACTTTGTGCTGGGGGGCAATGAAGAGCCAGGCTGCAAACTTCGGAGGTGGAAAGGTTAAAAAAAAGTCAGTAAGAAAGAGTAGAGTAGCATGAAGTAAGAGGAGACAACCTGGCCTCAGGAAATAAAGGAGGAGCAGACAGTGACAGAGCCCATAGCCTGGGGAAAAAAGAAAAAAAAAAGAAAAGGATATATGGATATACACAGAAATGTATGAGAAACAGAAGAAGGGAGAACTCAGGACAAAGCTAAAGGGAGAGACACAAGCTCATCGAGAACAGGTTTGGGCACAAGCATCTTTGGGAGGCCTTTCACTAGAGGATATGCAGAATTATGTACCAATAAACAGCAGAAGGAATATGAGAGGTGACCCCATGCTGAATAGGATCCTACTGGGAGGTGAAAATGCAGTGGTCACCCTTAAAGTCTGCCTAAATAGCACTACAAATCTGATGTTGATTCAACCTATTTTTCCTGTGTAGCATGACACAGGATTTAATTACATACTACACACCTTTTCTTGCTAGTGACTCTCATGCTACCTATAAATGTATCCTAATATATGCTGTTTTAATACTTTTTATACTTGTAATTACAAAACTTCCAGTAATTACTGACATGTAAACAGTCTCAAAGTAATAGACACATTTTAACAAAAAACATTTTCATTAAGTCACATTTTGTACATTTTACCTACCATCAAAAACACAGAAGTTTTTGATGAAACAGCACAAGAACCTAGAACAGCTACAGGAGCATCTCTACACAATAAACCCCCTTAAATTGTGATTTTTATGCACTTCTAATTTATTGTATTTCTTCTTCAATTGCTAGGACCTTCATCACTTAAAAAACAACTGCTTTTTCCCATTGCTACCTCAGAGCCCTACAAACATTCTTCACAATCACTGAATGTTTAGTATTAAAGGAGTTCCCAATGCTCCAATTTATGGAGCATTTTCCATAAAATCCTTAATTACAGATCTTACAGGATTTTAGGTGTACAGTACATACACCTCACAGAATTTGGGAATTAAAGTTCAAGGCTCAAACAACAAACATAACAGAAAAACTCATAACAGAACAACACAATGTAAGGAGATAACTTTCTTGCATACACTAGATACAATGACTTTTATGTGTCAGTATGGAAACTCCCTGGCTTTTGGTTAAGTCACTATAAAGTTATCACACTCAGTATTATTTATATCTACAGAATATATCACAATATATTTCTGTGCACTGCTAACCATCTATTAAGAGTCAGGAGCCCTTCTTGAAGATGGCAGGTATGGTGTGATCACATTGGAGAAATTCTCTCTCCTGGTCGAGTATTCACTGTCACTTTGGTTCAACAAAGACAAGGATTTAGTTAAGAGAAAGGCTTAGTACCTGCTAGACCTTACAATAAAAAGCAAACAGCACTTCAGACTTACCATGCAGCTTTTCCAGCACCTCTGTATAACTCTTGCAGCATGATCCTGTTTCTCAGGAGCCACAGTAGGGAAGACGCCAACTGGGATGTTCTCTGCTTCCACCGACATTACAGTATCTAAATGCAAGCAACATTCAGGTATACTGTTATTAAATATTCCAGCACTGATGGTCCTTTTATTTTAGAATGAGCTTAAAGCGTGTATTCAATAGACATATAAGGAAAGGAGTCTGTAAGTTCGACGTTGAAAATATTTTTTTTCTATTGTTTCCTCCTTGGATTCTTCCTTGCAACCCTAAGCAGCCTTCTGAATAAGGAATTATTGGAAGTTGGTAAAAAGGGACATAAAGGGCTTCCATTTCAAAGGTCATAACTGCACAACTACAACTAGGTAATTATCACCCTCAATCACCACAACTACAATCGCGTATTTTAGGTATGTGTGACATGTAGTCTTAAGTATCTCTGTGAAAAAAAAAATCCTTAGTGCCTTGTATCATTACAGAGAAACTGGACACCATAGGAACATGAATAAACTAAAATCCAGAACAGCGGCAGCTAACAAGGATCTATGCCTCTTGGGAACCTGCTCTTGCATAAACAAATGATGACGATACCATCTTTGTCATGGAGCAGTTGACTCCTGAAACTCACTATTTCCCTAACTAGACACCCATGAAGAGGAGGAAGTCGAGTTTCACTCAGGAAGCAGAATTATGGGCACAGAAGTACATCTCACCCCAACTACCTGGCGTAGTCTGGTATCTGACAATGTATAGGTATCTGATAATGAGCAATTCTACATCTTCAGTGGTATAAAACTAATGCACTAAAAGAACTAGATGCTCAAATACTGTGATTCCGAATTTTACCTTAAAAGTGGCTGAAGTAGCCTCCTCCAAACCAGAACATGCTTTCTTCACCTCTGCAGCAATATAACAGATTCACAGACCTTCTGTTTAAAGGAAAAATATATCAATATTTCTATTTCAGCAGGATAAATCACAGTAATCCAATTACTGATGGATCTTTTTCTCTTTTCGATGCCCACCGTTGCCCAATTTCAGCTGGTGGAGAACAGATTTTAAGAGATAATATCTGCATAAACTTCATCAAGCAAAATGAATGGGGAAAAAATAGATTTAGAGTAGCTTATCTACAACTTATCTACAAAATAGAAAGAATTGATTTTCAGAAAGCCAAGAAAAAAATGATTATTTGTAGCTTCCCCTCTTTGGGTATAGTTCTCAGTATGCAAAAGGTGGTGCTTTCTTTAAGTGTTGTTAATATATCGGTAGCTCAAAATTTACTGGCAAATCTATGCATTCTGCATCTCCTCTTCTTTATCAGACACTTCCTTCCATTAAGGCCTTTTCATTAGGAAATATGAATAAATTCTGAATAACAAAGTAGAAACCTCCACTTCAGGGTTCTTCATGAATTTATCTTTTCATAGCAGGTATTTTTACCACGTTACTCTGATGGATAGGTATTCTTACCAGATGAAATTAGTATCACAATATGGGGAAAAAAAAGAGAAAAAAAAAAAAAAGAAGTGTATTGTCCCAAGGAGTGATCTGACGCACTAGGGGTGTATATTCAAAGCGCAGAGCCGACTCCGCAGCTCTCGCATTTCTCCCCCTGCCCGCGGGCGGTTTCAAGCCCGCGCCCGCTGCGCCGCCATTTCCCAGCGCCGGGGCCCGCGGCGGTGACCGCGCTTCAGCACTGCGGCCATGGCGGGCGCCGCCATCACGGGAGACACCGGGAGGCACACGGGGAGCACTTAAATTATCCATGGCCCCGCTGCGCGGCGCCGGCTCCTAACGCCGAGGGAAAACCCGCGCCACGGCCGCCGCCGCCATCTTCTTGCCTGCGGAGACCGGGCAGGGAGGGAAGGCGGGAAGGTGGAAAAGCGGGCGGCCCTGCCGCCCTCTCGCCCACCTGCCCTCGCCCGTGCGGCCGGCCCGGGAACCGGCCGGGACCCGGCCGCCGCCCCAACGGCTGCCCGTGAGGCGGCGGCCCCGGGCAGAGCGCCGGGCCCTGCCGCCCGCCCCGCGGCCCTGTCGGGAAGGGCGGTGTGTGCGTTGCCGTTACCGCCTATAGGTCATCGCAAGCGGCGCCTTTTTAATAAGTGTTCAGTGTGAGTGCATATATATATGTACACACACGCGACATATGTATCTATATTCATTCACACACATATATGTACTTATACATGAGCTACACACATACACTGTATGTGTATATGTATGTATTGTATATATATATTTGCAAGGTGCATCATTTCATTAGTATACAAGGTTGGTCTCTTCAAATAGAGATTATTGGATAACCTAATAACTGTGTTTACTTCTGGGTAGGCCTGTTAAATATTGCAGCAGTTTGGGTACCATGTAAAGCTCCCGAAGCTCCTTTTATTTTCCTCTTATTTTGTCAATAATTCAAAAGCCTGATAGATGACCTGCATAGTCACTCTGTAAGTTCAGCTAATGGGATTTTTAATATTAACTGAAGCAGGAAAGAAGAGACTATTTCATTTTCGTTCATTAACCTTTCTTATTATGCAGCATATTATCTGGAATTATTTATGTGTTATCAGAGGCAAAACACAGGGCAACGCAGAACAAAGGAGATCTTTTAAAGGTAGCTAATGCAGTACAATCAGAAGGAGCTGGAAAGAACACGTACACTAACTGAGCCAAACTTTTTATGTAACAACAAAATTCAAAATCCTTGTACAAAAGAGCTGACATAACGCAAGAAAAGAAACCCGCCCAAGATTTATTAGTAGCTTTGAGACTTGGTCTGGGAGGCTGAGACTTGGCAGCAGTGCCGTGCGGGTAGCATCAGCCTGAGCTCGGCTCAGCAGCACCTCGGGCTTTGCTGACTCCTAAGGTGCGTTTTGAAGGGTGCTCAGGCCAGTTCTAGGAGCCGGATCTTGCCAGGGGCTCTCATCTCCATCAGTATGCAAAACTGAAATATATTAGACAAAGCAATTATGTGTAATTCCCTATGAAATAAAAAATGCAAAGCTAAATCCAGACAAATACTAGTGTTTGGCAACCCAGAGAGAATGCAAATGTGTGTACATTATTAATACACATGTGTAGATGCAAAGATAAATAGGTGACACTTTTCACCGTACTAAATTTTTCATTGTACTGAGAATATTGGGGGTACTTGCTATAGTGTGAGTGAATTGTGCCTGCTTCCCAGGAAATGCTGGGAGAAAGATCTTGAATCAATGCTACATGGGCAGGGGCTGCAAGATTAGTATTCCTAAACAGCAGCAATGCTAATTTGGCCATATATTTGCCCAGGTTTGTTTTCTTTGCTCTTAGTCACAACTATAAGTCTGTCTTAGCAGTCAATGTATAATTTAATCTTCACTTTTGATGACTTTTCAAAACAGGAAAGAAGGAGAGAATCGCAGGGTATGCTTCAGTTGAATTACAATGTTCCTGGTGTGAAAGAGGACCTTACCTTTTCCCTTCTGTCTTAGTCTTGGGCATTATCAGAATATACCTATTTTATTTTATCAGAAAATATTTATTTCTAGTGAAATCTCTGAGGTACACAGAAGAGATTTTAACCTGTTATAAATTTGGGACAATGTAGCATAGTGAGCCACTTCATAAAGTACAAAATTAATAAAATGATTTACACAATCAATAAAAAATCAATAAAAAACAATCTAATTTAACCGAAAGCCTCTGAATATGTTATTTAAGTAAGTGGCTGGTTTCATAACATTTTTTTTTCATTTTCAATATAACTGAGAATTCTTTGCAAACAGATCATCTTGCTGCCAGAAACATCAAACAAAGATCAAACATTTTATGGGTTTAGTGATAGCTGTTGTTGCACGCTTTCATTTGGCTTCTCATACCTTGCCATAAAATTTTATTTTGTGTTATAAAAATAAACTAATAAATCTTTCAGGAGCAAAAAAGTCTCCATAACTTTGGCAGTTTTGCATGTCATTTTTTACTTTATGTTTTTGGCCACTCTTGACAAATGATGGAGCGACTCATGGGAGCTGGTTTAGGGACAGTTTTTCAGGATGCTGGGCACCCATCTCTTCCAATAATTCACTCAGAAGAGAAGCTCCTTAGGCATCTGCAGAAGATGCTGTGTCTCAGAGGAAAGAGATTCAAGCTGATTTTTTGCTTGTTATTTCATTGGATCAAGTAACCTTGTTTTTTATTACAAATACTCACTAGGCAAAAACCATAGGGCATTTATTCTAATGGGACCAAAATCTGGTCTTTCTATGTGAACATCATTTGTGTTCTCCAGCAGAGGTGCTTTATAATGACATCTTTAACAAGATAGTCCATCAAGGATCTGATAAGTACACCTAGTAATCTACTTGACAGATCCAGTTCAACAGCTCTTACACATTAGTGCTTGTCAGCAAAGCAGGGTGTAACTTATGTTAAATACATACAGCAAACGTTTGACAGCCGGCCATCGTTTCTTGAGAAAGTTGGAGCAATAACTTATTAGCAGAAGAGTTGTTTTGGTTTAGAGTAACACTGACTTTGACTGGGATAGAGAAGCCACCCACTGCTTATGCGGGCAGTTCAGTCATTAAATTCAAGCACGCACTGGCTCGAAACTTCCTGTAATTCAAGCTGAGAAATAGGTGTAACTCTCCTGAACTTGTTTGTAATCCTACTCACTGTTGTTTGTTCCTGAAGGACTTCAAGCAAACATCATTTCACTTTGGTTCATGAACAGACATATTTTAAGAGCTATTACTAGAGTAGATTTTATTCAACTTGGCATTCTACAGTGGACAGATTGCCTGTTTGGATTTGATCAATACAGGTTTTACATGGAAAAGCCAGTTTTCCTGTGGCTAAATTTTGAAATAAAAGATCCGATTGCTACTGTGTGTTTCTGTGACTGGAATGGAGCTGCAATAAAGGAAATGTATTATCTTACAAAACAGTATTTAGGTAGCAATAGCCCTTGCTTTAATTCCAGGAAACAATTAAATATATGCATACAATATAAAATAGTATACAATATTATACAATATAATAGTTATCAAAATGCACGTCTTTTTTTCTGGATTTGTGGGACAATATTTGTTTGAAACAAGGTTTTATCATAGGAACACTTCTTTTCCTGCAAGTAAACCATAATTTAGAAACTACTGAATAACAAATATTCAGAATTATTCTGTCCTGTATATGCACTGCTTGCATTTAAGTAGTGCCAAATATATACAGTAAATCATGAAATCATAACTGCTTGATCAGTACTGCCTGAAAATGTCTATATTTGTTTTTACGACAAAAAAGGATAATTGCCATTAAGTGACGATTTAGATTTAGACTTTTCAGGCTGAATTACAGGCCCTTCCTGGCCACGGTGACTACATTGCTTTACAGACACAAGCGAGTCTTTAAATGCAGAGAGGAAATGTCAGTTATGTAAGTTGGAATAGGGGTAAGAAAAGGCTTGCTGGAGATGGTCAGCTGGAAAACTGTGGGCTGGTCCACATTAAAATGGCTTTGTTCAGGAGGCAGGAAAAACACAGAACTCACTGGCGGATGCAGCCTGCAAAGGACATTCCTGTCATTTTTTTAAGTAAACCACCTTGCCAAATAGGTTAAGTAAATCATCTTAAGGACCTCTGCCAGAATTAGTTGAATTGCTCTGCATAGGATTTTGCTGCATAGTTATCTTATAGGTGATATTTAGTTGACTCTTCTGTATCTTCTATTTAGGTTGATAAAGCTTCACTGTAAAACCCAGAGCCTTAAAGCTGTGAATTATCTAATTGAGGAGTTCAGGTCACCATACAGAGTGCTATATCACAGCAGTGATGCTGTACAGTGATACTGCCCTGGTGTAGCTCTCTAAGTTTATTCTGCTTGTAAAGTTCACTTCATGGTCTGTACTCACTAAAAAAAAAGTATACCAGTATACCATAACATCAGCCTTTCCTTAAAAAGGTAGCAACATTTATCAGCAGAGCATTTTGTGGTTGGTTTGGGGCTTTATTTTATTTTACAGATATATCATTTCATCAAATGAAATGAACACTCCTGGCCAAATTACCTTTCCTGAGAGGTGACAGCCAGGATTTGCACAGAAAGGCTTCATCACTTAGGAACAAAAACAGTTTCCACATTAACCCATTTTCTCTATGACAGCCAAAACATAACAACGAAGTTGCTTTCATGGCGAAGTTAATGCCATGTTTGAATAATTTTCTGTTGCGACAGCAAAAACTTTGGCATGAACACCTGGAATATTGGATGCAGTGCTGGGCTCCCCAGGACAAGGGGGATGTGGAGCTTCTAGAGAGGATCCAGTGTATAGGGACCAAGATGATGAAGGGACTGGAACATCTATCTGTCTTCTCTCACTTCTCACCGCCTGCATGATGGGCACGATTAAGGCATGTGGCTCTCAGATGTCCCCAGACAGACACACAGAACAACCCCTTTAAAGCAAAATACAAAGTTAGGGCCATAACTCTTTACATTACAGATTTTCTTACATAATCAACTCAAGACAAAAGCTAGCAAAGGGTATTCATGCACCCTTGTTAGTCAGATTCTTGTGGTTATATTTTGGGAAGTTAATAATATATTCAAATAAAACACTGCCCTTCACCAATGCACGCTTCTGAAAACCTGACGTGGTAAAGCAGCTGATAATATCCTAGGTTTATGTAATGCGTCTTTTCTTTATTATCATTTCTTTGCAAGCTTCTCAAACATGCTTAAACAAGTGATGTACAATTTCCCTGTCAGCTCTTCTCCCTAACTAAATAATTTACTCCCTAATGTAATAAATGTGGGGCGTATGCTTCCCGGGAGTGATGCTGGAATCTGGCATTCCATCAGACTTGCTTATAGTTTGTTTTTTCTTTTTTAATTATGAATCTACAAGGCAGATCTGGACGCAGTACTGTCATGAAACTTGCGCGTGTTAGTTACCTTCAAGTAAATCTCAAAAAAGACAGTTTGCAAATATACCGAATTTATTTCGCCTTCTTGGCCAATGGATCATAATTTACTGGTTTTCATTTCAAAATGAAATTAAGGTAAGTATTTACAAATGTGATTGCCTAAATATAGTTGAATACTAGTTAACATAAAAGACCGTGGATTTTGGGGGTTTTTTTGAGTGTTCATGATACAAAACTGTTAATATTAAAGGAATTTGAAAGAATGTAAGTTCTTTGGACCTTCAGTTTTTCATATAGGTTCTGCATGACCAACACTAATGGCAGTCAGGCCACTTTCATATGGCTGTGTTTGAAAATGTTGGCCCTGGATCCCAGGACAGGCCACTCCAAACAAAGCAGCCTGTCTGCAGCATCACTGATAGTTTCACTAAGGTTTTTTAAAACTGAAGATTTGATTTTATATAGTAATTTCTATGCTGTGCATGGAAAGCTGAAATCACCATAGCAAAAAATCAGAAATAAATATTTTCTTAAATTATCAGCAGTTATTTGGCTGCAGGAGATTTACTCTTCAAGAACTACAGTGCAATAATAGGAACTCTAGTTTATGTAGTTTATGTATGTAGTTTGTAAAATCATGTGCACTGTATATATTATGCTTTATGTGTACAAACAGGTATTAGAGAATATTAAGCAATTGCTGTAACACAGCAGGCCAATGAGTTAATCCTGTCATCAAACTCAAACATTTTTGACATCATTCCTGGCCTGCAGGGACAGTTAGGATTGCTCGTCATTAGAACTGAAACTGCAGACGGTGCCATTTGACACGAGAGAGGCTTTATCCTCTTTTTATCTTTGGAAAATCTGAAGCTATAAATCAAACCAGATTTCCTCAAATTACTAAGCATTTTTAATCTCTCCTCTTATTAGTCTAACCTCAACTGTTTTGTTATTGTTGTTGCTGGTTTTCGTTTTGGCAGGAAGATGAGTGTATTTGTATTTTTCAGGCTATTTTGCCTGTGAGCTTTTAAGACATCTGTGAAGCCTTCTGTGATTAACTGGGTTTTTTTGCATGGAAATGATGCTTGTTACCCAAGTAAAGGATTTCTGGAAGGAGGGAGACAAGTTTAGAATATATGTTTTCCCTTTTTGTGAGAGGGGAAAAGGAGAAATGAAATATTCCCATTTACTGGATTAATAACCATATATATTTCACCCTATTTTTATTTCAGTTTGAAAGACTTACTTTTGTTTCAGGCAAGGCAAGTTTTCCCACACAGATATCTGCAAAAAAAATAATATATATATATATAGTGTGTATCTTGCCTTCTCCTATTCCCTCATCATTTTAAAAAGTAAAAACAGATAATTTGGGGACTTTTGATTTGAAATACGTGTGCACAAGGGGGCAAAACTTTATTGTTTCCACTATCTAATATACTTAATTGCTCTTGCTGAGCACAGTGCTTCCATACCTACTGATGAGGATAAAACCCATGTCATATAACGGGTATATCATGAAATTAATTGTAAAAAGTAATATAACCGGAGAAGGAAAGCAGAAGATATGCTTAAGTTTTAGTGCCTGCTTCAGCAATGGAAAATGGCCCCTTGGCTCCTCAAGGCCTCAAATGCCCAGGCTTTACATAGAAAACACAGCACAGCTTTTTCTGTCATGAGTTGGAGCTGAAACAGTGATCGCTGCTCCACTGCCTGCAGAATTCAGTCAGTGCAAGGCTAGGGAAGCAGGAGATCAATTCAGGACATGGATAAACTCCCCTTAGGGAACTCAGGCATGGGAAAAAGTAGCTCACAAACCAGAGCAGGAAAGTTGGTGGCATCTTCAGCTTTACCCAGAAGCAAAACCTGGGTACTCTAAAACTTCACCAGCGCTTAGGTAACGCGGGACACTGTAGCCTGTAGGCTACGTATAGGACAGCCTTTATGTCACCCAGCTCCCACCCGCGCTCCTCACATCCTTTTATTTTTGTGGATGGGTGCCTGTACTCACAGCCACAGACGGTGACAGGGCAGGGAACAGGTTTGCAGTGCCCTGGCACCCAAAGCCCTGTAATTGTGGCAGCTCCGCAGGCGGCTTTGCAGGAGCATTTGGCCTTGGTGATTCACCGCCACGAGGCTTGCAAAATGCTCATAAAAACAGTATTCTGACCTGGCCCCCTCCATTTCCTTCTGACACTGATAAATACCAAATCATGCGTTCTCGACTCTGTCACACACCCCAAGGTAATCTCAGCGCCAAACCACACTGGAAAACAGTAAATGTCAAATAGAAACTTTAATTGTCTAGTTAGAAAATGGGTTTGTATACAAGACCGGCTGTAACGCTGAGGTAAACTTTACGAGGAATCCTAACACTGACTTGCTGTGTTGTGAACGCTCCCGTGGGATGATCTGCCCGCCCGGGATGTGGGTGCCGGGGTCTCCGTGCAGCTGAGGTGCCCGCTCGCCCTGCTCTTCATCCTCGTGGCCCAGCAGGGCAGACCAGGCCCCAGGAGCTGCCGCGCCCGGCGGCCATCATGGAGACAGAACGGTGGGCACCGCCACTGCAGATCACAGTCAGCACGAAAAGAAGAGGCAAATACACAGAATACCTAACTAAGGATGTTTGCTAGTGTGTGTCTTAGGTTTCACAGCTTAAATCCTATTTAAATTCTTGCGCCGTGAGTGATTTTCTCCATCGGGTCACAGATCCTCCCTCAGCGGCGTTTTCCTGTGGCAGCTGCAGGCGGCGTCCACGTCGCCAGGCTGGGCCACGAGCTCCATGCCCTCCCGAATTTCAGGTTTGCTGGCTTGGCGTTCGGCGTAGGTCTGAAAGATGTAAACAACATTTAAGAATGCTGAAAGCACCAACATATAATTCAGGAAGCAGCTTCCTGCTGCGAAGGGCGCCTTTATGCAGGCGCCTTGTGCCATTGTGTACAGCCTGTTTGCAAGGTGTCTCCGTAACACACCTACTAATAGGCTGCATTGCCTCTGAACACCTCCCTTAATATCATCCCCTGTCCTGTTATTAATGTCAATTTGAATATTGTCATTACGGGGGCCTCTAACCACTCTATGTAGATCATGTTGTCATTCGTGTGAGCTGAGCAGGGCCAAAGGTTGTGTCAACCTGCGGCTGCTGGAGCTGAGACCTGCACTCTGCCTAGCAAGATAACCAAAAGAATTAGCTTTTTCAGAGAACATAAAAGTCATTCTTCTTAGTGACCTGCGTCTCCTGGGGAAGCAATGACAATCTGGCCTGTTTAACCATCTTTCACCACTATACCAGCCATGTAGCCAGGATTTCTTTTCCTTATATGCAGTGTTATGTAATACAGCTGTGTAGATATTCAGTGGGACATCTGAGTGACAGATTATCTCCTATGTCCTATTATCTCCCGTGCAAAACACAGAAAACAGGACTAACAGTAAGGATAGAGGGAAGATTAAAAAAATCTCTAATTCTGTAAAACCACTATTATGTCCTGCTGCCTCTTCGATGAGGAGGCAAGTTTTGGCTGTTTAATTCTTCTCCTGTAAATAATATGAGTAATGTCTGCTATTGGAATAAAGAATGAGTTGAAAAGTGTAGCATCTGTGGCAATAGCAGCTGAGGGAGAGCAATTAAATGATCTGTTTTAGCAACCTGGAACACTTTGTAGTAGTAGCAGTAAAGCCTGTGAGGCTGAAGCAATTCTCTTGCAGTTAACTGTCCTTCTTTAGCAATTTTTCTTGCTTCTTCATCATTTTCCTGGAAATCAAAAAGAAACAGAAATGAGTAATTGAGCAATCAGTGACTTAGTCCTGTCTGGCATATTTTTTGTATTAAGGGAGCTATGCAGATCTGCAGTTTTGTGCACAGTTGCTGCAAGAGCACACTGAATTCCAGAATTCTGGAACAAACGGGTCACAAAGACTAATGACAGTTTTGTACAATTTGGAAAACTCAGTTGATGTTTGCTCTGCTGTTTTATTCCAGGCCATTTCATAAGCTGGTCTGACATCTTCCACACATATTTTGTTACACAGAACACAAAGCTGCAGCTGTTGTCCTCTCCTGAGCACAGTTCAGTGTTTTCCTCACTTCATGGTGTTTTTGAAATAACTCTGCCTGATTCACCTTTAAAACAACTATTGCTAATGTCAGCATGAACACTTGCAGGCATGCACTTGCTCACAAGTTGCTCTTTAAAAGTTTTCAGTATTTTCATCTGATCCTTTAAAAAGAACTTTAGTCTCTCCAGAACATAATATTTTCTAATGCTTTTGACCTAACAGTTAAGTTTAAAGCACAAATGGTGCTTCTCAGTCCTACCAAATCACTCTGGTTGCCGAACGCCAGCTTCTGACTCTGAGCATATTACAGAATAGTGACTTTTTTTGTACATGCAAATGGGATGTCCATGAACATGATTCCCTCTGCCCTAGTCAGGACAAAGAACAGTCGTGGAAGAAATCAATTACTCTCAACAATTTGGGGAGTTTCTTTGAAAATTATCTGCATTCATCTACGTATTAACCCCCTGACTCATGGAATACTCCTGAACACATCTAAATTTAATTCTTATGCATCCTCACTATAAAATTAAGGTCTTCCCCTCCTACAGCAACAACAACAAAACACACTCCATGTTACCTCAGGACATAGGCTCACTGCTCATGCAAAGTACATGTGTGGAATTACAAAACGAAGGGAGCACCAAGGTAAGTTGTTCACACATGTAAAGATAAGTTGTTCACATGTATTTTTATCCTTTTGAATTTGAAGGGGTAATGGCACATACCTTGGCCCATTTTATTTTGTCCAGCAAGTCCTCCAAGCTCCTCTTGACGGGCACATAGTGCTTCCATGGCTCCAGCTCAGCGTAGAAGTGCTCGTAGTACTGAGAAGCCTGCTTCAGTACCAGGCTGTCACCCAGCAGCAGGTAGGGAAACCTGTAAGCTGCTACGGTCCCATCCACATTCACCTGGTATTTGTACTATAATACGGAGAAACAGAAAGGGGGAACACTTTGGAATCAGAATAGGACACTGAACTCTATCAAAGCCTTCTCACAGGCATGAAATCATTACAAATACGCATGTAAATTCCCATCTTGAGCCTGGTTTAGAGATAAGCAGGTGGAGTTCCAGAGAGTTCTGGATACCATTAACGGGAAACAGGTGTTTGGAGCCCCAGACCGACAGACCAGAGCTTTGGACACGTGGGCTTCCTGATGCTGAAGTGTCCTCTAACAGAACAGGGACAAGTGCTGGGAAGGAAATAAACCTACAACTAACTATACATAAATTCAGAAGGAATAAATTGATTCTCACTTACATAGAATAAGCCAAACATTATGCAAAAAGTAACCACGAATAGAGTGCTCTGTCAGATCTCTTGATCAGCATTTCTGATATATCGATTTCTGGAACAGAACTTCAAATGCCATGTACTAGAGTTGCCTTTTATTGGGCTCTGGCCTCTTGACACTTTAAACTTTTGTTGCTGTGGAATTTGTGAGTTGAGGTGTAACAAAAACAGCCATCTTCTAACTTGTTACTAAGAGGACTTTCTGCCACCCATCATGTACTTGCTCCTAAAAAAAATTGTCCTATGTTTTCATATTTATGACACCTGCCTTCTTCTCTCCCCCAAACACACCCCCCAAAGAGAAAACGCTCATCATCCATTCATTTCTGGGTCTATTTGCAACACCCATGAAGTCGGTGGGACTCCAAAAACCAAGGGCAGTGGCTTCCTTCAGAAGTTTGTCACCCTGATTGTAATTACGGGCGTCATCCCTGCCTTGTGGGAGGCAGCGCTCTCGCTGCAGCAGAACTGCCCTGTTTGCTGAGTGCAGGGGGCAAAACTAAGTTGTGGCTTTTCAGCCGGTACCAACTTGAGAGCAGAATTGATCTGAGACTGTAATTTGCTCGCTACCTTAAAGAAGTCAAAGAAGCCCATGAGCTGAGCCTTTCCCAGCTCCTTTTCTTTCTCTCTGAAGAAGAAATAGCCGGTTATGCCAGCATCCAGTAGTTCTGGATTTTCCTTGGATAGCTTGACAAGATGGAGACGCTCTTCTCGGCTGTCTCGACCTCTAAACAAAGCCCTCTCGGTTTTGTTTTCCCAGGAAGGGCCTGCAGATGTTGAGCGATAAGACAAAAGAGAACAGCAACGTCAGTCTCATTATATATTTGATCAAGTAAAACTTTAAATCTCTTGGAAGCCGGAGAAGAGATTATAATCAAATGATCTAATGAAAATAATACTTAATGTCTGTCCCCAAAACTAGAAGTTCTTTAGTAAAATCCCCTTCTGTTATCTAGCAATTTTGTCAGTCAGCTTTGAGAAGTCACTTAATAGTGACTTTGGAGGGAAAAATGGCCAAGCTCTTTCCATTTCCTCCAAAAACTTAGCAAGAACCTGGCAGACCTCATCTCTGTTTGCTTCCTCCTCTAAAACGCATTAAGTACTTCCTTCTCTCAGCTGCTGCTGAGAAAGTCCTTAAAGGACCCTCTAAAGTGGAAGTCTTGTCATGGCTTTGGTGGAAAAGCAGCTGTGCTAAATCTATAAAATGAGACTCCTTCAAACTGATAATTAAAAGTTAATTTTAAAACAGCAGTAAGAGAAACGCTCATCTATTCAAATAAAAAAATGGAAATTCTCCTGCTGAGCATTTATCTGATCTGTACGTATTCATTAATTTCCTGGGAAGGGGGAAACACGTGTCAGTAAAACCAGCATTTCCTTGAAAACTGGAAGAGGAGTTTGGAGGGGGCCTCTTTAAGCTATTCTTTTTACCCAAACAGTATTTTTTTACTTGAAAGAGGCTGCAACATAGTGCTGGTTTATCTCTTCCAGGATTCAACCTCATTTTTGTGTTTTTATGTAAGCAGCTACAAAGACAGAGCACATCACTATCAATAGAAGGACTACAAATCGATTAAAAGTAGCACATTGAATTCCTTCCTTGAGAAGAGGGACCTTTTAATTACATTTGCTTTCCTTGACAGGTCACAGTATCTATCCTGCAAATACCTTGAGCAAAATGGAGCAGTCCTGTGAACTAGACTCCTTACATTTTGGCTTTCAATCCATACCAGACTCCTGCTTAGTGACAGTGTTAGAAGTGTTTGGAATCAGTAAAGACTAAACCACTTCTCTTAGGAGACCAGCTAAGGCGCTCGTGAACTGAAGACACATTATTAAATGTAGCTCCCATCTTTCATGAGATTACAAATTCCCTTTTTAAATTTATAACCTCTAATTTACCTGTATTGCCTTGAATAGAAAGAAGGTCATTTGTGACACCACGTAGGGTTTCAAGCGTCGAGTGAGTTACATCGTACGTGGGGAGGACTATGTCTCTGGACTCGACAGAGCCACACCACGAAAGGACAGGGATGGGGCCAGGGGTGTCGTTCGCTTTCCGATGCTCAACTGGCCAATCTCCAACGTTAAGATAAAACTCGACATCAGGAAGATGCACCTGAATGTATGCCCAGGAAAGGACAACAGCACAACCATATAATTACGTTGCTCTTTATCAATCTTACACAAAGCATAACGTTCAGTTCTCCTGTCTCACACAGAATCAATAGGCCTGGTAGACATCATAAATGTGGCGAGTTGGCTTGAATGGAGCACACCTGGAAAGCACAAAGTGTGCAGGACTGCACCTCAGCTCCTGCAGCTTTCCCATCAAATTAGTCTCAATTTCCCATCCTCTGCACAACGATCCCTAACGAAACAGTCACCTTAACCAATGAGTAAAAGTGAAATCTTGCTTCAGTAATCACAAACCTGAAGATACAAAAGTGAGTTCAGTACCGTTGTGGCACTGTGTGATATAATAGTGTGAAGTGAATGACAGGAACTGATACCTTTCTTGCGAGGGAAAGCAGCATTTCGTCGGAGAACATTTTGAAGTCCGTGTACTTGCCCAGGGCGCGGCGGTAGACGCGGTTATTGAGGACGGTGTAATGGACCATCGCCCCCCGCGTGTGACTGATTTTTGTTGGGATCTCCCTGAGCATTCGCTGAAGGTCAATGGTGGGGAAAGAAGTGAAGTCCTCAGCGATCTGCGGTTCTTGGGGTGGACAAGAGAGCGTGTCCTGCCAGGTCCCAGGGTCTTCTTCAGGACAGTCGCAATATTCATGGTAAACTGGTCCTGCGGAAGACAAAGCGCTAAGGCTCCGTATTTGTGAATGTTCCACATAAATCATAGGTGCCAAAATTCATGGGCAAACACATCCAGAAATTAGAGTGGCTTTACATTTTTAAATGTCAGATTTCTAGTTTTATAGAGATTTTATGGAAAATCTTCTATACTATTTCATATCATAGAATCACAGCATGTGAGGTTGGAAGGGGCTGCTGGAGATGATCCCGTCCAACCCCCCTGCTCCAGCAGAGTTGCCTGCAGCGCACTGCCCAGCCATGGAATATCTCCAGGGATGGAGAGTCCACAACCAGCCTGTTCCCATACTCAGTCACACTCACAGGAAAAATTTTCCCCATAGGTTCAGTCAGAACCCCCTGTGTTCCATGGATTGAATGAATTCCTTGCTGGCCCCATCCTCTGGACACCCCTGCTTCAGAATTTAAATTCATTGGGGAGATCCTGGAGCCTTCAGTTCTCCAGGTCGAGCAGCTCTGCCAGCCTTTGTCCATAGGGGAGCTGCTGCAAACAGTCCCTTGCGCAACTCAGCAGCCCTTCCTGCAGCTGCTCCACATCCCTCCTGTTCTGGGGATCCAGAACCAGACACAGCCTCCAGATGTGGCCTCACCAGGGCTGAGTAGAGGGGCAGGGTCCCTCATACAGCCAGGATCCCATGGGCCTCCTTGCTGGCTCTCGCCAACCTCATCCCCCAGGACTCCAGCTCCTCCTCCGCAGAGCTGCTCCACAACAGGGCAGCGCTCCATGAAAAGGGTGTTTCCGCCCGGTTTCGAACCGGGGACCTTTCGCGTGTTAGGCGAACGTGATAACCACTACACTACGGAAACTGGTGCCAGGGGCTGCTCCCTGCTCCATGCCTGGGCTCAGCGAGGGACTCGAGCGGCACCGCCGCCTTTCCCTCCATTCGGGAATTAAAACCTCTGGGTTTCCTTGCTCGTTTTCAGAGCAGAGTTTGTCTGCAAAACCGAGCTCCCTAATCCCACCACCTGCCAACCACATGGAATACTAAGAATTGTTCTACCTATCCACATACGTTAACACTCTGCTACTGCACTGCTAATTTTAACCTAATGCAGAAGGTTGATACAGTTGTCATTTCCTCCAGTATACGGAGTTTTCTTCCATGTTTAATCAACTACTTTTTCTGTCCTCTCGGGTCAGAGAGCTTACGTATAAGCAAGAGCCAAATAAAGTGTAAAAATGACTTTATTTTCTTTTATTAAAACAAGTTCTGGTCTCTGTCATATCATCAGAGCTGCAGCAAAGTGTGCTCATGTGCTCCAGTAAAAGGAAAGCAAACTACTACCTTGAGGACTCAGGGCAATTTTATTTCAATTTGAAGAAATTTCTAATAGTTTGTATTTAGGATGTTTTACGAAAATTAAGCATGATCATTCTGGTTAAAATACTGTGTTAAGCTGAAACGAGACTGTCCAGAGAAGTAACTTCACACTAGATTTCCTTCCTTGCTAAATAGCTCCCCTTTTTAGAGCAAGAGAGGGAACTTACGCAGATTAGGGTTAAGAGAAACATTTGCTTCCCTTTTCCCTGCCTTTTTCCCTGCCATAGTTCCTATGTAGTAATGACCTGTAGTAATGAATTAGTCTCTGCTGGGGGAAGGGAAAAAGTTAAATGTGGCAGGAAAAATTCATCTTTGTTATTATAACGGATTGTGCTTTATACAAATCACACGGGGACACATTTAAGCAATAATGTTCTGGGGCACAGATTCTCTTAGTTTGGTTTCATTTGCGTTTTTATTTTAGATAAAAGTAACACAGCCTTCAATATGAGTTCCTGCTTGAAAAAAAATCCATTATGGTAAAAACAAGTATTCCTCTCTTTCCTTATTCCCTACAAAATCCGAACAGATCCGTTTCCTTACTCAGCGGCAAGGTGGTCAGGGAGCATAACCTGCGCACTTCTGTATCTATGTCTTGTATCTGTGTATACAAATTATGAAGAACTATACTACGAAGAACATTTCTGATGAGACTCAAAGGAAAGGGGTCAACAGTGACCTCTCCTTCGCCACCTCTGCCTCCAGCAGTCAATTAATCCACCCGCAACTACTACTTTAAATAACGCCCTTACCTTTCAAAATGTAAGGCGAGCGAGCTACGTGCTTATCCCCAAAAAGCACCTCGATTTTTAACCCTTTTCGGACACTCCCGTACATCCGATAGCGCACCAGGAAAGTGCCGTCATTCCGATCCAGAGGCTTGGGGGTGTAAATCCTGCTGGTTTCTTTGGGAGAAAGTGCTTGAATCGCCACTCTGAACAGTGTTGCTCCTGAAAAAAAAGAAAGGGAGAGGAGCTGGGGCGGTGCGCGGAGCGCTGCGCGCTGGGCGCCTCGCGGAGCCGCGGGGCCGAGCCGGACCAAGCCGAGCCGGGCCGGACCAAGCCGGACCGAGCCGGACCGGGCCGGACCGGGCCGGACCGAGCCGGGCCGAGCCGGACCGAGCCGGACCGGGCCGGACCGAGCCAGGCCGAGCCGAACCGAGCCGGACCGGGCCGAGCCGGGCCGGGCCGGGCGCCGGGGGCTCGGGCCGGGGCTCCTCCCGCCGCCGCGGTACCTGGCGGCGAGCGCGAGAAGTTGCGCCCGGCCGCGCTGGCCGCCTGGATGAAGAAGTAGCGCACGGGCAGCGCGGCCGCGGCCTCCAGCCCCGGGCCCCAGGCCGCGCTCCGCTCCGCGCTCACCGCCGCCTCCGGCTCCGCCGCCGCCCGCGCCAGCAGCAGCAGCGGCAGCAGCAGCAGCAGCACCGGCGGCACCGGCAGCGGCAGCGGCAGCGGCAGCGGCGGCCGCCCGGCCCGCATGGCCCCTGCGGCGGCGGCAGCAGCGGAGCGGGGCCGCGGCCGGGCCGGGGCCGGGGCTTGGCCGCCCCTCAGCTCCTCTCCCCGCCCCGCGGCCGCCCCCAAGGCTCCGTTTCTCGCTTTCCAGCCTGTCCGCACAGCGAGGACGAGGGAGGGAGATCCCAGGGCTCCGGGTGCCGCTGGAGGGTCTGGAGCGCTCCAGTTGCAACGGTTTGGAGCAGCGGAGAGCAGAGCGGCCTCCCGCTGCAGCCTTGGGTTTTGGCGGATTGGGGAATGCAACTGGTGTCAGGCTGGCAGTGACCTGCAGCCACATCTATCCACACACAGCTGCTCTGAAACAGTGTCCCTGCTGGAGCAGGGCGTTGGACGGGGCGATCTCTAGAGGTCCCTTCCAGCCTCAGCCCTCCTGTGGTTCTGTGAATCCCGTGTGCCAGGGTCCCCAGGGGTTTCTCCTTCCCCCCTCTCTGGGCACCCTTCAGGCCAAACAGGAGGGAGGATGATCTCTGCATCCAGGGTGTCTTCCCAATGCACGCGGGCAGATATCCAGGCTCAGGAGATTTGTTGCCTGAGGTTGTTACGTCCTTTTCATCAGGAGCATCTTTGCCACTGGTCCTCTATTAAATATTTCAGCATGTTCTTATATATATAGTGTATATATATGCAGAGAGCATGAATGAGTGCCGCATGTTTCTGAATAACATGAACTTCAATTCCCCATGCATCCTGACCATGAAGAACAGGTCCCTTGAAAGCAGAAGTCTGGTTCCCACCTTGCTTTTGTCTCCAGTCTCCTAAGCTCCCTCACCACGGAGATCTCAAATAGTCGCAGATCTCCATCAATACATCTCCTACAATACCCCCAATGGGCAAGAGAAGACACGGGCAGTGCTAATTTGTAGCTACACATTTGCTTATTGGCCACCTTGTTCATTCCTGGCTGCCACTTCCAGTGAAGAACTGGTTGCCTGTGGTGTAGAACTACTGTGTCTGGGGGAACAGTGGGTGCTACTTACCTTCAACATAGCAAAGGCTTCGCTGTCTCCCACAGTTTCCCACCGACTTGGTCTGCCACAGAGTGCAGGGTAGGTGTGGATGGGGGACAGCCAGGGGGTGGCTGGCTGGTGGAGCTGACGGGGCCTTATGTCCATCTTGGCCTGCAGACCCATCCTGGTGTCAGTACCGTGTGGTGCGCACCAGGACTTGCCCCATGCCCAGGCTTGGGCTCCTCAGCGAGCCAAGGGCACGAGCAAGGAGCACGGAGACGCCCAGGGCTGGAGCGCCCTGCGGCAGAGCCCGGGGCACCCGCGCTCGCGCAGCCAGGAGCTGTTGGGGGCACCCGAGAGCAGCCCCCAGTGCCCGAGCCGGGCTCCTCACGGAGAGCGCGGCCGGGACACGTGGCCACAGGGACACGTGGCCACAGGGACACGTGGCCACAGGCATCTCCGGGAACATGGTGAACTCCGACTGGGCGCGGGGAGCAGCTTTTCCCCATGAGGACAGTGGCTGCCCAAAGGCTGCGCAGTCTCTGTCCTCAGAGGGTCTCAGCTGATTGAAGCCCTGAGCATCTGGGTCAGAGCTCAGAGGTGACGCTGCTGCATGCGGGAAGGTGGGACCCCGAGGTCCTTTCCACCCCGACTTCTCCTTATCCTTCACGTTTGCTTGAAGCCATGGAAATTGGGCCCCTTCTCTTAAAAGTCACCGCGTTTTGCTGCAGGCCATGTGGGGATCGGAGCGAGCTGACGGGTGAAGAGCGCGCGTCAGAAACACAACCTCAGCGCATCAACCCCGTCTCCTTCGGTGGCCAGGCTGCAGGACGGAGGGGCTGCCTGGCTTGGGTGCTGCACGGGGCGGCTGCGGGAATCAGGGCTCCGAGAGGACAATGATCCCACACAGTCCCACTCACATGACCCACGGCCCCGCTGACGCCCAGCGCGGCCGCAGGGATTTCCACGCAGATCGCAGAAGTGACTTGTTCCACACCGCCCTCTGCAGCGTCTCATCCCCACGTGCCCCTTGTCAAGGCAAGTTACGGACATACAGCTCTCTATGGGATTACCCTACATATTCCAGGAAGATCCTGCTGCTGATGGAAACCTGGGGCTTCAGTCCCAGGTTGGGTCCCGCACTCGCAGCACCGGCTGCCATCAGCATCCTGGAGGCAAAGCGAAAATGTTGGATTTATTTTCCCCTCTTTGGCTCAATTGTCTGTGCTGTTCACAGAAAGGAGTACTGTGGAGTACTCCTTTGGAGTACTGTGTTCAGTTCTGGGCACCCCAGTATAGGAGGGACGTGGAGCTTCTCGAGAGGGTCCAGAGAAGGGCAACCAGGATGATTAAGGGAATGGAACATCTCTCGTATGAAGAGAGGCTGAGTGAACTGGGCCTGTTTTCTCTGGAGAAGAGACGGCTCAGAGGGGATATGATTAATATGTATAAGTTCAGGAAGGGAGAATGCAGGGAGGAAGGGGACAGGCTGTTCTCACTGGTGGCCAGCGACAGGACGAGGGGTAATGGCCACAAGCTGGAGCACAAGAAGTTCCGTCTCCAGGTGACAACTTCTTTACTGTTAGGGTGACAGAGCAGTGGAACAGGCTGCCCAGGGAGGTTGTGGAGTCTCCTACTCTGGAGGTCTTCAAAACCCGCCTGGATGCCACCCTGTGCCACACGCTCTAGGTGTGCCTGCTTGAGCAGGAAGGCTGGACTAGATGATCTGTAGAGGTCCCTTCCAACCTTAAATATTCTGTGAATCTGTGAAAGTGAAAAATAAACACAGTGCCAACACATCTGTCCATCTGAATGCATGGTTTATTTCAAATGACTGGTTTTAAATACGAAAATTCTATAAATTATGACCATCTATAAACTCTACTGCACCCAAAGAAAAAGCCTGGAAGAGGAAAGACATCCAATTCTGCCTCTGCTAAGCCAGAGGCAAACGGAGCAGAATTGGAGGTGAACGGAGTGGATCTCTTTATTCAAATAAATCCTTTCCCTGTGTTTTCACATAATTAACTTTTATAGAATTGCATCATTCTATATAAATATTAGTTTACAGATCCTCAACAGACTGTGGTCTCGCACAATTGATTTATGATCAAAACTTCTTTTTTTGTTCTTTTCAATAACTCTATATTAAATCAAACCATCTTTTACTGTACATATATAACACAGCAAACAAACACCCTTTTGGGCCAAAAAGGAGAGCAGCACTTAATCCAAATTCTACTGAACAGGTAGAAAATATTTACAAATAAAAATATTATATATAATTATTCTAAACAATCCCTTTCTAGTCAAGCAAAACCGTATGACCATTTACCTCCCTTGTAAACATTTATTTTATTATTGTTTAACCTATATATGTCATTTCTCCTAATTTTTGGACTAACATATTTTGCAGAAGTTTACAGCAGCAGAAATTCTTCACTAATATTAAGTTGGCTTTATTGCCTTACTCTACAGAATCCTGTATATACAGAGTAGAAATATTTACAGAAAAACATATTTTTTCCTTAGAACAGCCCATCTTACGGGATTACGATTACATGGTAGCTATTTCCTTCCAATACTACATATGTCAGCATGTGCGTATATCCTTCCAAAACAGGTATGTTGTGAAGAACAGTTCTGACTATAAATATTTATACTAGTTTATATTAGCCCTTTTATGTACAGCGAAAGACATTATTATATTATAAAGCAGTAATACTTATATTTCAGTACATATTTGAATGACAGCTTTACTTCTTTAACGAAGTTTACAGTATAAAAAACTACAGATAGCAGTTACCTACCACAGCATTTTTCATCTTTTAGATTTTTGTGGAATATCCAGTGATACAAGCATTGCTTGTTTTGTTTAAAATATATTATTTAAAATATCAACATACTGTCCTTCCAGTTACAAAAATAGAATCGTTTTACAGAAATTTTATTTAATTAAAAAGCATATAAAAATAAGGATCGACATTTTAGACTGTACGTGAAACTATTAAAATAGAAATAAATGCTATATAATCATTTAAAAATACTACCTTCTGGCTCCGTGAGCCCTTGTGATTCTGCACGGCACGAGATCAAAGCTGAGCTGAAACGCAGTGGCCAGGGCTGAGTCTGGCTCTTAATGGGGCTAGCGCCTCTGCTAGCGGCGCCGAGCAGCAGCCGCAGGAAACGGTCGCAGTCTTTAAGCTCAAAGCACGAGCAGTTCCACGGGGAGAGAAGGAATGTTTGGGAAGTATCCCAAGGGAAGGAAATCTAGCGAAGGGCAAGACGGGTTTCCCAGCGGATCTACTCCAAGGAGGCCGCAGCTCCGCGGGGCGCAGCCTGGAGCCAGCGAGGCCGGGAGCTCCCAAGGGAGCTGGGGACCCTGTGGGCACCGTGCGGGTCCGCGCGGGACGCAATGGATGGAGCCGCCGATCCGCTGGAGGAGCAAGACCCGAGACAGAGACCACAGCGCGGCAGCGGGGCAACACGCTCGCCCGCTGGTCGGTCTGCTAAGGAAATACGACGAGAGCCAGGATTTGGGCCTTCCAGCTCTTCTGGCGGGCAGGAGCCTCAGCCCTGCAGACAGGCACCTCTAACAGGGCTCTGCAGTCATCCGCCTTTCGTAATTTTAGCAAGCGATTTTTTCTTTTTTTTCCTCCTAGGAAGAACAACGATGAATCCACACATTTAATACAAACACTCAATTGCTCACTTAGATACTAACTTCATTAAGACTAACAGAGCTGCCCCAATTATAGCAGCCCGAGAACAGGCTCAAAACATTTCTCGTGTTTCTGCCTGCCCAGGGCCTATCTTGCCATCTCGGTGCCGCGAGCTGTCATAGCTCCGACTCCTTGTCAGTCTCATCTAGGTAATACTCATCGTCGGTGGTGGTATCGGTGTCCGAGTCCGAGTACGCGGCCCGCTCTGCCCCACAGACCTCGGCCGACTCCCTGGGGGACGAAGGCGCTGAGGACATTTTGCTCCCAGCAGAGCTCGAGCTCCAAAGCTCGGATCTGCTCCGGGAAGGGCTCTCCCTATCCCGCAGGGAGCCAGGGTTATTCAGAAGGCAAGGCCTCCACAGCCGCCCTTCCGTGAGCGACCTCTTGATGTTCTCCAGGAAAGCCAGCTGCTGCTCCTTGCCGAATATTCCAAACTCGATGGACGGATACAGGAGGTTCCTGGCGCTGCGGGTCCTGACGTCCTCAGACGCCCAGTTCTCGTTCTCGTCGCGGGACAGCAGCTCCGAGTGAGACTTCAACCTCTTGCCGTGCCGGGGCAGGAGGCCCCGCGGCGCTCGCGCGCTCTCCGACACGTGCCGCTCGCGGGGCGTCCTCGCCTGGCTCTTGCGCGGCTGCTCGCTCGGCAGGTTGGCGTTTTTTAAGCTCTTAGACTGACTTTGAGGCTGCCCAAACGCTAGCTGAGAAGTCAAGCTTTGCTTCGGAGCCAGGTCTGCCCGCAAGTTACTATTTATGAAGGGGTTTGAGTTTTTGTCGGTGAGAGGAGGCGAGGGCGGGCTGCTCCTGCTCGCTCCTCTTCCCTCATCATCCACCGTGTCCCGTTTGGCGGCCCGCGGGGAGAGACTTGGGCTTCTCTTCTCTAACCCAAGGCCCAAGGTTTGAACATTCTTATTCCTCGTGGCTCTTTTATCTGGAAATAGGGCCTGGCCTGACAGACTTGGTCTGTTTTCCAGTTTTCCTGTGTTTTTGGGGGGACTGATTGCTTCTTTCTGGGTGTAGGAACTTGTAACAGACCTCCAATTTGTGTTACTAGCCAGGAAAGCAGGATCATTGTCATTCCTATTCCCCTCAGCCGTTCTTGGCATGGCGGTGTTGCCCTCAGGGTCCGGACCAGGATTCTGGTTTTCATTTGCAGACTGCAGAACTGAGTGGCTGCCACCAGCCGAACTTTGCAAAGCCTCCAGGGGCAGCTCAGCCTCCACAGAGGCGGCACCTCCATCATTCTGCGAGAAAATATTACTGATGTGTGGCTTCGGGGGTAAATTCTTACTTGAAAATTTTCGACTTGTTTTGTACACAGCTGCCAGTTTATTTTTAATTGAAGGTCTATTTTTCCTTTTTTCTATGTCTTTTACTTTGTCTCTCGCACAGCCAGAGAGAAGCCTGCTCTCGTTTTCTGCACTCTGTGTTACCTTTTGATCTCGCGTAACCCCAAGGGCTCTATCTTTGCGGTCCACGTCGAGGCCCCCCTCGCTGCCCCTCTGTGATTCCTGCAGACCTGAGTAATCTTCACCCACCTCAGATTCCTGCACATTCTGTGTGCTTTTAATTCTGGAATTCTGGGACTCACCTGCACCTCTGCTGCCCATTTTGCCCAGCTGAAGTGATGGCTTGGCAGTGGAAGCTGCGTCGGCTGCAGATACTTTGCTCTGAGATTCTGGCAGCTTTTTGCTGCAGGAAATTAAGTCATTTCTGCTATTTCTCGAACTGGCAGCTCTTAAAGGCAGCCCACTACATTTATTACTATACAGAGGGGTGACCTGGTGCAGATTTTCTCTTTGTTTGACTTCCGTATTATCCCTGTACCTACCTGGAGCCGGAGGACCTGACACGTTAGAAGTACTGGTCCTACCAAGAGAACTTTTCACTCGCGTGCGGAGCAGCAGACTGTTCTGAGTTTTATTTGTGTTTGCTTTGCTGGGCTGACTGCAGTTTTCTGGGCTCCCCTTTTGCACGTTCTTCTTACTTACCAAGGTGGAAGAGCTGAGATCCTCTGCAGGTGCGTCTGGCTTGGGAGGGGTGGGTAAGGTGGAGACGGACGGAGGGGCTCTTTGCACAATTCCCCTTTCTTTTGGACACTTTTCTGTACTTCGATTGCTTGAGGCCCCAGAAAGGCCCTTACCTGAGCTACCCACTGCTGCAGCGGGTTGCGGGTCACCAAAAGAAATGTCTGCTGTCCTCGTGTCAGGAAGGGCACGTTTTGCTAATGGAAGAACTGGTGAAATATCTGTGCTAACACGTGCTGTACTTGCTATCTGCGGAGCACATCCCTTCCCAGAGCCAGGGGGTAAGGGGGAACTCCTGTCCTCACCATCAGCAGCAGCTTCTAAATTCTGAGGTGTGACCACAGCTGAAGGCTCTTGGTCAGAAGAGTGTGAAGGCAGCTCTTTTTCCAAAGCATTAGGGAAAAATACATTTGCTAAACTCACACGACCTTCATTTTTCTTGTTATGTATTCTTGGTGATTGAGAATGTGTTTTGGGAAGAGGCAATTCTGTGTCCTCTGGATTATCCCTGAAGAGGTTACAAAATGTCCTAGAATGCCTCCGTGGTAGCGTGTAATAGATTGAAACGAGTTCATGATACTTGACGTGATCTTCATCAACACAAACTGTAAATGTGCTTGTAGTTTTGTATTTCTGCAAACAATTTCCCTTTTCCTTACAGTCTGAAAACCCAGAGTATCCTCCTCTGCTCGGATCGTTACAACTGTCCGCCAGTCCAACTGAGGTACTGCTACTTACTGAATCACTGGGACTTCTGGTGAAAGGATAATCTTTTCCTTGCACACCTGACGCAGCATTTAAGGGCACTGGTCTTAAGGAATGTTTTGTATCTGAACAAGAGAAGCTTCTCTGAGTAGAACAAAAGGCATCGGTTCTATGTGGCACTTCCATCCTTAGACACTCCTGGGAGCTGGTTCTGCCCTCCCTAGGGAAAGAGATGGCTGTATCTGACATGATGCTGCCCGCAACGCTAGCTGATTTCCTAGGCAGGGTATAATAGATAACAAGTGGATCCGAAGATCTGGAGTTGCTTCTGCTAGGGGAGCCAGTCGTGCTGCAGCTACTGGAACATCTCAGCGAGCTGTCTTGCTTGTTACGCCTTTCAATGCTAGGTGAATTATTCCTTATGTTTCTGTTTTCTTTTTCAAGGCAAATATAATTTAAACTATGTTCAGAGGTCTTGGGGTCTCCAAAACTATGTGTATAAATACTTGCAGAGCTTTCATGATGTGGACTAGGAGTGAATTGTCTACTGCACTCCTTAGTAACTAAAGTGCTTGGACTTTGTGATGTGGCCTGTGAAATCTTTTGGGTTGCACCTGCTCTGCTCACTTGAGTTGCTTTGCCACCTGCTGCTTGAGATTCAGTAACTGTGCAAATTCCTGGCGAGTAAGTTGGTGTTTCTGAACATTTCAAATTGTCTTTCAGAGAAGGTGCTTGTGAAGAGCTCTGTGAGGAACCAGATGAACATTCAGGACTGAGCACCATGCCCGGATGGCTCACTAGTTTTGCAGTGGATGGAGCAGAATCCACACCCATAAGAGAAGCCTCTCCCTTTGCAGCAGCTTGGTTAACTATTTCTGCACGCTGATTATCCACTTTGATGTTTTCTGTTGCATAACACAAATTTTGTTCCCATGGCCTCTGGCTTGGAAGGAAAGATTCCCTTCTGCTCTCATCAGCTGGCAAAACCCAGGGCTGCTGATTGAAGCCCCTGCTGGCTGAGAGGTCATCTCCCCTCATCTGCACGTTCCTTTTATTACTGTTTGATGTGTCTGGTTTTACAGCCTCTCTTCTGACGGTGACTTGGGGCTGTCCCTTTGATCTCAGCGGGTTAAAGAGAGATGAAGTGTTTGGCAGGAGGGCAGAAGCAGAGTTACCACATGGAAAACTCGGGGTGTTGGTGCAGTTTGTATCTGCTTGTTGAGAAACCGACAGCAAAGTCATGTCTTCAACAGCCACTTCATCCAGCAGATTCTTATCTTCGACACCGTCTAGTTGCTCCGAGTCCATCTCAGAACTCCTCTGAGAAGCCAGGCCTGACCTGCTGCTCTGTCCTAGAGGCTGTGATTGGTCCCTGGCATCAGGAAAGACCGGCTCATCGCACCGGGTGAAACACGGCGCAACGGGAGAGCTCCAGCTCGGCCAGGGCTGGCCGCTCTCACTGAACTCTGAGCAAGTTCTGGTACTCACACTCCTTGTTATCTTCCTGATGCTCGTGTGGTCAGGGGAGCACACGTGGAAGTCGCTCTGCAGGCGCTGTGTGGCATACTTGGCACTCTTGGCATGTGCCCACTGGTGGTCAGCTAAGTTAGCCACAACCACTTCAAGGCTGGCATCAGGGGAAGTGAACACCTTGTCACTGTGGTAAGGGGGTATCTCAGCCCAAAAAGGATAGTTATCTTTTTTCCCATAGGGAGATTTTTTTTGGTTTATATACAATTTGCCATGAGAAGAAGCATCCCAATAGCAGGACCTAGAGAGATTATTGTCCGATTTGTATAATGGATAATTTTCCCAGTTATCAAAGGACAACGGAGAAGCAGCTTTGTCAGGACAACTCACTCTGCTGAAACAATTACTGCTTGAAAGGGATCTTCTGTAGTGGTGCTTCGAATGGTAACAGGCGTATTTCCTGCTTTCCTGCAAAGGGCTGGGATATCTGCCGTGCTCTGCTGCATGGAACTCCAGCAGGGACTGGGTTCGAAACATTTTCTCTTGAGCTGAGGCTTGTGCTGCAGAGTCTGGCGCATTGTTCCAAACGATAGAAGACAGAGGAATCCTCTTTGGATTTTGTCGCCCAAACCGGGGTACGAACCCATCGCCGCTCTCCCTCGCCAAGGGATGCTGTAAAGCAGCTGCTGAGAGCTGCTCCGAGGAGACTGCGGACGGGCACCTCCGAAGGGAACACACCGAGTAACTCCTGCCCGCTGGATCCCTGTTCATGTAGTGCTGGTGCCTAAACCCACTGTTGTGGGCGATGGAAGGAGGATACAAGCTGCCCTCTGAAGACTGTCCGTAAGAAATAGAAGGCAGCCTGCTGCTTAGTAGGTGTGGATTTCCATCAAACGGATCATCGTATTTGTAATCCTCTTTAAAGGCTGCCTGGTGCCAATTTATGTAAGCACTCTGCAATTTCCTGGGCCTGATGAAAACCTTGTGCTCATCCTTGGCTCGAATTGTTCTCAGCCCATCGGGGACAGGCGCAGCAGGCAGGTGGCTCCAGCGAGCCCTGCGCTGCCCTCGGGCAGCGGCGCCGGGAAGCGGCTCTGAGGCGCCGGACACGGGGCTGCACTGCCGGCTCGCCGCATTCCCGGGAGCAACAGCCCTGTCCGAGGGATCCCGCGCCTGTTCCTGGGCCAGCTGGTCGTCCAGATCATCTAGAACTGCACGGGGAAAAGAGACACACTTGGTTTGGTTTTCTTTAATAACCTCCTGGCTATGTATGATAACAAGCTGCATGTGCTGCGTTAATAATGATGAGCGGCTGGGAAAGGAGTTGGCTTCTCAACATTCACAGCCCTTCCCAAACCACATATTCTCCCTCCACTGGGCCTGTCCGTGGTCACCCAGCATGACTCCGAGGGAAAAAATGTACTGCTCAGGACTGATCTTACAACTGTTCTTTATGTAAGCGCTACCCTCCTGCTATTTAGAAGGAGGTCATAACAATCTGATGGCTGAATTCATGCTCGTCAGCCAAACGCAGGGGAAAAACCTTCCAAAATTCCATTTTGTAAGCAAAAAAAGCCCTTCAAATGATTCAAGATGCTTGTGAGCATAATCCTTTTCTGCAGGTCCCCAGAGCACAGCTAAGATGTAACTGTGAAGGCAGCACGGAGTCCTGCATGCCTCCAAATTATCCAGGATAATCCAGTGGGCAGCCTGGTGGGCATATCCAGTGGGCAGCCTGGCATGCCCACTGTTTGCTTCATTCAGGAAACAAGTTATTCACTGAATAGTTGCTTCTTACTTACTCTAAATTAATATAAAATGGCATTTTCTTCATTAAGAAAAAAAAAAGGGGTAATAAAATATTAGGAACCTGTGACTCCAGTCAGCAACAAGGCCATATTTATAGACCAGTTTGATTAACTGGAATTACACATTAAACAGATAGCTAGCCAAGCTATTCAGTCACAAGATTAAGTAACAAGAATCTATTTAAAGCATTTTTATTAGGGAAAAAAAAAAAGATTTATTAATTGAATTTTTCTATTTGGAGAAAAGCACACACAAGGTGAAACCACAAATGGATTTGGCTGTTTTGTTACAGCACTTCCTAACTAAGTAAAAAAAAAAAAAAAAATCACTGACCAGTTAGTACAGACCTGTGCAAACTGTGGATGATCTTGAAGAAAGCGTTGTTAAACATAGAGAACTGGAATAAAAATTGGTTAACTAGGTTTTTGTGTTTTTTCTCAGTGTCTCCTTAGCACAAAGGACAGAGAACTGCGGGCTGAGCAGAAGAAAAGCAACCGTTCCTGAGCCTTCCCTTGGAGGACGTGGGCCCGGCCGCGCGGCAGCAGGAAGGGGCAGCCCGGAGCAGAGCCCAGCACCATGTGATGCCCTCCCTGCTGCTGCCCCTGCATCCCGTGGTGCTTCCCAGCCCTCCTGCCGTCTCCTGCTGCGGCTGTGAGCGCCGGGAAGCAACGCACATGGCCAGGATTTCACGCGGCTCTGGGGACGATTATGGAAGAATGATTATGGAAGAAATAATCTTGCTCTCGTTTCCAAGCAGTGGGAAAAAATGAACCAGTTACTTACTGCTAGGCTCTACGGCAGTTCCCAGAAAGGGAACTAAGGGTCATAAGGCACAAAGAATCATAGGAGGATTGAGGTTGGAACCTGATCTAGAGATCACCCAGTCCCACCCCCTGCTCCAGCAGGGACACCCAGAGCACGGGGCACAGGGTGGCAGCCAGGCGGGTCTGGAAGATCTCCAGAGAAGGAGACTCCACAGCCTCCCTGGGCAGCCTCTTCCAGGGCTCTGTCACACCCACAGTCAAGAGGCTCTTCCTTGCATGGAGATGGAACCTCCTGTGTTTCAACTTGTACCCATTGCTCCTTGTCCTGTCACTGGCCGCCACCAAGAAGAGTCTGGCCCCATCTTCTCTACATTATCGCTTCTTGTTTCTGTAGCTTGAAGCTTTACAGTGTATAAACCTGGGCCTTGCATTGCATCAGTATCAACATCACCCATGCAGGAAACTATAATGAAATTCTTCTTACATTGACTTTATAAGTCTGCCTCTAAAGATGTCATATGGACTCGTTACAATAAGTTAAAAAAAATACATACTTTTAAGATGTTACTCTTCTGAATTGGATCAAGATGAGATGAAATGGACTGACACATTTAAATCTCAAGGTCAGAAAAGACAAAGCCAGAAAAAAAGCAGACCTTACACTAGAAAAGAGCCAGCTGTATCTCTACAGCCTGAGCTCTTGTAGGAAATTCTGCCACCCACCACCAGTTACTGCTGGTGACGACGGCGACAGAGCAAAGCAAGTAACAGACTCACCACGGAAGAACTCCTTCTCTAGCTGTTCATTCCACTCCTGGGTAGTTTTTTCCACCAATTCATCTTGGTTTGCTTCAAAAGGATGACAACTTGGTTCAGTTGACGTTGGGGGATTATATGTTTCTGCCTGTTAAAAAGTTTATGACAACATGATTTTAGTTCTACATAGTGAAAATTGCAGAAATCAGTAAAGTCTTGTGGGTCCAAAATTCTTTTTAACATAAATACGGAATAGTTAAATTCTAAAACTATGGATTTGTAAAATTATATACATCTCTCATTGATATATAAATTCTTCACTGATGTAAAAAGAGATATGTTTATCTCATACTCATATCACAGCATACTTTAGATATATTTATTATCAATTTATTATCATGAGCTTATAATAAGGGATGTAGTCACCCTCTTTTCTCCATGCACATGATTACTGCATAATATCTCTTAATTTTTCTCATCAATTTCTTTTCACCATATTTTAAAATTCACCCTAACCTCCAGAGACTAATAATTAAACAGCATAGCTGATTTTTGTACTGTACATTTTGTCTTTTCACGACTAATCAATTATACTGTTTAAAGCTAAGACATTACACATTAAAGCACACAAGTGATTTAATTACACTTTTTTTTTTAAGGAAAAAAAATAATGAAATAATGTTTGTATGTATCCACTGGTTGGAAAAGGTCACTGCTTTCTGACTGGTACTACAAATATCCATTTGTGCCATTTCTTCTAAGCCCTCTGTGGAGCGAAACACTGAAAATAATTTCATGGTGGAAGGCACGACAGCACCTTGGGGGGCTGAAATAAATTACCTTATCAGCAGGAAAAAAAAAAGTCTTCTTATTTCCTATCAGTTTAGGTTCAGTTTATGTGCTAAAACATAGAGGTTCCTATCCTGTAATACCCACATTTCCCTTGGGCCACATTTTCACATGGCAAAAACGCAGGAAACTGCTCAACTCTGATAGACCCATGCTAGCTGAGAACCTTTCCCCTTTTTTTCTTAAAGAAAAAATCCTGACTACTTTAGCTCTTGTTTTTCTTAGTGCTTATTATAATAGTCTAACCAACTCTGAATCCTGATCTTTATCCCAGCCATTTATTAATATAGATAATCTCTTTGTTTTTGAAGTATGACAGTAGAAGGTGGCCAATTTACCTTCTGTATACCTTTGATTATATATTGTACATCTTTTAGTCCTCTCTACGGTTAGCCCATACAATAAAAGAGGACAAAAGGTGTGTTAGTTATACAGTGCAATAAAGTAATTAAAATAATAACATATATCACCCTTGGAGGAAAATTATTTCAACAGACTACCCTTGAATTACATCAGAAATAAATGTGTTGTTTTATGCCTCAATTGAGTTCTTATAATACAGAATATGTAGGCAAAAAATAACTTCCTGCTGCCCAAGGCCCATATGGAGCTTTACCTGGCCAGGGATGGCAAGGACAGCAAGAGGGGCTTCTTTACCTCAGTATCATCAAGGAAAAGAAGATTGCAGAGAATGTGGGCCCATGCTGAATGAGCAACAGGAGAGACAGAGAAGACAGAGGCACTGAAGGCTTCAGTCTTTGCTTCAGTCTTTACTGCTAAGACCAGCCCTCAGGAAACCCCAGGGCCTGGAGACCAGGGAGAAAGTCTGGAAAAGGAAGACGTTTCCTTGATGCAGGAGGATCAGGTTAGAGATCATTTAAACCAACTGGATACCCACAAGTTCCTGGGCTCTGAAAGCAAAGCACCCACGAGGGCTGAGGGCGCTCGGGGACGTCACTGGCCGGCTACTCTCGATCATCTGCGAAGGGACATGGGGAACAGGAGAGGTGCTTGAGGAGTGAAAGAAATCAAACGTCACTCGGATCTTCAAGAAGGGCAAGGAGGAGGATGCAAGGAACGCCAGGCCAGCCAGCCTCACCTCCACACACAGCAAGGTGATGGAGCAGCTCATCCTGGATGTCATTACCGTGCAAGTGAAGGCTAAGTAGATGAACAGGAGTAGCCAGCATGAATTCACCACAGGAAATGGTAGTTCTTTATGATGGGATGTCTAGGTGAGCAGATGAGGGGAGAGCAGTGGATGTTGTCTACCTTGACTTCTATAAGGCTTTTGACACTGTCTCCCATGTCACCCTCATAGGCAAGCTCAGCAAGGATGGGTTAGGTGTGGATTGAGGTGGATCCTAAGGTGGATTGAGAACTGGCTGCAGGGCAGAGTTAAGAGGATTGTGAGCAGTGGGGGTTGAGTCTAGTCGGAGGCCTGTAGTTAGTGGTGGCCCCCAGGGGTCAATACTGGGTCAAGTCTTGTTCAATTTTCTCATCAATGACGTGGATGAGGTGCCCCCTCAGCACGTCTGCTGATGATATGAAACTGGGAGGAGAGGCTGATACCCCAGAGGGCTACGCTGCCATCCAAAGGGACCTGGACAGGCTGCAGAGAAGAACAGAGGGAACTTCTTGAAGTTCAAAAGAGACAAGTGCGGGTCCTGCCGCTAGGGAGGAATAACCCCAGACACCAGGACAGGGTGGAGATCGACTGCTGGAGAGCAGCTCTGCATCGAAGGACCTGGAATCCTGGTGGACAACAAGGTGACCATGAGGCAACAATGTGTCCTCGTTGGCCAAGAAGGCCAACGGTGCCCTGGGCTGCATTAAGAGTATGGCCGGCAGGGCACGGGAGGGGATCCAGATATTCCAACCTTAAATATTCTGTGATTCTGTGATTCTGTGATCCTGCCCCTCTACTCAGCCCTGGTGAGGAGGCGGCACCTGGAGTGCTGGGTCCAGCGCTCCCCAGCATGAGAGACATGGAGCTACTGGAGTGAGTCCAGGCCTACAAAGGTGATTAAAAGATTGGAGCATCTCTCATATGAGCAAAGGCTGAGAGAGCTGGGACTCTTCAGCCTGGAGAAGAGAAGACTGAGCGGGGATGTATCAGTGCCCTTAAAATTCTGCAGAGAGGATGTCAAGGACATGGGGCCAGTGCTATGAGTATCCCTGCTTGCACTATGAGTATCCCTGCTTGCACAGGGATATTGCACTAGATGATCTCCAGAGGTCCCCTCCAACCTCGGCCCTTCTGGGACTCTGTCACAACCCAACTCTGACACGAGGGAGCACAGAGGAGGCTCTAGATCACGGCCTGTCCAAGTGTGCTACTCTTCCCAAACAAAAGACAAAAAAGTAAATACGTTCTCTATTCAAAGTGATTTTTTATCTCCTTATACTTTGGTTAAAATTGCCAAAATATGTGATGGTTTTGGTCTATAAATACTGTCCATTCAATAATTTCATCATTAAGAGAGAATCAAAATCTGAGCTACACTTAGACGTGTAGAGTTAATAGCGCAAGTTCTTCCTGTTGAATCCAACACATTCATAACACAGATACTTTGCTTAGCTTTTAAACTGAGAACTACAATAACACTATTCAAACAGACATTGTATCAACAGCCTAAAAAAGGAGTAAAAAATTCTAAAAAGTTCTGTGAGTTAAACATCCATGACAGTAAAGCTGCAAAGCTACTTACTGCTGCCATTTCTTCCCCTTTTGGAGATGTGCTAGCAGAACAGTCATACCTGTGGGTAGAGGGATTTAAATAATAAAATTAAGATTAAATTTTACCAGGTAGTAAAAATCTCATATAATAACTCCTGAGAAGCACCTGAAGAGGCTGTTTTATGAAGAAGCCACCCGGCTCCTGCAGAAAATCCTGTTAACTGATGCCACAGAAAATTCCCATTCACCTTGTCTGGCCTTGCAAACACTGTTCAGGATTGCCCAGCCAGGACTGCACTCAACCTAAGGACAGAAATCCCAGTGTCTGCAATACCCATAAAAGAAGTGTTTAAATCCAGCATTACAATACTATTGCTTCCTTTATTTTTCCAACAACAGTAACTTGCAAAGTACTAGGAACAATTTAAGCTCATGACTTATAAATCTGTAAATGACCAGCATTTGAAATACTACTGCCTTTCCTCTTCTTCATCACCCTGCTACATTCAGGGTACCCTGCTCTGCCCCAGGGAGGAGGAGGAGGGACAGCTGGCAGATTAATCTCGATATGAACTTTGCAATTGCTCCAGCCACCCTGAGCAGCCCTTAGCCACCTTGAGCATTTAAGAGAAGACTTATATTTTCCCTAGGCTGTACAAGACTGCAATGGTGTGGCAGAAAATTGCCTGGACAGTGCTTCTGGGCAATGTATTTTTCAGAATGGGCTGAGAAACACAAAATACAAGAGGTATTCCATTTTACAAGGTGACTTTCATACGCATAAATAATAAACTAAAGAAAAAGAAAAAGCAGCTGATTGCCCCAAGTCTATTCCAGTCTGCAACCCTTGGTTTAGAAATAAATGAAGCCAGTCCCCTGCAAATCCCCACAGGAAATCTCGTGGGACTTGTGCCTGCTGGCAGCTCTTCCCTGCCTCAGACACCTTTATTTTTCCCAGGAAGTTGACTCTTGGAGGAGTCGCGGCAGGGAAAGAAGCTTCTGCTCATTCCTGTTTCTCAGAGTCTTTTTGCAGGGCCTTGCTCTGAGGCTCCGAAGAGCCTCCTCGGGCCGCGGCAACAAGCAGCAACGGGCCGGCCGCGGCGCGGCCTCCCTCCCGACGCGCTCTCTCATTTGTTTGCAATGCGCTCCCAGGCAGGGAAGAACAGCCGAAAGGTGCAATTTGTTTTTGCTTCTCTCATTGTGAACTTTAAAACCCAAATTCCCCTCCGACAGAGGGGTCCAGCTGAAACTGGTGCCGACAAGCCTGCAGAGCTCGGTGGGCCTTGAAACAAGCGCCAGAATCGGAACCCACACATCTATTGTTCTTGGCAACGTTTGTTAGAAGAGCCCTTTATTCAGCGGGTGAATTAATGCAGCCCTGCGAGCGAGGCTGACAGGATCAGAGTGCAGAGCAGCACACATCTCCTGCCTTCAACAGGAATGCTGTCAAATATGGTCTAATGCTTCTATCATAAATTAACAATTAAATGCATATTCTGCATTTTTTTGCAGTCATTTCCTTCAGACCAAGCGCAGTGAAACCCTGCGGGAAGGCAGAGGTGCTGCTGGCTGCACTCGGGCCACGTCCCTTGCTCTGTGCACAGAAGCTCCAAGCAGGCGGCCTCGCGGTGAGAAATGCCTTCCAATAATCTAGGCAAAAACGAAATTTTCATTTTTCATGAAAATGAAATTTTCATTTTTGCCTCTGGCATTATTCTAAACTCCTCCATGTCTTTGTGGCCACTGTTCTTTCAGAAATAACTGCTCACTGCATCCTCCTTCATCTTCCTCCCTGCCTTTCTTGACAAGTTTGTTCTGATCTTCTCCCCATGTCACCTTTCCCACCTCCCCATCTGCCTCCCTGCTTCTTCCTGAACTCTTTCAAGTTTTTTATCATTTTGAAATTTGAAACAGTTTTGTTTACTCAGGGATTTTTTTTAAACTTAAGGCAAAGGCCATTCCATTTCTTTTTTACTTCAGGATATTAAGCAATGTTTACACACGCACATACCCACTTGTAAACATTATCTATTACGCATAAACAGAGAAGGTGTCAAGTTATTGCTGAAGTTCAAAAATATTTCCCAGCAGAAACAAAACCACTACTTCCTTCAGAAAAGCCAGAAGCTATGTGTTAAATATTTCCATTAATAAACATACAAGACAAAATAGAAACATATCTATTTTATGGCAACAGAATATGAGATTAAAAGCATAGCTCTGATACTACCGCTACTATTACCGACGTGTGGGTTGAAATCAGCTGCAGGTTGTTATTTGTGCTGGGGCCCTGGTCTTCCCCAGGCCGTGGCCAGGTTTTCCAGCTTGCTGTGTGCTGCAACCCGCTTGCTTTCATCCTGCCCTTACCGCGTTACGCAAGAGGCCGGCAAAGCAGCAGACAGGCGGCTCGCGGGCGCTCGCAACGCAGGCAAGCAGCAGTTCTTCCCCACCGTGAATCACAGCCCCGCATCAGGGAAGCACAGGAATGAATTCACGAGCACCCGCCACCTCTGAACCAGGCATCACCCAACACTGCACTAAGTGCAAACTGCAGCATTACCAACCTTTCCTTAGCATCTTCTGTATCTCCACGGAGGAAAACTCCCTTTGGCAGCACCCATCATTAATTCTCACAGCAAAACACCCCCACAGCTGAGGAAACGGTCTCTCCAGCACCAACGGGACCCCCTACGCAGCCCCTGGCATTCAGCTGCCGCAGAGCTGCTGCCAGCCAGGCTCCCTGCCTGGTTCACAGCGCTGCCTCCTGTTGTACTTCACCACGTCTCCAGCACGACTGTGCCTGGCGAGGGGCAGGGTGTTTCCTGTACATAAAGCCAACCACGGGCCCGGCAACACCTAGAAAAGGGTGGGGAGGCCGGGCCGGAGAGGCGGGACGGCGCGCGGCGCCACGGGACGGGACGGGACGGGATGGGACCCGCTCGCCGGCTGCTGCAGGAAAGCCCGGGCACCTGAGCGCTAAGACACCATCAGCTGCACCGGAGGAAAAGGGGATGAATACGTTTCAAAAGGGCTGATGTGACACGGATGGCAAGGTTTTTTTTTAAATAAAAATAATTAAAAAGTGGAAGAATTTTAATGTTTGGGTTCTGGAGCAAAGCCCTGACCTTTGCTTTCGTGCCTGCTACCTTATCTTGCGTCAACACGTAGTGCCCTTGGGCCCTGTTCCTCAGTGACATGAGCGGCCCTTTCCTCTGCGCTGGCAGCCTGGGGCTCTGTGGCAGGGGGACTGGCACCTTCTGCTTCCCAGGGTGAGAACTTTGCAAGTGTTTCTCTTTTTCCCCCCTCCTGTGCTGCATTTCTGCATACTGGACTTGCTACGGGTGAACATCACTGCAAGTTCCCTGCTCCTCTTCAGGCCTCTCCATATGTCCCTTTCAGCTTCGATATAAACACCCACAGGGGCAAGCTGCCCTGCTAGCAAACTTCCATACCAGACCCCTCGCCCATCTCCCCCTCTATGCTTATTGCAATGCCTATAACACACTTGTGATCCTAAAATACACAGAAACAGGAGCTCACAGCTAAGACACTGGAAACGTAATGTTTTCTAAGCAAAAACCCAGAACAATTCACCCACTGTTTTTCAGAACTAGCATTATTATTATCATTAATATTTAAGAACTAGCATATATTACTATATAAGCTTTGATCACAGCTCACCGTGGTTCCTTCAGAGTCTGCTGTTTCCTTGATTTTCTAAAGGAGAAAAGCCAAGCAAAAGGCGATCTGAACCCCAAAAAGGAAGCTGACGTGTTCTTTTGTGCTGCAGGACTTGCGTGGGATGACATTTTAAATTCTTTATGATCTAAAAAATACAACAAAAATTTGATTTGTTTCAAATTCTTACTAAATACTGCACTAAAAGGTGCAGGAAAATTAAATCTGCACGGGCATTTTTCTGGAGGCACTCACATTCTTTAGTCCCTTGCTTTTCACTTTTGTAAGAAATACATACACTACAGCCCTAAATATTCAGTGGTTTGACGGCCTGTAATGTAATTACATAACAAATTGAGATTAAGCTTTCATAGCATTACTTACAATGGGGTTCCCTGCGCTGCTCCAAGGTAATGGAGCAACTTTTTCTACTATAAAAACAAGACTTCAGTCAGGACTGAGGCACCACATCCCTTTTATTTTGTTTTCTCACATTTAAAAGCCACACGTCTGAGGTAACCCAGCAGCCTGGAAGTGCCTCAGCTACTGCTCCCAGGATCAGCAAAGCGGCAGCGAGAGCCAAGCGTCGCCAACACGTGCAGCAAGAGGAGCATTTTGGGGGTACCTAATGGGCTGTGGTGCAAATGGGAAAATAGTGAAGAGCCCTGGGCTATGGGGAACAGGGGGGAAAGGAACAAGGGGCAGGAAAGATCTCCTTGTTTATGTCTCTGGTTTTAAAGATTTTTTTGCATGTTACTTCTTGGAAATTCCTATATATGATTCTGCATACAGTTGCTGTGATAGTAAAATAGGAAAAGCTAAATAAAACTGTGCAGAAATGTGATGCAATAGCAGTGTGGGTCATGCAAGAAATCTGGATGGAAGTCGAACAAGAAAGTACAGGTGCCATTTTGGGAAGAGACAGCATGTCTTTGCATGTGTTCATTTCGGATGGGAGCAGCACCCGTGAAATGAGATCTCCGAGAGCTGCTTCTCAGTCAGACCAGCTTTCCAGGCTCCGGGTCACCCACCCTCCCAATCAGCACCTTCAGCCCCGTGTTACCAGGGAGGTTTCTGCCACCACAGTCAAATCTCTTCCAGCCAAACCCAAGTTACTTATTCCTAATGTTACTTAGGTGATTCTATTTCCTTTAGGAAAATTAGGGAGACTGAAAGAGATTTTGTACAAAGTAAATATTACTGCTTTAACTGGAAATCAACCACTATATTTACTAAGAGAAATTTGCAGGACAAGAATATCAAGAAGTTTTGTATTGTGACTCACAGCTATGCTTCTCACTGAATTTGCTTAAACAAACATGCTCATCTTGAAAGTATATTTTTTGACAGATCTTTGACGTGAGAAAGAACTCAGTGCAATTACAGAGACTCCTTATCTATTGAACTCAGTGACCATTATCGTGTGTGAAAGAAACTGGAAAAAAGCAACTCACTGGCTTTTTTACTCTTCCTGAGCTGATGCTCCAGTGGCTGCTTTAGCAATCTATTGACATCAGTGTTGTTCTGAAATTTTTTTCTTTGTATTTCTTCGAACCATTCTCCAGTCACTCCCTGCAGCCCTGTTTCAGATGTCTTCCTCTTCAAAAGTCTTCTGAAAAGGAAAAAATATATATATATTTTAGAGTCATTTTAGTACAGATTCTTTATCAGGAACTCTCCCTGTTCTTCATGTAGATATTCACAGTAAATTTCCACAAACAACGTGACTTCAAAAAAAAGATACAGGGGTGCATGGGCTATTCACAGCTATCACACAAGGCATGGCACTGGGAGCAGAGCTCTCCTCCCATCAAGAAGATGGGGTGACTACCTCAACTGGACTACCCATAGCCACGTTACTCCCTGCCTCGAAGGGCATCCTTTTTCCTTCCAGAACTGCAGTAATAATTCATAAGCCCCATAAAATTAATTGAAAGCAAGATCAACTTCAGTCAATAGCCCAATTAAAAGAACTAATACTGAAACAAAGTATTTTTTTAAAAAACATTTATCCACTCATTTAAGCAGAAGTAGTAATAAGACAGTTCTGATCCTCAGCAAGAAGTTGTGGCACTGACAGCAGGCTGTCCACCCCACATTCAATGTGAAGCAGAATAACAAATGTGGAATTCAGCCCAGAGCTATTCATGTGACACGTTCAGCAAGTCTATCACATCCTCCTCTTTCCTTGCTGCAGAGTGATTTTGCCTGTGTTTAATATGTATATAACCGGCTCATAGGGAATAGGAATGTACTGCCAAGCAGATGCAAACACACAGCAAGCTGTATGGATGTGGCTCCAAGCGAACAAGTTGGTTTGTACCAGATTCTGTTCTTACACCAAGTGCTCACAGGAAGAAAAAGCTGTTTGTCTGGACATAAAAGAATAACACAGAGCTGCAAAGGAGTCCGGATAGTGCAGCTGACATGCAAAGTTGCTTGTTTTCCAACTACAATTTACAAGTTCCTAACGTGCAAGTGCAGAGGTGGCAAACCCACACCCTGCCTGCTCCGATGGCAGCTGAGCCAGACCTGGTGCACAGCCTGCAGATATCATACCCATATTTTAACGAGCCTTTCATGTAAATCTTTCATCTTAATCTATGGTAAAAAACACTTCCAAGAATACAGGCATTCTCAGAACACATAATATTTCACTTATCAATTTAAATAAATATCTCTCTTTCAGACATTACTTCAGAAAACAAACTTAAAATTAAATGTCTAGTCTGGAAACGTGAGTATCTCTGTCTGGAATTGATGTGGACTCAATACAGACTATTCATCCGGTGGCATTTGATGGATGGCAGGGTAGGACAGAGACATTTCTAGTAAATTAGGGAGCTTTTCTGTTGAAGTTGAACACCAGGGCTAGACACGTGGAATATGGCATGACAAAAGCTAAGGTGGGAGCCACCACAGCTGCTTCTGTGCCCTGGGAATGAGCAAAGGCTGAGAGAGCTGGGCCTGTTCAGCCTGGAGAAGAGGAGGCTGAGGGGGGACCTGGTCAGCGTGTATAAATACCTCAAGGGAGGCAGTGAGAAGGAGGGGCCGGCCTCTTCTCAGTGGTGGCCAGCGACAGGACTAGAGGAAATGGCCACAAGCTGAGGCACCAAAAGTTCCACAAGAACTTGAGAAAACACTTCTTGACAGTGAGGGTGACAGAGCCCTGGCACAGGCTGCCCAGAGAGGCTGTGGAGTCTCCTTCTCTGGAGATCTTCCAAACCTGCTTGGACGCAGCCCTGTGCCCCGTGCTCTGTGTGACCCTGTGTGAGAAGGGGGGTTGTACTGGGTGACCTCTGAGGTCCCTTCCAACCTGAAGCATTCTGTGATTCTATGATTCTGTTATTGGTTAAAGCGGCGAATGCTGGTTAAAGCCGGCAGGGAAAACTGCGTGGCAGGAGCGGGAAGCGGCAGGAGGAGAGGGGCACCCTGAGCTCCCTGCTGTGGCCGGTAGCGCGGCCGTCCGGCTCTCCGGAGAATGTCTCCGGATCTGGGAGCAGCTGCAAGGAAAAGGGGCAGGCGGCACTGGGCCCGGGTCCAGCAGGCGGGAGCCTCCCTCGGGATGCATCCCGGCCCTTCCGCAGCAGCCGCAACGTGCTGCCGGCCTCACCCGCACGAGCTGTGAACAAGTGACTCCGAGAAGGAAGGTCCCCTCCTAACCTCGGGCCTGCTCGGGGTATTTCCTTCTCTTTTACGTTTTTCCTTGAAGAGGAAGCCATCCGTTCAGCGGCCCGGGGGAAAATCCCGTTTAGCGCAGTGCCACCTACCGGTAAAAACGAAAAAACAGAACAACAAAACTCACTACAGATGAGCTCCCCCCATTACTAAGCTTCCAGTACAGTATTTCCCAGGAAAGTTTTTCAAGGCGTTTTCTCACTGTGGTGATTCTTACAGTATCTCTCTATTAATACCTCTTTGCTTTAAAAGCATGCATTCCATATAGATTAAAAAAAAAAAAAAAAAAAAAACTAGCACCTGTCAAGAAATTTTTCCTTAAGTTCCTGTGGAACTTCAGCTTGTGGCCATTTCCTCTAGTCCTGTCACTGGCCACCACTGAAAAGAGGCCGCCCCCTCCTCCTCCCTCCCTCCCTTGAGGTATTTATAGACACTGATCAGGTCCCCCCTCAGCCTCCTCTTCTCCAGGCTGAACAGACCCAGCTCCCTCAGCCTTTCCTCACAGGACAGATGTTCTAGGCCCCTGATCATCCTGGTTGCTCTGCGCTGGACTCTCTCCAGCAGCTCCACATCCCTCTTGTCCTGGGGAGCCCAGAACTGGACACAGTCTCCAGATGTGGCCTCACCAGGGCTGAGTAGAGGGGGACGATCCCCTCCCTTGACCTGCTGGAGACGCTTTTCTTAATGCACAGAAGATCCCATTGGCCTTCTTGGCCACCAGGGCACACTGCTGCCTCATGGTCACCTTCATAGAATCATAGAATCATAGAATGCCGAAGGTTGGAAGGGACCTCAGAGGTCATCGAGTCCAACCCCCCTGCTCATGCAGGGTCACCCAGAGCACGTGGCACAGGGCTGCATCCAAGCGGGTTTTAAAGATCTCCAAAGAAGGAGACTCCACAACCTCTCTGGGCAGCCTGTTCCAGTGCTTTGTCACCCGCACAGTGAAGAAATGCTTCCTTAAGTTCCTGTGGAACTTCCGATGCTTCAGTTTGAAGCCATTTCCTCTAGTCCTATCCCTGCCCACCACTGAAAAGAGGCCGCCCCCTCCTCCTCACTGCCTCCCTTGAGGTATTTATACACGCTGATCAGGTCCCCCCTCAGCCTTCTCTTCTCCAGGCTGAACAGACCCAGCTCTCTCAGCCTTTGCTCATATGGCAGATGTTCCAGGCCCCTGATCATCCTCGTAGCCCTGCGCTGGACTCTCTCCAGCAGCTCCACATCCCTCTTGTACTGGGGAGCCCAGAACTGGACGCAGTACTCCAGATGTGGCCTCACCAGGGCTGAGTAGAGGGGGATGATCACTTCCCTCGACCTGCTGGAGATGCCCTTCTTAATGCACCCCAGGATCCCGTTGGCCTTCTTGGCCACCAGGGCACACTGCTGCCTCATGGTCAACTTGTCGTCCACCATGACACCCAGGTCCCTCTCTGCGGGGCTGCTCTCCAGCAGGTCCACTCCTAATCTGTACTGGTGTCCAGGGTTATTCCTCCCCAGGTGCAGGACCCTGCACTTGCCCCTGTTGAACCTCATGAGGTTTCTCGCCGCCCAGTCCTCCAGTCTGTCCAGGTCCCTCTGGATGGGACTGATGGAGGGACCTTGTCATCCATCATGACGCCCAGGTCCCTCTCTGCAGGGATGCTCTCCAGATGGCCAGTCCCCAGCTTGTACCGGTGTCTGGGTATATACACACATATACAGAACCCTCCATATATATATACACATACGATTGTGTGAGTACAGAATCATCATGCCATATAAAATAAGTGGGGGGACGGGGCCTGCCCACGGGGCACTGCTCTTGCGGACCCCTTCAGCCTCTGCTCTGCAGGAGGCTCCAGCGCCTGCGCGGCCTCCAAACCCACGCGCTAATCCCGCTTCCCGGGCTGCTCCGTCCCTCTTCCCTACGCGCCTCAGGATGAAGTGAGCCGCCCTCCCGGCAACCACATCCCAACGCGTGACTCAGCCGGGAGCGAGTCTTGCGCCATGTTTATGAAAACACCTCTCTCTCCTCGGCATCAGCGTGCGTGGCCAGACCTCACCCACGGAGATCTCGAGGGAAACATAGGAAGTTCCATGTGCATGTGAGGGACTTGAGGATCTTGACTGTGAGGGTGACAGAGCCCTGGAAGAGGCTGCCCAGGGAGGCTGTGGAGTCTCCTTCTCTGGAGATCTTCCAAAGCCGCCTGGCTGCCACCCTGTGCCCCGTGCTCTGGGTGTCCCTGCTGGAGCAGGGGGTTGCACTGGGTGATCTCTAGAGGTCCCTTCCAGCCTTAACCCTCCTGTGATTCAGTGATCGTGTGAAAAGCCAGCCTCCACGTTTGCCTGCACGAGGACTTCCACGTGGGTCACTATAACCCCCGCTGGAAGAGCCGCGCTCGCTGCCGGCCACTTCCCGCCTGATGGCGAGGGTCTCTCTTGCTCCTGTCACAGGAAAAGTGTCCGCACCCTTGCACTGAGCCGGGAGCAGGATGGGAATGAGCGACGCCAAGGAAGTGGGTGGCCAGGCGAGTTTTGGGGAAGATTCTGCTGTTTGCCAGGGACAGAGGACTCAACCCCTGTTTGTCAAAGTGAAAATCTGATCTCCTGCCGATTTCCACAGAAGCAGCATGTGGCCCCAAATGATCCTTCCCACAGGCAGGGAGGGAGCAGATCCAGGGAAAGCCGCACTGGGGGGACCCGCCTATTACACCTGCAGATGTATCAGAGCCCCCGGCAACTCTATAATGCACATGCAAGAATATTTCATTGCCTACCTGTTCCCTATAATTTTATAAAAATCTTTTCAAGACACACTTTCAAGCTGCTTTTTTGTTGCTCTTAAGGGAGAAAGTGTCACTAACACCAGCACAGTCTCCTCAGGTGACTTCATTTAAAAAGAAATGCATTATTCAGCCTGAATATTCACATGAACACGCAGCAGGAACAACAACA